TATTAACAAGGACATTTTAGAGCCTTCACTTAGATCCCCCTTGTTTATAGAAACACCCTGTATTAACAAGGACATTTTAGAGTCTTCACTTAGATCCCCCTAGTTTATAGAAACACCCTGTATTAACAAGGACATTTTAGAGCCTTCACTTAGATCCCCCTAGTTTATAGAAACACCCTGTATTAACAAGGACATTTTAGAGCCTTCACTTAGATCCCCCTAGTTTATAGAAACACCCTGTGTTAACAAGGACATTTTAGAGCCTTCACTTAGATCCCCCTTGTTTATAGAAACACCCTGTATTAAAAAGGACATTTTAGAGCCTTCACTTAGATCCCCCTTGTTTATAGAAACACACTGTATTAACAAGGACATTTTAGAGCCTTTACTTAGATTCCCCTTGTTTATAGAAACATCCTGTATTTCTAATATGTAAATGAAAGTGCGAGAGTGTACTAAGTACGCAGGAAGAATGCGTCAAGTTTAATCAAAATATGCGTAATATGAAACCTTTCCCCGTCACAAATCCCGCAAATTACACAAAGAAGTCGACGCTTAATTCCAAATTCAATTCTTTTCCATTTTAAACCTTTTGATGAAGTATTTCATGCCGACGGCGACCAAACAAGAAATGCGAAACAGTTGTCATGGCAATTTCTTAATAGAAACTTTTAAAAAAATGTTCTGCATACTTTTCTCTTAATCATAATTTACTTCTTTTGCAGGGTTAACATTTCATTTTTACTGATTATCTATCATTTAAGTGATTCTATATATGTTTTTATTATCGATAAGGTTTCTTTTTTAAGAAATAATATTAAGATGAGAGCTCCTTACCCCTGCGAATCGTCTTGTCTGAAATGATTTATCATAAAGTAACTGTTTTGACACAGTTTATCAATATCTGGTTAGATTGAGAGATGTGTGTCGGGGCGCAAATATTTTACCAAGTTTTAAGACTAAGGGAGCAGGAGTGAGATCATAGATAGCAGAGATAGGAAGGACAACATATTTCGTTGTTAAACTGACAGAAGATGTAAAATCGTTGTATTCGATCTATAGAAAGAAAGATAATTCGTTTTTCAAATCCATAGAGAATAGAATATATATTAGAGTGGAATTTACTAGAAAAAAGTGTAAAACGGCCATTTTGTTGTACTGTTTCCATACTGCAGGTGTACTTCACATATTTGTGTGCTATATAACTTTATGGGCCCTGGAATATCATTTTATAGAAAATCTAAAATTATTGTTAAAGAAAACCAAATTATGAAATAGGCTGGTTTCATAATTGACCAATGATCATTTCACATAGACTCTATGCCTTTCACTTTACAAACGATGATTTTCCGTTTTAACTATATATCAAATGATGTTTTTATTCACCTAATTCATTATAAAGTTTATTTAACAGTTTAAAAAATTTAAAATTGAAATGGATAGTCTAGGGAACATACTGTATTAATGTACTCTACTGCACATAATTTGTGAACATTTACATGATTTGTACACTTTGAACTCCCTTTCAGGATGAAAGGGACTGACAAAATTGTCTAAATTGCCCACTAATATGTATTCTATTCTCTTTGTTCAAATCTTGTAAAATCTTGTAAAACATTGAAGCATCTCATAAACTTTGACAGAACCTAGTTTAAATTTGATAGAATTCTATAAACCTTTGATAAAATCTGTCTTTGATAGAATCTTTTGAAACTCAGACAAAATCTTGTGAACCTAGCAGAATCTTAAACAACATTTTTTACAGAATCTAATCCAAAAGAATCCCATAAAACTTTGACAGAACCTAATTTAAATTTGATAGAATCTTATAAAATGTTGATAGAATCTATAATTTAATGTTTCAATAAGACAGATTTGAGGAAAGAATGATAAGAACAGCTAAAACTTTTTTAAACAGAGCATAACACTTTATCGTGGTAAATTTTCGAATTTTTGATGCGCATAGGAAAACATCCACATCGATCACACAAAGGCAAAAAAAAACTTGCATTGTACGCCTCATTTCTAAATATATCTTTAACGTGGCACTCTGTACTACTATCTATGTTGTCTATGGCTGGGACTAAGTGCTGACATAGTTACACAGATATAAATCATATATTTGATGTTTAGAAGGATTGAGAAGGAGGAGAGGTGGGAACAGGGGGGGCAGGGGGGGGGGCAGGGCGGGACTTTTAAATGGCAATAAAGAGTCACAAAGAGGATCGGGCGGTGAACATTAAACAAGAGTGAACCGACCTAGTTTTAGAATAGTAATGGAATTGAATTATATTTATGATATCTAAATTTAAAAACATTTTAAGTAATTATTTTGAAATTATTAATCTTTAAAAGTATGAAAAATGTTTGCATATAAGTAAAAAATTAATATCTGGGGGTTAATTCTAGAAAAGGAACTCTGTGTGTGGGGGGGGGATATACAACCCTATTTTGAAATCAATCAAATATATTTTGTTTTTATTTGTTGTCTTGTTTATTTCAAAGCATAGCAGCGTTTTATGCATTTATTAGCAGACATTGCAAAGTTAATGTATAGTTTAAAAACAAATTCTACTTTTAAATGTTTTTAATGTTTACACAGTTTTGATATCATATTTAACCTTTAAAGGGACTGTCTACAGTTAACTGTACCTTTATACCTTTTCTATGCAACAATTGAAAAGATATTATTGTTTTTCTATAAAAAATTCTATTTTTTTTTTTGCTGTAAACATATTCATTGTGCATGTAGGGTTGGAATTCCAGACATCGGAAGAAGATTATAAAAACAGAAAGGAGTTTGAATCTCGCTACTCATTTTTATTCGAACTTACAATTCAACTTTAATTCGTAATTTTAAGTGAACGAGGAGAATGTTCGACTCGTAAAGGTAAATTGGAAACCTTAATCTAAACAAAAATGTGGAAGATTTACGCCTGGCTTAAAGGGAGTGACCCGCAATCTATTGTAGTTAAAATAAGAATGTAGAATTGTGGAGAAATTTTTTAGTTTTAACGACGACAAAAAAGGTAAATAAAATTCGACAGTAAACTAATTAGATGTTTAGGAACATATTTATCAATAGAATTTTGTTAATAAATCAATGTTTGAATCATTTATTTCTTTTTCATGATTATAATGAATTTCTAATTCTTTAAGAATTTGTTCGTAGATTTCTTTCTATTCTTCAAATGTCGTCTTTTCAATTAAAATTCCGGGAAATCTACAGAAAACGTTTTGTGAACAATGAAACATTAAAGAAACAAATAACTGAATAAGATTTATACTTATTTTCTATTATCAGCCTATTCCTAAACAACTTATTGATTTACATTCGAATTTTTGTTACATTTTTTGTCGTTGTTATTTAATAATTTAAAAAGAATCTGTTCTCAAAACGTAACTGCACCCAAATGGATGATTTTGAGCGTTGACTCAAACTCTGTAATTATACATCATTAAAACGTTTTCTATGTCTCAAATGAATTCTAAAAAGTTCTCTACAATACTACATTCTCAGTTCAACTACACATTGCCGGTCGCTCCCTCTAAAAAGTTTTCGAGTCTCATAATGTTGCTTCTAAAGCCACCATGCGCAATGTGAATGAGCAGTTTTCGAAAACAAAAACATGGATAATTAGTTCATACTTGAACAAACAAAGCTTTTAAGAGTACTTTTTTGAATCGAATAAGCCACTCTGTCAATGAATGGTCACTCTAATATTTTCAATTTTCTTCAAAATTTGGAATTGAATAAAAAACAAAAATATTCTTTTTTTGCAAATCTGTAAAATAAATTCCTTGATGTAATTAATCATGATAATCCTATCGTATTGCTTAGACTAGGCAGAAGGGCAGACAGACTAAAACATTAAAAAGTGCAATTTATCATTCCGACATGAACACAGCATATATCAATTACAACTTTATAACTAGAGATGGGCAAAGAACGTTGCTTTTTAAATTAACATTTAAGGTTTTTTGATCTTTCAGAGGCCCCACAATACAAAAATTTTACCAGAAGGTTATCATTCATTTGGCGTTACGTTTCGCGGGATATTTGAATAAAAATTAGTTCCAACTAGACTGTATATTTATTGAACAAACCTATTTTGTATTAATATTTTTTCTTGCATTGGATATATTTTGTATTTTGATTTTTACGCCATTTTTTCTGTCATTATCTGAGACATTTAATGTTTGATATGTTTTGTACTTTTGATATGTTTTGTACTTTTGATATTTTTTGTACTTTGATACGTTTTGTGTTTTATATGTTTTGTCGCTGTAATATGCTTTGTGACGATATGTTTTGTAGGAGCTAGATATGTTTTGATTTGATTATAGGGTTTGTTTTGATATGTTTTGTATGTGCTCTAATTTTTAAACATATTTTTATAAAGGAAAAATTAGGCATATATGTTTTGGGAGGTGTTAATTTGTCTTTGTATTTGTTAACACCTGTTAAAACTAAATGTGGATAACAACACCATTTAAAACAGTAAAGAGGCATGAACTTTTTTAAAGAGTTCTTTACGAACCTTTAATTATAGTATATTCAACAGCGAAGCACTTCCCCCTGGACTAACCAGGACTAGATACTAGATAGGGTCGGTTTCTTCAATATAACTTTAATCTCGTTTTGGTCTATAATAATTCAAAAATTCATTTTAAACACATCCGCCAACCAAAAAAGTAAAAAGAAGACCCATGGCATTATGTTTAGTATGTCAAATTCTGATAAAAAGTCACAGGCACACACCATGCTTAGAAATTGACCGAAATGTTTAATCAGTTTGCTTCACGTATTCATTGTAATACATTGCGGTTTTTTACTAAATCACTTTGCTTCACGTATATTCATTGTAATACATTGCGGTTTTTTACTAATAAAGTTTAGCTAAGTACATTGTACAAAAAATTCCTTAAACTGCATGAATTAAGGGTTTTAATGCTTGCACACGAGCCTGGGTTAAATTCTGGCCTAATTTGATATTTTCAGACAGTTTTAAACAATGAGAATTTCTAGCGGTTACATTGTTGTCAACACGATCACGAATTAAAACAGTAAGATATTTACAAATTCAAAATTGAAATATAGTTTTCCTAAGGATTAAAAAATACTAAATAGAAAAACTGCATTAGTACAGTAATGTAAGAAAATAATTATCCCTCTGTATAAACCATTTCATTAACATGACACTGCACAAAAAACGCTATTGCTTCTAACTGGAAAATTATAATTAGATGGTTTGCAAGATATATATATCTACTGTTGATATATCGCAAAACCTATTAGCTGAAGGAAACAACATTTATAATAAATGAAGCAGCTTTTATTATATCGCAGATTGTGCAATATATATAGATGTAATATTCTCGCTTGGAGCAATAGGGGTTTTTTCTAATTTTCTAGAAGAAATATTAAAAAGGATGATTGTGAGATAGTCTTAATTGACTACTTTTTCTGAAACTGTGTATTTTTTCATATTATGATGATACTTAGTAAAAGAACTATTTAATTGTTCTTTTATTTATTGAAGTATTCATTTAGAATAAGTTTTAAGAACTCTAATAATTGTTAACTTCTCAGTAACGAATTAATAAAGATAACTCTCTTATTTCTTAAATTCCCCAACGAGTGAACTCTGCTATTATCAATCCTCCATTAAGAGAACTCTCTTATTTATAAACCCTTCGTTGCGACTTGCGAGAACTCTTCTATCTACTAAATCCTTCATTAAGAGAACTCTCCTGATTATCCAATCCTCCATTAAGAAAACTCTGCTGTTTACAAATCCTCAATTGCAAGAACTCTCCTCTATCTATTAAATCCTCCACTAAGAGAACCCTCATAAATTTTCAATCCTCCATTGAGAGTACTATTCCAATTATTCAATCTTCCATTGAGAGTACTCTCCTGTTTATTAAACCCTCCATTGAGAAAACTCCCCTGAGTATTCAATCTTCCATTGAGAGTACTCTCCTGTTTATTAAACCTCCATTGAGAGTACTCTCCTGTTTATTAAACCCTCCATTGAAAGAACACTCTTGAGTATTTAATCTTCCATTGAGAGTACTCTCCTGTTTATTAGACCCTCCATTGAAAGAACTCTCTTGAGTATTTAATCTTCCATTGAGAGTACTCTCCTGTTTATCAAACCTCTCCTTTGAGAGTACTCTCCTGTTTATTAAATCCTTCATTGAGAGAACTCTCCTGAGTATTCAATCTTCCATTGAGAATACTCTCCTGTTTATTAAACCCTTCATTGAGAGTACTCTCCTGTTTATTAAAACCCTCCATTGAGAGTACTCTCCTGTTTATTAAACCCTCCATTGAGAGTACTCTCCTGTTTATAAAACCCTCCATTGAGAGTACTCTCCTGTTTATTAAATCCTCCATTAAGAGAACTCTCTTGAGTATTCAATCTTCCATTTAGAGTACTCTCCTGTTTATTAAATCCTCCATTAAGAGTACTCTTCTGTTTATTAAATCCTCCATTAAGAGAATTCTCTTGAGTATTCAATCTTCCATTGAGAATACTCTCCTGTTTATTAAATCCTCCATTAAGAGTACTCTCCTGTTTATTAAATCCTCAATTGAGAGAACTTTCCTGTTTATTAAATTCTTTATTGAGAGAACTCTCCTGTTTTAAAACCTCCATTGTTAACAACCCTCCTATTTATTAAATCTTACATTAAAGAAACTCTCCGGTTTATCATGTCTTCAATTTTTTTAATTCTCAGAAATAGACAAACGAAAGAACTCTTCTGTAAATAAATTTAATCCTGAGCAATAGAATCAATGAACTCTGTCCTTTATATTAATTCTCCATATTGGATCAATGAAGAGAACTCTCCAATATGTTTAATCCTCCATGTTGTTTAGACTGGTGGTGTGTGGATGAAGGCAGTATAATCCTGAAATATGGAATTCTGCGGCTTAATCTTTATATTTGCAGCAGTCACAGGTGCATTCAGGAGGAAAGGGGAGATAAATGGGAAGGGGCAGGAAGAGAAGGGGGGGGGGTAAGCTAGAGAAGGGGCAGGAAAATAAGGGGTTAGGGAAGATAAGGGAGGGGTCAGGAAGAGAAGGGAGGGGTCAGGTAGAGAAAAGGAGGGGTCAGGGAAGATAAGGGAGGGGTTAGGGAAGATAAGGGAGGGGTCAGGAAGAGACGGGAGAGTCAGGATAAGAAGGGGGACGGGTTAGGGAAAAGAAGGGAGGAGGTGGGAAGAGAAGGGGGGGGGGGAATTCAGGAGGAAATGGATGTTTAATGGGAGTAAATAAAAATAAAAATTTATTTTGAAAAAAACCAGAAAGATTTAAACGGAACAAATTTGAGGGATTTCTTTTTAATTTAACCCATAATTACATAAATGTATAAGTATATAAGTATACAAATATGTACAGATGGATAATAATTGAAGGCTATATATCTCTCTATTTGAATAAACGTGATTGGATATTGTCACCCTGAGTTTAATATTTGATAGATGTCTTTATTCAAAGTATTCTTAATGTATGATTCATTGCCTAGCAGGCTAGCAGGCTAGCAGGCTAGCAGGCTAGCAGGCTAGCAGGCTAGCAGACTAGGAAACTAGCAGGCTAGCAGGCTAGCATACTAGCAGACTAGCAGGCTAGCTGGCTTGCAGGCTAGCAGGCTAGCAGGCTATCAGGCTAGCAGGCTAGCAGGCTAGCAGGCTAACAGGCTAGCAGGCTTAGCCGGCTAACAGGCTAGCAGGCTAGCAGGCTAACAGGCTAACAGACTGCTAACACCTTTATATCTTTACAACCTGATAATTCATAATCATAACTATGATAATTATTTGGTCTCCTGATCTATATTAAATTATTAGCTAATTAAAATATCGGCCCCATAAACATGGAAATTGAGTGACGAAGACGAAACCGTCTTTGTTAAAAATTAGCGTTGAATTGAATGATTTCAATTGTCAAAATAAAGTTACTTCTTGTTTATTGGACTACGAAGAAAAAATAGCGACTTAAAAAGCAATATTTACAAGCTACAATTGTTACTATGAAAAAAGGGCGCAAAGTGCCCGAAAGGTCTGGTGATTAAAATTTGAGCAGAGTTTTTTTTAGGATTCGAGATCTCTGTCTCTCCTGGGAAAAATCTCTGGGTTGGAGAGGTAATTTAATTTTACATTTTTCATAGAAATNCGGGCGTGGTCAATAAAAGTGGTTTTAGTGCATTTAACTTTTTCAGTCCTTAAACTTAAGGCCAGGTCATTTGGGAGAAATTCAGTACTGACAGTGTATGCACATTGCACATTGTACATTGCACATGGCAAGGTCCTGTGGGCTGGGAAGTGTTAAAAATTCGAAAGCTTATCGTAAAAATGTATAAAATGACAATTTTAGATTGAATGAAAACAGTTTTAAGGACTCTTTTAGATTTGTTAATATGTATTTCACCACTTTTTCATTTAAATTGGACACTGATGCATAATTTGCGATTTAAAGGTTTACAAAAAAAAAAATGAAAACTCGATGAGAACTTTGCCAATTACTTTTTAAAATCCTAAGTTAACAACAGGTGCTTTTTACTGCTAAAATGTACATGTAAAAGGCTAAAGAAAAGCATTTGTAAGTTAGAGCGCTAAAATCAGAGCCCAAGGTGTTGATGAGACTGTTTATAAGTAGGCTGAATCTATGTGTGCAGCAAATTGGTAGTAAAGAAAATGCGTTATGGGATGTCAATGATTCTATTGTGTACATTCAATTTATACTGCTAAGATCAACAAACGCTTCGCTAGGTGTAGTACCAGGGAGTAACCTGTGGGGCCCTACTAAAGAAACCAAACAGCTCGATATAAAATGGAGTACCGTCTGCAAAGCATGTATAATCATATGGTAGGGCGAACCGCGTCAGTTGTCTCTCCCTTCTATTCCTTACTCCCTGTGTAGTACTTATTGTGTACACACTATCATCCCATAAAGCATTTTCTTCACAATCAATTTTTTGTCCATTCTACACCAGTGTTCATGTATGTTAATATTTGTTAATTTTGTATAATATGTATAATATACTGTGCGAAGGATTTGGTTCTGGTATGTACAGATAACCAAACCAACTATAATTGTTAATATTGTGTACATAGGAGTTGGTTCTAGTATGTACAGTAAATCCCATACGACTAAAACTACAGGGTGTCACAAAAAACATGGGGATTCAGTGACGAATTGGATATCGTCTTTGTTATGAATTAGCATTGTAATACCTAATTTCAAAAGCCATAATATTATTATGTCTGCTAGAGTTTATTTTATGAAAAGTGTAAATAGCTGTAAAGATGTGTTTATAATGTCTCCGCAAGAGGAACAGTGGAGACAGTCAAGTTTACTCTGTTTGTATACTGCATTTTTCTTGTTTTACTAAGTACAACCGTATGCAGTCAAAACATAAACAAACAAAATGTGAACAGCAGCAGCAGACGAAAATCTTAAATAGTACAGCTTTCTCAGTAGGTATCACTATACTAAATCAAAGAATTATCTAAAAAGACGATATCGAATTCGTCACTGAATTCCCATGTTTATTGTTAACAGTGGAGACAGTCAAGTTTACTCTGTTTGTATACTGCATTTTTCTTGTTTTACTAAGTACAACCGTATGTAGTCAAAACATAAACAAACAAAATGTGAACAGCAGCAGCAGCAGCAGACGAAAATCTTAAATAGTACAGCTTTCTCAGTAGGTATCACTATACTAAATCAAAGAATCATCTAAAAAGACGATATCGAATTCGTCACTGAATTCCCATGTTTATTGGGACAGCCTGTATCTTTATATATATATATAGATACATAGGATTTGTTTCTGTACAGCAGAGAACCCAACCAATAAAAAATTTTGATAATGTGTAACGGTGTACATATAGGATTTGGTTCTGGTATGTACAGTACATCCCAAACAGCAAGGAACTATCTGGCACAGGTATTGTTCTAAAATACGGTAGAACCCAAAAAACTATGAAATATGAAAACGACATTTAAGCATTATTTTGTGCTATAATGTTGTTATATAGCAATTAGTTCTACCGGTAGCTTTATATCAACTTTTTGGGTGAGATATGTCTGTGTACACAAATGTGCATGTACACTCCACAATTGTTGTGTTTCATGTTCATTGGACTATTTATAATCATGACTTGAGTGTAGTCCTGAGTTTTATGAGTCCCACCGTATTATTATCGTAAAAGTAGAATCAAAATGGAAAATCTCGGACAATCATATAAAAGATTTATGAACCGGTCCAGAAGAAGAAACTTTACTACAATCGTGAATGTTTTTATGACAACTCACCTGATCTTTATTGTAATCGTGGTTTTATGGAAGTATTAAACTTTTAACATTTACACACTACCATCTCAGAATATCAGGGATTAGGACAAATCTACTAAATTTCGTACTGGTCCTACATTTCTATCCTTGTACTGTACGGGAACTAATTCCGCCCCGTGATTTTAATCATATACTGCAACATACAAAAAACCCGCAAAAAATCGCATTTAACGGGAAAATCTAAAATTATATCGCACACTATGTGCGATATATCTAACTGTGATTTTTTCTTTGAATGTTATAGCTTTAGTGAAAGTACGACATTTAAAAAGGGATTTTCGTCGTATCCGCCTCGCTTGTACTATGACTGGGATTTTAATGCATTTGGTTTGCAGTGTACAAATTGCACCATTTGTAAAAGACGTCAATTGCAGAAAAAATTTGACGAATACTAAAATATGTTAAATGAAGGCACTAGCGGCTTAGATGACTATAACGTCATATCTCTTAAAAAAGGTTTTGACCCTGCTACTTTAAATAAGTAACTTTGTGAATATTCCATTTCTAATGATAAAATTTTCAGCAAAAAAATGAGCAAAACTTGATGTTAATTTTTAGATCAACTTTAGGAGGGGAGGAAATAATTTCTCATGCAGATAGTTTACTGATCAAGGTAACAATATGGATATAATAATTGTTGTTTACTCCCTGCAAAATATAAAAATTAATAGTTAACAAATATATGTCCTGCTTTTCAAATTTCGAAGAAAAGAAAAGTTGCTCAGGGAACTGAGTTTTGCCACAAACTCTGATTTTTTTAATCCCTATATCTGTGCGAGCCAATGTCGAAGACCTTTTAAATATTTCAAACTATTAATTATTTAGACCAAATAGTCTAAGCTTGAAATATGAAAGGTTTACATCTTCAGGTTGCAAAGATATACGGATTAGAAAATTTGAGTTTGTGGCAAAAACGTTTGAGTTTGAGGAAAACGTTGAAAATTTGAAAACATCATTACCAATATTTTACCTTATCATTAGAATTTCAATATTATTCTTTAATTTTAGGATTCTAGGATAGATTTAAAAACTACTAGATACGAAGATTCTGTTCAATATCTAATGCAGGTGATTAATAACTTATAAGACATGGTTACTCACAAAGAATGATACACTAATGACGACTTAAAACTCTTTGAATAAAACAAGCTGAGTGCTTTCTTGTATATGACTTTAATATAGCCAGTGTATGATAAAAAAACAAGCCTATGTAAATAGAGTTTAAATAGGGAAACAAGAAGATTAGAAAAATACTAAATAAATATCAGATTAATAGTTTTAGCTTTCATCTGTTGTGCTGAAATCGGCCATTTAAAATAGTTCTCAAATTTCCTTTGATTTTTCTATTAAATTTGTCGCATTTTCAAAAATGATAAATGTCGACATTTTTTCGGGAAAAAAGGTTAAACTTTAATGGTCCATAAACCTTCCGCATGTGAGTTGTCACAAAGTGTTGGGCCAGATTAGTTCAGCCGTTTTTGACGTTTCTTTGACAAACAGACAAACAGACAAACAAAGTATTCATACATATAGCATTGATGGTATTAACGTTATAGTGTTTATATTGTAAGAAGAGAAGTTTTCAACAAAATAATTAGATTATTATTGTATTAGCATTATGTTTCATGCTACGTTCCGTGATCTTCAGGAAGACAAAACGACCAACAGAAATTATAACAATTAAAATTTTTAGAAACACAACCAAGAGAATATTGTTTTTAATAAATGGTATGAAAAGAAAGACAAAGGAATTGAGTCTTTGCCACAAACTCTGATTTTCTAATCACTATATCTTTGGAACCAAATGTTACATACCTTAGATATTTCAAACTATGATTTCTGTTAGATAAAGTAATCTGAGTTTGAAATATCAAAGGTTTACAACATCGAGTTCTAAAGATATTCTGGTTTAAATATTTGATTTTGTTCCAAAGACTCAATTCCTTTTTAGCTTCCCATATCTTAAAAAGTTTAGAAACAATCAATGATATTCATTTTTTTACTCTATTTTTTTCTCAGATAAACAAAGTGTCGGAAATGGATTCAGGTAATATTATCAATCATTTAGTTTTATATTTTTAAAAATCTAAACAACGGAATTTAAACATTGCCACAAACACACATTTCACAAAGATTCATCCTGCTTATAAGAAGTTTTATCAATTTTTTAGACATGGTCGACTTTTAATTGTCGCAACGCCTTGGGCTTTGATTTTACCACTCTAACTTTTCTGTAGCCCTTTACATGTCCATTTTATAAAGAAATTGTTTTTAGATTTAATTTTTAAGAAGTAATTTTCAAAGTTCTCATAAGTTTTGATGGAGAGCATGCAACCTTCAAATAACAGTGATTTTCTAATCTCTATATCTTAGCAACCTGATGGTGCAAACCTTTAATATTTCAAACCTAATTTTTTTCATAAATTAAAGCACAATGTGTATAATTTGTAATATAGAAGGTCTAAGACAATGGGTTGCAAAGATATAGAGATTAGAAAATCAGAGTTTGTGGTAAATACTTAACTCCCTCAACTTAAAAAAAAATATGCAAGCATTCTTATTGAAACGAACAAAGAAATTAAATATTGCACACAGGGAATATTTTGTGTGTGTGGAGAAAGGTTAAATTTAATTATCCGGCCTGAAAATCTATCGTTTAAAATTTACTTGATTTTAATTTATATTTTTTTCCTTACGTTTAAAAAATATTAGAAAAAAATGTTAAACCTCTTTTTTTAATATCTCTTTCTCAGATATTCTCATTTAAATTTGTCTGTCTTTTATCAGAAAAATATGTTGTAAAATTAATTGCAAAACAATATTTTTTGCAAACAAAAACTGCAAACATATTGAAGTGTGCATCAAAAGTGCAATACTTAAAAATATCAAGCTGTAATTAAATATTTGCATTCAGAGTTAACACATGTTTAAAATACTTTTTCTTAAACTCCTTAATTTTGCATAATTTCTACCATAGTAAAAAAGAACCCTTATTCGGCGTCAAACCTTATAGAAATCCAACGTATAGAAACCGCTACGTATAGCAACATGGCGTATTTTCCGGGAGAACATTTTTTATATTTTTGAGAATTAAATAATCGGTGTAAAGTATCCTTTCATTTAAATGGTAAAACGGAATTTTATGAAATCATATTCGCATTACTGGAGAACTTTTTAATACTTTTGAGAATTTTTTTTTCTCTAAAAATAAAACTGTAGATAGCATTTTTATTAAAATATTTTTTTAAATAGTAACATGCAAATTTATGTATAACCATATAATCATTCATTTATGTTGTCAGTACATGATAAAATAGAGCAGTACAAATGTACATATTAAAATATTTTGCTCCTTTCATATCTGGGGTATGTTAAAAAATAGAAATTATGAAAATGATAATGATAAGCTACAATGTTTTACAAAAACGTTTAATTCTCAAAAACATAAAAAAATGTTCTCCCGGAAAATACCCCATGTTGCTATACGTAGCTGTTTCTATACGTTGGATTTCTATAAGGTTTGACGCCCCTTATTCCATGTTGATTTATAAAACTTTTTTCCCCTATTGAAAATAACTTACAGAAAGAAAGGAAGTCTTTGGCACAAACTCAAATTTTCGAATCCCTATATCTGTACAACCTTGCGATGTAAACCTTTGGTATTTCAAACTGAGATAATTCGATCTACATAATTACATAGTTTGAAATATCTTAGGTATATATGACCTTTTTGTTGAAAAGATATAAGATTAGAAAATCAGAGCTTGTGGAAATGATTAATTCCCCTTTATAAGCTAGATACTAGCTGAAGGGTCCGGCGTTGCCCGTGGACATTTTTTGTTTAAATTTAAAAAAAAATATATTTCAATTTGTTTTTAGCCTTTAAAACCCCCCGGCCACCCATGAGTGTCCACAAAAAATGTCAGCCCAATCGGTCCAGCCGTTTGGTCGGCTATAGGCAACATATATATATATATATATATATATAACTATAAAAGCAGTAATCAGAGCAGCTTCTCAGTTTTCATATATGTATATACTAGCTGAAGGGCCCGGCGCTGACCGCAGAAAAAAAATGTAGAAAAAAAACCCATTTTTTTAGCCTATAACACCCCCGGCCACGCATGACTGTAGACAAAAAATTTCAGTCCAATCGGTCCAGCTATAGGCACCATATATATAAATACATATACATATACGAATGTCTTGTTTCATTATAAAGATTTATATGTAAATATATAGAATTTGTTTCAGGGCGATATTTTTGTGACTCTACGCAAGCTGTGGTTAGTATAGCATTTTTGTGAAAAAAGAAAAAAGCATTATTTTTCAAGTTTTAATGTTCAGGCTCATGGTTCAGGGGTTAGCATAGACATAGGAGTTTTTACACCAATCATGCAAAAAGTAAGGATAATGATAATATTAATATAATAATATTGTTAATTACATATAATGATTTTAACAGCATGATTAATATAATGCTAGTTCTTTATCATATCTAAATAAGAAAAATTCTTCTGGTTAACAAAGATAATGATAATATTTATTGATAATATTTATATTATTGAATACTTAACTCAAAAACTAATTTTCTAATCCCTACCTCTTCACAATCTGATGGTCCTAATTTTGTCTTTTTGTTTAACAGGTTTATTTGTCTCATTGCACGACATCAGGTTGCAAAGATATAGGGATAAAAATTTGGGATGAGCAATAAGTTTTGTAGATAATTTTATTATTCTAGGATCAGGCAGATGGTAAGCTAACTACAGATGATAAGGATGTAATGTCTCCATTACTTAAATCAGAAAACCTTAAATTCAGAACAGCTGATATAGATCTGGAGTCAGAAAATGGAAACCAAAGAGCAGCAAATGTGAATCTAGGAGCAGTAAATGTGAATCTAGGAGCAGCAAATGTAAACCTAGGACGATTACATTCTGACCTCGACGAAAGTTTTTCGACTCAGCCGCATATTCCTGATTATATTCCTTCCTCCTCCCCCCCACCTTATTCATCATCCTCCCCTCCCCCCTCCCCTCCCTCCCCTCCAGTTGAAGGTTTAAAACTGGGAATGAATGAGAGTCCAAAAAGTATCCATGCCAGTATAATTTTAACCCTATCTATCCTACTGCTACAATTATATCAACGATAACCAAGTGAAAATGCATTTTTTGTTAAGACGTTTTTTTTAAATCTTAAGTTGAGTATTTTTTGATTAAATCCAAATCTCTTAATTATATTCAGATAAAAAATGATCATGCTAATATTAAGAATTTTGATATTACGCTTCAGGTTAGCGCCGTAATCATATAAAATTAATTCTAAAAATAATTTACTTTTTAGGACAAAGTTGAGTTTTTTGTCTTGAAATTTTGCCATATATTTAGAATAAATTAGAACCAACACCACCGCAAAGTACATAATTTGGGAAAAGCCATGTAAATCCAAAAAGTTGTTCTGAAATTTATTCTAATATTTGCTTTTATGCTTCAAGTTCAAATCCCTATATATTTGACCTATATATTAACCTGATGTTGGAAAAATAAAGAAGAAATTTTGTGTATTCTACACTTTTCTTTTTTTGTCACACTGTTTATTTTTTTTGTCAAGAATTGAGTTAAAGACTGTAAAATATGTATATTCTCAATAAAATGTTCTATACTGAATAGACAAATCACAATGATCCTGATATATATATAATATATATATCTGTAGACACCCATTTATATTTTATATTTATGTCTCGTTGGTGAAGAAAATCTCACATTGAAAATGTGAGAAATATTTAGTCGTAAATCTGTAACTGTACAATAGATTAAATGTTACTACTTGACAAATAGATGGAAAAATAGATAGAGATAGAGACAGCTAGTTGATACTAGCTAGAGATAGAGACAGCTAGTTGATACTAGCTAGAGATAGAGACAGCTAGTTGATACTAGCTAGAGATAGAACCAGCTAGTTGATACTAGCTAGAGATAGAGACAGCTAGTTGATACTAGCTAGAGATACCATAGTTTCATCATTTGGATTTTAACATTTCATCATTTTAAAGGGACTGTAAGCTTGATTTAAAGAGACCCTTCATGAAAATGTGAAAGATTATGTCGTTTTTCTAAATTGAAAAGGGTTTAATCTTAATTTTTTAAGAAATGCGCAAGTCACTTTTGCCGAGAAAATACAATTAAAATACAGTTTTCAAAATTATAAACATAGATATCTAATTCCTAACTAATCAGACAAAGCTTTTAATTAAATATGGTTGTTAATTATTCATTTCAAATAATAATAAGAGCAAACCTAAGTTTGTTTGGCTCCTCTGGGACATCGTCGTTTTCATATTGGTTGCTTATTTGCTGAATATGATCTGTTTAAACCTACGGTTTTATACAAATTTTACAAATTTAAATTTTCGTATGAATTTTACACAGTTTTATGTCAATTTCTCGAGACAGGAATACCAGATAGAACTCTTATGGGTCTCGATCAACTCCTAAAATTCTTAGGTTTCAGCCTATCCCCTTCCATTTTTCCTTTACAGTCCCTGTTAAAATACGAATCTAAAAAAAAAGACTTTGACTATCTTTAATCTGGATCAACAAGATTCACAACGAACCTCAGATTAACTGAGAGAATGAGGGAGTAACCAGATATTGAAATGTTCAATAAGTTTTGTATTTAATTGATTTTATTTGAAACCCTTAATCCGATTTATCTGTATTTTGAGAATCCCCCCAATGTATCCCTTTATCCCTTTCAGCAGCTGTATTTATTCAGATTGTAGTTTTCATGTAAACGAGCAAATTTAGATAATTTCACAGGGTGTTAAAATATTTATCATAATTAAATCAATACAAATTATATTTTTGATTAATTAGTGCCAAGATTTTTTTTAACCTTGGAGATTTCCCTCTCATTCGAAAAAAAGTTCTTGCTATGAACCCAAATTCTTAATCCCTTTATCTTAGCAACGGGATCTGGGGAAAACCTTTGACTTTTCAAACTTAGACTTTATACTGCAAGGTTTCAGTTCCTTTAGATTAGCAAAAGATTGTTTAAGTTTTAAACTAGAAAATGTGTCTCCTTATTATTGTGTTCACAGTAATGCTGAAGAAATGCTTCGTTTGTCAAAAAAGAAAATAAATTGAAAATCCTTTTTTTCGATTCAACGTACAAGATAAATCTGATAAAGTGTTTAAACTAGTATTTAATTCCAAGCGCGTAGTGGAGGTTTAGCCCAGGGTACCCTTTTGTGCACCCCCCTAACGGTTGATGTGCAAATAAAATAAAGTTTAAAATCTTTATTAATCTACCTGAAGGCCGACCATAATTACCAATTATTTTAAATGAAACCCGCGAAAAAAATATTGTAAATAAGATAAAGGTACAAGAAAGAATTGCCTCTGGCTCTTGGGGGGCACGTCTAGGGTGTTGCATGTCTAGGGGGCACAGGGGTACCGGCCCCCCCCCTCCACTACGCGTCTGTTTAATTCAATAGTTTTCTTCAAAACCTTGATATTTTCTTAACTCGGCTTAATTTTTACCAATATATAAACTTTGATAATTTCAGATTTTATTCTTAAATAATAATATATACTTGAAATATAAAAAAGAGCTAACCGATACATTTTGTCACAACCCCTTCGGAATGACTTTTTAAAGGACTTTCAACATTTATATGAAAGTTTTATTCAAAAAAGATGCCTGCCCCGAAATGAAAAAGAACGAGATAATTACAATATATATTTTCAATAATATTCAAAGAGAATCCATGAAATTAGTTGTTAATTAACATTTAGATTTTTCATGCTTTTGTGTATATACAAGATATATCCTTTTAGAGAGATATTGAGTTATAAAGAATTAAATTTGACGATGTTTTGGCCTTCCTAGTTTATAAAATAATGCTAAATCGAATAATGAATCAGTTTACTACAGGTTTACCCCACAAAGGATTAAAATATGAAGACGACATGAAACTCTTAAATATGACAATTTCAAGGTTGAATCAAATTTTCTGCTTAAAATATAGTCTTTCAATCAAAGAAATAACAATAGACTTTAAAAATTCTTCTCTGAAGTCTCATTCGTTTGTGGGTAACCCTTTATGTCGCCATAATTTTAATAGCTACCAATGGATGGACCAAAGATCTAACTTTTAAAATCTAAGATTTAAAAAATGTTTGTCAACACGTTACAGGACTTACTTTAAGTTAAAACGTGTTGTTAAATTAACTTTTACTCATGTAATGTCCAAAAGCACTGAACACTCGTAACAAACTTTAATTTTTAATTCCTACATAATTAACCTGAGCCCGCGATTTATAAAATATGGGAAAATACGGCTTGGGTCTAAGCTGTCGTTGGGCTTTATTTAAGGCTTGAGCTTTCGGATTAAAGCTGCATCTCATTTTCCACAGAGTTGAGTTAAAAAAACCCGAGATGGAATTTAAAGAATTTGAGCCGCGGTTTAAATCCGCCAAAACCTGGTTTATTTTAAGCGCCGGCTTAAATCTTGAAACATTTGATACAATTTTAAGTGGAACCAACCATATTTAAACCGCGGCTTAAATTTAAACCACAACTCAAATTCTTTAAATTCGGCCACCGGTTTGATATTCTATTTGGCGGATTTTCATGGTAGGAATTGAAGCATTCCGGGTTTTTCTGAGAACAAGACTCAACATTGAACCTTATTCTCCACTAAAACCATCCAAGGTTGGTTTTATTTTCATTGGGCCTAACTCCTTAAATTGAGCCGAAGATCTTTCAGCTGTCAATCACGTGACATAAGCTGTTGTTAGAGTTGGGTCGAAGATTGGGTCTTGGAATCGGGTTTAAGGAGTTACGACTCGAGCCGAAGATTTTGAATTGCGGGCTCAGATGTCTTATTACCTTTTATATTTAAAACTTTAAACTTGGCGAAATCAAATAGTCTAAATTCGAAATATCTCAGGTTTATCCATCAAGTTTCAAAGATAAAGAAATTCAGAAAATTAGGTTTACTAAAAGTATTCAGTTTTTAAATTTAAAAAAATAGATTTCAGGAACAAATCCTTTGATGAAGGTCGTCTTCCCTTTACTTGTTATTCTGGAGACGACTGTACTAATTTAACAATTTAATAAATGATAAAATAAATAAAATCAACAGTTGTAAAATAATAACACAATATTAAGGAAGACAGTAGAATTTTGAATAATAAATTATTTTCATAATAAAAACAGATATTAAAGAATACGACTATAGCACACTGAATAAAATAGGTTAAGAATAATGATTTTTCCAGATTGAAAAAATCTATATTTAAAAATTTATTACAACATTCAGAAGGAATTTCGAGAAACTTTTGAAGATTAAAACATAGATTTTTTTCTTTTAAAACTTAATCGTCACAGAAATAAATAACTTTTTTGTTTTGTTTTTCAAAGAACCTGACGTTATGCATGTAAGTCTATGAGATCTTTTGAAAGAATGAATAAGAAATGTGTAGATAAGGAAAGTCAGATGACAAAAACAATTATTTATGTTTTACAATTATATTATTATCGTTAAATTGGACGAATTATAGATATTTATGCCTTTTAAAATCATCCTTATTTTTATTTTATGTACGTCAAATCTATATTTCTGAAGGAAACGAATTTTGTTCTTTTAATTTCTTAAAATCTTAGAAATATTAAACACCTGCAATTTGCCTGAGAAATATATTTATTATTTTTGTGATTTAAACATTTTTTCTTTTAGCCTTGAATACTGCGTTAGATTTAAAATGAAAAAACATTGACAAATTATAATCGCAATCTGACTCTAACGTCGAAATATATGTGGAGCGAAAAATTAGACTCGCCCAACCCGGTATTCAGCCGTGGTGGTCATGTCCGGCAAGGATTAACTTAATTTGGCAAAGATGTGGGCGAAATTACTTTAAGCGCTGTGTAACATTGGCGAGAGCTACGGCGAATGCTTGGATGGCTGTAAATGGATATTGAAAATCCAAAGTGTACGCGTTGGAGTCAATTCTTCCAAACTGCATAACCTGAAATATTTATTATTTAATAAACAAATTAATAAATAAATAATAATATTTTTATTTTTGTATTTATTATTTCCTATAATTTGAAAAACAAATAGATACAGATACAGATACAGATACAGAAACAGATAAAGATACAAATACAAATACAGATACAGATGCAGATGCAGATTTAGATGCAGATGCAGATACAGATAAAGATACAGATGCAGATAAAGATACAGATACGGATTCAGATACAGATACAGATACAGATACAGATACATATACAGATACAGATACAGATACAGATACAGATACAGATACAGATACAGATAAATATACAGATACAGATACCGATACAGATACAGATACAGATACAGATAAATATACAGATACAGATACAGATAAATAAACAGATACAGATACAGATACAGATACAGATAAAGATACAGATATTGTTAAGTTTCACCTAGTTTCTTCCGTAACAAGTAACCAAGAAACAATTTGGGAAATACAAACCCGGAAACTTATAAAAGTTTACGATTTAGTTTGGCACAGCCAATCACCCCAAAACTTCTGCAAAACTTTCTGGAGAAATAAAGAGTAATTCTGTACAGACTCTTATTTTTAACGGTTTTGAACACCGTGTATACTTCTTTCAACCTGGAAAATTGAATTCAAAAGCGCTCTTTATTAGCAACGTCTTTGTGAAAATTGATTGTGATTGTCAGTGAAGAATTTCATGTTTTACAAAGACGACATTTCCTCTTTAATAGGTATAGGAAAAATATCGGAAAACAATAAAAAAAGGGAAAATGTTAACAAAATAAAGGAAACTGTATTAATACTATACTCAGGAATCTAGTTCTGACTAGAAACTAAACTTTCCGTGGTTCAGGCAAATCAGACAAGGGATTCAAGACTTAGAAATAACAACAGAGATTTCAACGTTATATATATATATATATATATATAATTGAAAAAATCTATATTTTCCACCCCCCCCCCTTTTCGATTTTATCCTGAACTAAACCAGCCAGCCTACTTTATTGAGCATTAATAAATTTTAAGAAAAAATATGAAACCTATACAGGAGAATATATAAATATTTTTTTTAATAATCAATTTGTTTACCTGTTTTCCATTGAACTCGATCTGAAAATTTTTAGCGGACTCTTGTGTGACCCGTCCTCCGAAATCCAGTTGATAAACCTTAATTTTACAAATTAATTTTTCTATAAGCATGTTTAAAATGTAAGGTTTTTCTTAACTTATTTGTGTAGCAATAAATATGATTTTTTTATGTGAAAAATGGGAAAGAAATTGAGATTGGCGAAAACAGTTATTTGAATTTTAAAAACATTTTTACCTGACTACTTTCGTTCCACAAAGGAGCTTTGTTGTGCATAATTAACTCTTTCCCACACATTCGAGTCATCCTACAGATTAAACAATTAAACAATAATTTCATTCGTAGAAAAATATCTTAAAAATCAAACATTATATTAATCCATTCTTTTTACATATAATTCTTTTTTAGCAAAGGAACTGCAATTTTTGCCACAAATTCTAATTTTCTAATCTATATCTTTGCAACCTGAGGGTGTAAACCTTTGATATTTCAAACTTAAATCATATGATTCTTAGTTTGAAATATTAATAAATTACAACAATGCGTTGCAAAGATAAAGGGATGAGAAAATAAGAATAATTTAAGGCGAAAAATATCTTAAAAATCTGACATCTTGTTAATCGGTTCTTGAGTCCCAAGATTGTTGAGTTACAATAAAAATAAGTAAATAAAAAAGTTAAAATATTTTATTGTTTGTAAGCAATTTAAAACTAAAAATACCCCTTTTAATTTTTGAACATGGGACACTTAGAGAAATAAAAGGATAAAGTAAAAATTAATATTCTTATTAATTAAAGGGACTGTAAGCGTAATCTAGAAAGATGGCACTACCCGATTTAAAACGGCACCTTTGAAACCTTAATCTAATCAAAAATGTTGAAAATACCGTCGTTTTCATTTTTCGAAAAGTGTTTAATTTGGATGATTTAAGAAGAAATGTGCAAATCACTTTTGCAGAGAAACTGCAACTAAAAATAAACTGCTTGAATTCATGCTTTATCAGACAAATCTCTTAAGCTAAGGGTATTTTTGGTAAGTTTTAAAATAAATATTTATATATCACACTTGTTTGCCGATTCCATTAGAGCCTGATCCAATCAGGGTTCAGTCATGTGTTTGTTGTCTATTCTGAACCAATAGAAATTGTATGGCGGTAACATCTATCTTTCTATCTATCTCATTATCCAATTAGAGTTATGAATCCTTGAATCGGCGCTATCAGTAAATGGAAAGATTTACTTTTACTGAAACTATAGTGATAAATATTCATAAAATAAGATTTTCTTTCCTCATTGAAAAAAAAGCGACAATTTCTAAATTTGCAAAGACTCCCTTTAAAGGGACTATACACAAATATGACCTGTTTGTTCTAGGGCTAAGTCTGGGACTGGAGGAGGGTGTCCAAAAGTATCTTGGATCCGTCTCAATATTATTCAACTTTCGCAACTAGAGAAGAGAAAAAATTAAATTAATATTTTGAGAAAGTAAAAATATAAACAACAACAAATCTTTTTTTAAAGATCTAAAATTTTTACAATTTTTTGTTTTTCTTCAATACTACGCCTCTAATGCGCTAATGTGCCCCACTCCCCCCCCCCAAAAAAAAACGCACATTTTTTTGTGAATTTTCAAAATTTACAAAAATGTTTTAACAAACATTAATTGTGTTATGATTTGATTGATAGAAAAGTAGATCGTATATTTGAATAAGATTAACAACAAAAATTGAGTCTTTGCCACAAACTCTGATTTTCTAATCCTTATATGTCGTAAATTCTGTTAGATCTAATAAACTAAGATTTAAATATCAAAGGTTTAAACGCTCATGTTGAAAAGATTTGAAATTTTAAGGTTGTGGGAAAGACTCAATTCCTCACGTAAAAAAATCTTACCTTCTGACGAAGTTTTTGTTTCTGGAATGTTTCAAGGTTTTGGTATCCAGCCTGGGCAGGCATACTTGACTTATCATGCAGCCTGACAAAAAGATTTTTCAAAACAATTAAAAAAAATTATCATCATTGTTCAATTATTTCTGATCTATCCATTATTGAATAAAATTAAAGATATATCATTCAATTCCAATCACACTGAAAATCAAACCAACTTAAATAGATTCTAGTATAGTACAATAGATGTCAACGTAGAATTTCTACACTCTCAGTGCAGCTGTTTTCTGACGTCACAAGTGTCAACAGTTTTATATTTACGACAAAATAATTAATAATAGTGATAATAAAGTGCTTATCTTACAGGGAAATATGTGCAATTTTGTGTTCTTTATATACTGTTTTTACACTTTTTTTATTTAATCTTGGAAAACATGTCAACTAGGGAGAAGAAATTTCCTTTTATTCGTTATATTTGACACTTGTGACGTCGTTTATAATTTGTCCATTTCTCCGTTACCACCAATTGTACTTGATAATCTATTTGTACCAACCCAATTTATACTTTTGGGTGATCTTTTATCTATAATTTCAATTGACCTTCCGTTTAAAGGGTGAAATGTCAGATTCTAAATAAAAAAGATATCGTCGTTTCTACATCTTGTCACGTGCTCAATTCAACAATTTCCTTAATTGTCTCTGTAGTGTAAATCCACAAGACATTTTTACAAAGAAATTAAAATTGAAAACAATCAAGAAAAAATATGGATATCAATTTCATCCTTGATTAAACAAAAATTTAAAGGGTATCATTGTAATTTTGTAAATTGGATTTGCCACTTTCCATAAATGGAGTTCCATTGGAATTACGTCGCAGACCCTTTAAAAGGCAAGGCCTATCCAATTAATTCTAATGTATTTTTGCATACTTTTTATTTATAAAAAGATAACTAAAATTTTTATTATTTTGATGAAAAAATGTTGTGATGTTTAAAGGGACTTTAAGCGTAATTTGTCGTGAAAAAGTAAAAATATGATTCATACTTCATCATTCAAAGTTTTGAAGGTACCGTTGTGAATTGGCCATTGCCATCTTTGCATGGAGGGTCACTTGAAAATCTTAAAATTACGTATACAGTCCCTTTAAGATATAACCTGTGATGAATATCAGTAATATCCTCGTCACTGGAGTCAAATGAGGATTTTTTCCGCCGGAGAATCGGAGAATTCAGCAAGGTTCTGAAATAAAAATCATTTAAAAAAAAATAAATATGTTAATTAGAAAAAGGAAATGTGCTTTAAGCATGATGGGACAGCGCTGTGCCTCTAACATTTAATATTCCTTAAAGAACTAAAACTGAAATCAAATGTAGCGCTAATGAAAATTGATGCAACTATTTATAGCAGTTTAAATCCATCTGGATTCGATTAATTGAATTTATAATTTTCATTAAACAGTCAAATGATTGTTTTCTTCTACATTCCTTTTCATTGATAAATGTTGCCAATCATTCAACGGTTTCCATTTTAAATTTTCGTGGCCAGAATTTTATGAATTTGAGCTACGTCGCTGAACTACCTGCTGCCAGTTCAAATTTGAACCACCGATTCAAAGTTAAAGATCAAGGAAGAATAATTGAATCTGTGATTCAGATTTGAACCGGAGGTAAGCAGTTTAAATTCATTGAATTCGGTCCTAGCTCATTCAAAAGCCCGAAAGCACGAAAGCGTGTGTTTAAAATTGAAATTAAAAAAATGCAGGTGCAAAAAGCTTGCAATTCAAGATATGGTAATTGGCGAAAAGAAAAATTCTTTTATCTGTTGAAGTTTTTTTTCCTAATTTTTCTATTCAGGTTTTCAGTGCTGCTTTTTATTTGTTAAAATCTAATTTTCTTTCTTGCCTTTTTATTTTAAATATTTGTTGTTTAAAAATTATGTTTCTCGATATATTTTTACAATTAGAGATTTAAAAAGACTAAGGTAGTTTCAAAATAAAAACTCATCTAAGTTTAATTGTTCTTATAAATTCAATGCTTTTATACATAGAAAACTAAGCAAGGTGTTTTCATTCTCCTAACGGCTCAATCCAAACCATTTTCTCATAATTAATAAGCATGGCTTATTTCATCGATTTTTTATTCTCAAAATTACTAAATTCATGAAATCCCCAAAAGTGACTCTGCAGATAAAAAAACACATGGATATCTCATTCTTTTTTTACCAGACAGCGCTCGAAAGGGTACCTTTATGAATCGGACATGTCATTCTTTCTTTTTATTAATTAGAGGGTCACTTAAAATTATGCCTACAGTCTCTTTAACACAGGAAGTTCAAGCAATGTGATATAATGCTATAGAAAGCTTTTCAATTTGAAATAAGTGTAAAAATCAAAATCAAAGTCGAAAACTTAAACCAAGTTAAATTTAGAATATCGCTCAGAGACCAGATTTAATAAATAGCTTCGTTAAACTTGTTTCAAGTTTTTCAAGAAATGGTTCAACCAAGGCCACTATAGTTTATCTACTTCCTGCTTTTTATTAAAATTATTTAAAATAAATATATAAAGATATTTTTTCAAAATATATTTATATTTAAAAATTAGTCACAAACGCTACATTTTTTAAGTGGTATTGAAACTATAATTTGTTTCGTTTTTTAATATGTTTACATCTATACAAAATACAGATATTGTTTAAGAATGTAACCTAAGCCTTTAATTAACTTAATTAGTCAAACATTATATTTTCAGTGTTATGAGAATTTATTCTAAATAATTAAAGCTGGGAGGGGTGGGATTTTTGGTAAAACTGAAAATCTTTTAAATAACTTGCATAAAACTTTTTTTGTGTATGCATGACAGGGGGAAACGGTTTGAATTAGCCCCCCCCCCCTCTCAATATCGTTCTATGTTTGGCTGACTTCAATGGAATAAGTTTTCGTCTGAATGTTTTGAATAACCTTTCATTTACTTCATCTTCCTCGCTTTCAGAACTAAACAATAAACTTTATAAACTGAACAGAGAAGGAGAAAGGGGGGGGGGGGCTGTGGAAAAGTGCCCCATGAAGCACATTTTATTACTGCCAATTAAAATTCTTATTGGAATATGTATAAAATACGATGGATATAAAGTAAAAATCTCTGTTTGGGTGTTGTTACTTTTCACGTCCGACCATAACTCATAAACCCCTGGGCCGATTTGTCTCAAATTCCAGACAAGACTGGGTTTCCAAGGGTAAGTGTGATTTTTTGCAAAAAAAACGGTTTATAAAATAAAGGAATTGAGTCTTTGCCACAAACTCTGATTTTCCTATACCTAAAGCTTTTCAACCCACAGCACTCTCGTAGATCTTAGATATTTCAAACTGAATATTCTATTAAATCAAATAGTTTGAAAAATCAAAAGTTTACACCAAAAGGTTGCAAAGAAAAGCAAATTAGAAAATTTGAGTTTGTGGCAAGAACTCAGTTTTTTCCAGGTTTTGATCGTTGATAAACTTTGTTCAAATTTCAAGTTTACAAGTAATCAAAAAGATGATTTTTTAATTGACAGCTTCTCTAGACTTCTATTTTTTGTGCATCCATGCTGTTTAAGAGTTTAATATAAATCAAAATTAAAATCAAAAGTCGTCTCCATTGTATTGCTATTTTCGCTTACCACTGCAGTTCAACGACCTTTCCAATTCAGACAATTAGCTCCAATGTATTTTCACAGGAAATGTTTTGTGTTAAACGTCCTAATTAAAAGAAAAACTAACCTGACAGGACTAGAAGAAAAACTAACCTGACAGGACTAAAAGAAAACTAACCTGACAGGACTAAAAGAAAACTAACCTGACAGGACTATAAGAAAAACTAACCTGACAGGACTAAAAGAAAACTAACCTGACAGGACTAAAAGAAAACTAACCTGACAGGACTATAAGAAAAACTAACCTGACAGGACTAAAAGACTGATGCCGTTTCGAGGATTTAAGTTTCCTGGAGGTAAGAGGAGTATTCGGACTACTCTGAGAAACCAGGCTAGGTTCAGGAACTGACAATTTGTCTCGGAATCTCCTAGATAAAATATTTGTAAAAACAGGTTTTTTTTGTCTTTTGTCTTTTTACTTTTGAAGTCTAAAATTTGGGTAAGAAGTGAGCAATAAAAGTAAAAAAGCAGATTTTCTTATTCATTTTGAACGCTGCAATTTCAAGTGACCCTCTTTTTGTAGAGTGACGTGTACGATTCACTCACAACAGTACCCTTGTATCTTTGGCAAGTCTTAAGGATGTCCAGGTTGATGTTATTGTAATTATTGAACAATTGCATGCTGTTTTACCCACAAAAGATGAGACTGTAAAGACGAAAAATTAAAATTTGTAGCTTGATTTTTGGTTTCTGTCTTCAATTATCTATTTCAATGGTTTACTAAATGATTAAGGACAGAAATAAGCCAGTTTGGACCTACAAGGTACCTAAAAGTAAAAAAAAATTGACTGAGCTGAAAACTTTAGAATGGTGGATATCGAGATAATGCTTGATTTTCTCTTTTTCTGAATATCAAGACTAACTTAATCTTGTATCCTGAAAAGTGCATAAAATTCAACCAATCAGAGTCGCGTTTAAGAAGCCTGGAAATTTGAAATTTTGCGCGCCATTTAAGATTAATAGACAGAAAGGGGAGGGAATCTTTTATTTAAAAACCGGTTTTTGATTTTTCTCTACGATATCCAATGAAGAGTAGTTTAAGAAGATAATCAAAAGTATGTCCATTGGATACTCAGATTGAGTAATCGGGATTAAGGATATCTCATTCTTAAGTTTTCAGCTCTGGCCAAAATTTGTACATGTCATCGTAAAGTCTCATCTTTTGTGGGTCACCCTGTATTTAAGAAATATTAAGATTTATTTATTAGCAGTCGCAGAAAATAAATGTTCACATGAGAATTTTTGAAACCCTCTTAAAAATATTCAGTATTTTCGAGGTATACATAAAACGACATTTGTGTAGTTTTGTACAAAGTTTTGTTTAAATCGGGCTATTGTCATCTTTGCATGGAGAGTCAATTGAAATTACGCTTCCAGTCCCATTAAGGCATAAAACCTTTAAAGGGACTGTTAAGGAAAAATGAAAGGGGGTATAGGATAAAACCTGGGAATCTAAGGTTTTGAACGATCCCTTTAAAACATTTATCTTATGCTTCTGTCTCGAGAAGTTGACATAAAACTGTGTCAAAATTATACCAAAACGGACATATGTCAGATTTTGTATAAAGTTGTAGCATTAAACAGATCATATTCAACAATTACGCAACCAATCTGAAAACGATTATATCCCACGATTATTTCCTCCTGTTATAATTATTCAATTTTTATTTTGCATCTCTTTAATAAACATTATTCAGTTTATGATCTGGTAGGAACCCAGGGTTAGTTAATCTAAACCTCATTTCCCACAACTTTGAACTTTTCTCCCTTGAAGTTTATCAACTTTTGTAAATTGTTTCTTACTCACCTGGGAAGGTATACTACACCAAGTGTACTGTGTACTAACCTAGGAAGGTATACTACACCAAGTGTACTGTGTACTCACCTAGGAAGATAAACTACACTGAGTGTGCTGTGTACTCACTTAGGAAGGTGAACTACACCAAGTGTACTGTGTACTCACTTAGGAAGGTGTACGACACCAAGTGTACTGTGTACTCACCTAAGAAGGTGTACTACACCAAGTGTACCGTTTACTCACTTGGGAAGGTATACTACACCAAGTGTACTGTGTACTAACCTAGGAAGATGAACTACACTGAATGTGCTGTGTACTCACTTAGGAAGGTACACTACACCAAGTGTACTGTGTACTCACCTGGGAAGGTATACTACACCAAGTGTACCGTGTACTCACCTAGGAAGGTGTACTACACCAAGTGTACCGTTAACTCACCTGGGAAGGTATACTACACCAAGTGTACTGTGTACTAACCTAGGAAGGTATACTACACCAAGTGTACTGTGTACTCACCTAGGAAGATGAACTACACTGAGTGTGCTGTGTACTCACTGAGGAAGGTGAACTACACCAAGTGTACTGTGTACTCACCTGGGAAGGTATACTACACCAAGTGTACTGTGTACTCACGGAAGGTATACTACACCAAGTGTACTGTGTACTCACCTAGGAAGGTGTGCTACACCAAGTGTACTGTGTACTCACCTGGGAAGGAATACTACACCAATTGTACTGTGTACTCACTTAGGAAGGTATACTACACAAAATGTACTGTGTACTCACTTAGGAAGGTATACTACACCAAGTGTACCGTTCACTCACGTAGGAAGGTATACTACACCTAGTGTACTGTGTACTCACCTAGGAAGGTGTACTACACAAAATGTACTGTGTACTCACCTAGGAAGGTGTACTACAAAAAATGTACTGTGTACTCACTTAGAAAGGTATACTACCCAAAATGTACTGTGTACTCACTTAGGAAGGTATACTACACCAAGTGTACCGTTTACTCACCTGGGAAGGTATACTACACAAAATGTACTGTGTACTCACTTTGGAAGGTATACTACACCAAGTGTACTGTGTACTCACCTAGGAAGGTATACTACACCAAGTTTACTGTGTACTCACCTGGGAAGGTATACTACACCAAGTGTACCGTTTACTCACATGGGAAGGTATACTACACCAAGTGTACTGTGTACTCACCTAGGAAGGTATGCTACACCAAGTGTTGTGTACTCACCTGGGAAGGTATGCTACACCAAGTGTACTGTGTACTCACCTAGGAAGGTATACTACACCAAGTGTACTGTGTACGCACCTGGGAAGGTATACTACACCAAGTGTACTGTGTACTCACCTAGGAAGGTATACTACACCAAGTGTACTGTGTACTCACCTGGGAAGGTATACGCTACACCAAGTGTACTGTGTCCTCACCTGGGAAGGTATACTACACCAAGTGTACTGTGTACTCACCTGGGAAGGTATACTACACCAAGTGTACTGTGTACTCACCTAGGAAGGTATACTACTTCAAGTGTACTGTGTACTCACCTAGGAAGGTGTACTGGAGTACCGGGTTCTGAACCAATAGATTCTTGTTTTATCTCTCTACTCTTCCCAACTTTCGTTAACCTTAATCTCGCCTCAAAAAAAAAGATTAATTTTTTTTAAAAAGCAATTGATTCTATGATCAAAAAAATAAAACATGGGAATTGAGTGACGAATTCGAGATGGCCTTTGTTAATTATCAGCATTGTTATGCCTGATTTCAAAAGCCATAATATTGTTATGTCTGCTAGAGTTTATTTAATGAAAACGGTAAATGACTGTAAAGATGTGTTTGTAATAATTGCAAGATAGACAGTGAAGACGGACAAGTCTATTTTGTTTATATATTGTAATTTTCTTGTTTTACTATGTTCGTTTTTTAAAAATGGTCGTTTTTAAAACGATCGTTTTGAATAATGATTCTTATTAAAAACGATCGTTTTTATAAAATCGTGAACGACGACCCTTCGTTAACTATCGTTAACGAAGAGAGGAAACCGACCTGAAGGGCATCTGTACTTATCATTGAGTAGTTTTTAAGAAAATATCAAGAAGTTTTAGCTCCCCCACTACTTTTTAACTTCATGTAAGACGACATTCAATAAAGTTGCGTGTAATTTTTTTTTCTCTAATTTTGTGGCAAAAGTTCATATAAAATTTATAAAGTTTTTAGTGAGTGATAATAAATGTGTTTTTAAGTTCAAATTCAAAATTTTTTAGATTTCAGATATCTCACAATTTAAGTTTATAAAAACTATGTTTATATGAATTTGCTTGATTTAAATTGAAAAGATCATCTAATCAAAAATTTTTGATTTTTATTTTATTGTAGATTTTGCAAAAAAAAAATTCTTTTATTTAGACGTTCGAAAAACTTATGAATTGTATTGGCTCATTTGTGAGTTTGCCGTAGCGGATTTGTTAGAATTTAAGAAAATTCTAATTTAATTTTAAAAAACCCTGATGAAAGTGAGAAGAAAAATTAGCTATCATTCAAGAAGTTCAATAAGCATTTTTTATCCTAAGAAACATTGTTTTGTAAGCGTAATTTTCTTCAAAATCATGTGAGACAATTGATGATATTTTTTTCAAGCGTTAAGATGATTTCCGAAAATTAATTTGAACTAGATTTGTTTCATCCTCACACGACAATGGGGGGGGGGGGGTCACATAATTCTAATTATATTCTAATTATATCTTATCTATCTTAGGTTTCTCAGAGTATTCTTCAAAACAGAAAAAAATATAAAGCAACGTAAGTTAACGTTGCATAAAATAACCACCTGGTCTAGAAGTTTTTGTAAACAAGTTTGTGCATATTTATCTCCAAAGAGGATAAAATTGTGTACAACTTCTTTTTCGGGAAATTACAAATTTTACTCGACCACGGATTCCCTCGACCGGGTTTTGCCTGCAAATCATCATTCTTTGCGCTCTGGATGTTTTTTAGGCAAACTTTGGCCCGGGGACCCTTGGTAATGTAAACTTCCCCTAACTTCCTTCTAAAGTAGCTGTAAATAAATATTATTGACTGACTGCTGTGTATTGTGGCCTTTTAAATTTTTTATTTTCAGTACAGTGCAGTTTTACTTCTTTTGATTTAATACTGTGTATCTACTTCTGTTTATTTGTATTATGTAATGTACCTTTTTTATGTACTTTTTACTGTGTACTGTACTTTTTATTTTAAACTGTTATTGTGTGCTATACCTTCTGTTTGTTATGTACTTTCTTTACCTTCTGTTTGTCTGTATTAGTACACAAGGAACACTCCTTTGTACCATGGCCCCCAGAGCAGTTTGTTAACAGGATTCTGAAAAAGTACAAAATACTAGAGAAATGTTTAATCTAGATGAATTTAAAAAGATGATTTTCAAATTTTTATTCGATATAGAAATCAAATAAAAATAGTTCTTTGCTCATCTTTGTTAAAAAAATATTATGCATTTCTTACAATCAACAAACTGATATTAGCTGAGACAGAGTTTTATTTATATTCCCCCAAAACATGCAGTACACTTTTTATTTAAACATTTTTGGGGGTAACCCCTTGTATGTATTATTCTTTTACCGCCTTTTGACCAACATTACAGACCTATGATTCCCCCAACAGAGGGAGGTTAAGTTACTTAACGTCCCTTGGTACGGTTAAGTAATATAACCACCCGCTCTGCGAAGTTTTCAGGAAAATATTTGCGCATTATCATCTCAAAAGATGATAAAATTGTGTACAACTACTTTTTCGGGAAATTACAAATTTCACTTCACCACGGGTTCGCTAGACCAATTTTGTCAAAAAATTAAAATTTTTTCAACATTCTTTTCAAAATTTGTATAAAAACTTTTTTTTCTACGGGCAACGCCGGGCCCTTCAGCTAGTAATATATGTAGTGCTTGTCTGGTTGGGTGTCTGTTGCATGTGTTTAATAAACGTCAAAACGGCTGAACAGATCGGGCCCATATTTTTAGTGGAACCTCACAAGGTAAGGTTTATATATGGATGCTCATAATTACAAAAAAGTGTCTCTAACATTTTTGATTTTCGTAAAATTTCGAAAATCTACGAAAAAATAGTAAATTCGCAAAATTTGCTATTATAGTTTTGTCAAAAAGAATATGCTGAAAGCTTGAAGAACAAGTAAAATGATATATTATAATATGATATTTTAAGGAAAACATTTCCTGATGTCTTCAGAAGCAATAATATGAAGCAATAATATGAAATAACCATTATCTAAGTATATTCCCATGTTTTCCATTATCCTGTACGAATCAAACCTTGTCAAAAGAAATTATGAAAAAAGGAAAAAAACATGTGCGTTATGTAAATATTATTCAAATAAGAGAAAGATTCATATTTGTATCCTATATTTTGTATTATAATTACATAAAAACATATTTGTGTGCGTACAGTATACAGGGTTCTATATCCACCATCCAGCATACCTTGCATACAGTTTACACTTTACAGTATACAGGGTTCTATATCCACCATCCTGCATACCTTGCATACAGTTTACACTTTACAGTATACAGGGTTCTATATCCACCATCCAGCATACCTTGAATACATGCAGTATACACTATACAGGGGTTCTATAGCAAGTATACTTTGTATCCAGTATTCCTTGTATCCAGTATACTTTGTATCCGGTATTCCTTGTATCCAGTATAGTTCCAGTATAAAGGGTTCTATATCCAGTTTACCTTGTATCTAGTATACTTAGAATCCAGTATAGTTAGTATATAGTATAAAGGGTTCTATATCCAGTTTACCTTGTATCTAGTATACTTAGTATCCAGTATAGTTAGTATCCAGTATAAAGGGTTCTATATCCAGTTTACCTTGTATCTAGTATACCTTGTATCCGGTATTCCTTTTATCCAGTATTCCTTGTATCCAGTATAAAGGTGTCTATATCCAGTTTACCTTGTATCTAGTATACAGGGTTCAGCGTCTGTATCCAAACTGCGACTCTTCCCTAGTGTTCCCAATTTCCTTCTCTGCTCAATTTTCTTCTCCACAGATAAAACCAATCTAAAGGGTTTAATGAACGATCAAAGGAAGGTCAATCCCCAGTCATAATAGTTGGTTTGTTGGTTCGATCAATGCAGGACCTTTTTAAATCTGTTTTAAATAAGCAATGAGTGTAAAATATTGCGCAAATTCTACAACAAATTGACAAAATTCAAAGTTTTATTTGAATTGGTTAAATTTGCAAAATACTCACTCTTTTAATGAAAATTTGAAAACCTCGTTTCCCAATTTCAATTATTTTGATTTGATTTTCTTATTAACAACAAGTGATATTAAATCTTTTTTCCAAAAAATAAATGAAATATAAATAAGATCAATATCAAGAATGCAAAAAAGCAATGATAATTTTAACAATAATAAAGATTTAATGATAGAACATTCTTATTAAAGAGATTGTTCACCTTTTTAAGCGTTTTTTTAGAGGAAAATTATTTCTAATATTTTGGGTTCAGTAAGACTGTATAGTACTTGGTTACTTAACCAAAAAATCTGGATGACATTTTTGTACATGAAGTAGGCCTATTGTTTCGTTTCGTTTCGTTTCGTCCAAAATGTTGTGTGTTCAAGTTAGTGAACAGTCTCTTTACATATAAAAATAAAAAAAACCTTCTCGTATTCTCTCCAACTGAAACTGCGTCACTAGGCACCCCTAGTATATCGACTAAAGCTCCTAAACAAATAATAATTAATTATTAAGTAATTTATAAAAGGACATAATTCTATATTACATTTAATAAAAGTGAAGATTTGGTTTGGTTTAAAGGATGAGAATAATAAGCTTGTCTTATTGAACATACTAGAAATTATCTTTATTTTCAGTATAATTTTTTTTCTAAAGAAAAATTGGTTACAGTAGAAAAGAAAGTAGAAACAATATATTTTTAGAATAACGAACAAATATAGAGTTGAAAAAAACCAATTTTTTGTTAAAAAAAACAGAACACAAAAAAAAAATTTTGTTTTAGAGAGGCCTTCGACTTTCTGCAGAAGTAAATATGATAACGGTCTCTTGTTGCAAAGGAGTTAAGGGGACTACAGACGTCATTTCACATGAAATTATTTCTACAGTCCCTTTAAAATACATTCCAATCAACACTTCTGTAGAATGCAGCACCTCATGGTTCAGGCTGATTCTTTAATGTACACTTACCCTTTTTTCTTTCCAAAACGATAAAAATTATTTCGCCCAATAAATAGATTGAATAAAAATTTGGAATTACCTAAATGATCTACGCTGCAGCTACGTACACAAGAATTGGTAATTTTCTCCATCTATTTCCAATAATATAATGAAACAACAAAATAAAAACAAAATAATAACAAAATAAAAATAAAATAATAACAAAATAATAACAAAATAATAACAAAATAACAACAAAAGCTCTTATATATATATATATATATATGTTGCAGATAGCCAGCCAAACGGCTGGACCGATTGGGCTGAAGTTTTTTTGTGGGCACTCAGGGGTGGCCGGGGGACGTTATATGCGAAAAAAATCAAAATTAAATTTTTCCCCCTGCCACCCCTGAGTGCCCACAAAAAAACTTCAGCCCAATCGGTCCAGCCGTTTGGCCGGCTATCTTCAACATATATATATACGAATGTCTTGTTTTATTATATAGATATTTCAAGCAACATTTTACAAAACTCGATAATTGATAAAATGAAAAGTGTTGAACTACCAAATTATTTATACCCTTCAAAACTTTCCTGCAAAGTTTTGAAATTTAAACCAAATGTAAATGGTTGACAAATAAAATAGTTTCAATCCATCTTGAAATGTAAACAGAACTCAAGAGTTTTCATCGATTAAATCAGAGTTCCCTCAAATCAAAGGAATTCAATATTTGAGGAAAAGATGATGTTTAAACAGATAAAGTTCTAGGAATTTATGCATTTTCTTAAATGTCAAAACCGATGTCAGTAGGACTGGACACGTTGGCGTTTTGAAGAAAATTTTTTTTTAAATTTTTTAATTAATTTTTTAAAAAGTATTTAAAGATTGACCCCTAAGATTGACTAACTATAAACTCTACTTTAGGAAGAATTAATCATCGAAATGTTTGATTGTATTGTATTGCATAAAACTATATAATTAACCACCCACTTTTTTTATCATCATATTCCAAACTCAAACTTTGACTTGATGACTCCACCAAATTCATATATGCCTCCACCAAATTGAGAGCTAAATTTTTACAAGAAAGGAATTTTTAAATTATTTTAACATTTTTTTTTTCAATGTATGGATTCAAATTTAAGATTTACAATTTTGTCGTGAAGAATCCAAATTGGCTAAATTAAGAATGATTTTAAATATTAAAAGAAAACATATTTGTATGGTTAGATTATATCCCTGTTCTGGTTTTAGAAGATTCCAACCACCTTCAGGCTCACGTAGCTCCTCGGCCTAGAATAATCAACATGAACCACAGCAATAATACAGTGTAAACAGACCCATTTCATCTAATAAGAATTAATTTTCAAGATGCTTGAAAAAATATTTACTTGACAATATCATCAAATGCACATAATTTTGCTTAAATGTCGTCTTTCTAGTTCAAAATCAAAATCTGCTAAATCTTTTATTCATACCAAAATAGTATTTTTCTAAATCATTTTGTTTTGTTATTAAGATTCAATATTTTCAATCTTTAACGGTTATTTACAATGATATTTTTACTGTCAAACATTTTTGGAAAGATAAAAAATCTGATAAACTGAAAAATTAAAACTCCTCAATTCTTTTGAAATAAAAAAATTGAAGAAAGATCATTTTGGTTTATTTTTAACTGTTTACAGTATCTTCCACTTGTTAAAACGGACGGATAATCATGATCGCTAATGAAAACGGATCTCCAATAACTATCGTCATCCAGCCCTGAATTTAAAACCTTTATGTTGTACCTTAGCTGCCCAGCGTCTTGGACTGGCAATGCTTGAGTTTGGACTTGAAGTTTGTGAGTTAGAAGCTCCAACGCTATCCCTTCTACCTAGTTTCAAGCAGTTCACAGGCATATCTCCTGATTCACTGTCAAGTTCATTCTCACAACTCTAAACATATATTTATATGTAAAAAACCGAGAATTCTGTATGAATTAAGCATCAAAAAGTGTTTTTTCTTTTGTTTCTTTTAAGAATTGTTGAATATGGTAGTACATATTCTACAAAAATTACATATCTTATACAGATGAAATTAATTCTTTTTGAAGTATGTTCGATTGATGTTTAAGCCGCCCATCCCTAGGCAGCCTTACTAGTTTCTAAAAGACCTTTTCCGCATATTATATATTCAATATTCATATATTTGATGGAAGTTTTGAATGCAGAAAATTTAATAAAAACATTCAATATTGTGGATGGTGGAGATGAATATATTACTGGATGGCCAAACTATTGCAGATTCGATGGAGCAAACTAAATATTGGTTGTTCCAGTAGGAACAGAGGTTTTAACTTTAATAATTTATTTTTATTAAGGGGTGTGGGCACAAGCTCACGCATACAAATAAAACGATATATCAATAAATCTATTTCCAGTTTATCATCAAGGTCTTTTTAGTCCTTTGTTTTGCTCAAGATCGTTCAAAAGTCATGTACCCCAACGTTTTGTGTTGCGCCGTTGTCTTAAAAACTTGACCATGGGTAACCCTATACACCATAGTGAACACTTATTTTACGGGGGCTGATCTTGCTTCCTGTTTTTCCTTAGGCTTAACTATTAGGTTTGGTTAAATGATAATGATTTTTGTTAATCGCATGTAGCGTTGATTTGCTTATGACTTGTAGAAATCTGGATTTTCAAACATGATTGAGTTACCTTAGAGTAAGATAAACTATGTTTAGTTGGCCATTTATTGTTTATTTCGATATCTGGATCGGTTGACAAGCTTTCTAATTTGGCCGCCAAGGAAGAAATGGTGCTCTATAAATACAGTACAGTAAATGGCAGCCATTAATTCAGAAAACAGAACTGTTAAGTTTTGATTAATCTAACATTAATTATCGACTTTTTGACTGTTCTGTACCCTGCCCTATGCATTTGAATTAAAAGTTCGGCCCTTTTAAAAGGGTTGAAAACAATACCTATTATATACATCACATAATTTTAAAGGTCATTTCTGTACTTTCCTGGTGTTTAATTTGTACTTGAGAGACTCCATTTGTGTCAGCGCTGGTCCCAAATAGAGATGAACCCTGAAAAATATTTAATTAAATATTTTTAAAATAAGCTTAATCCTGATTATGGTACCCAATTGAGAGATGGGATAAACGATTTGTATTTTGTTTAAACTTTGAGAGCATAATATAAAAATATTATTATTTAATTGTTTTCAATATATGGAACGCTTTCTATCCTATTTGATATTTAAAAAAACACACTGAAAAGTCAGCCTCATTTAAAGTACAGACACGACTTTTAGACAGACAGAACAAGTTGTGACTCTACAGTACACGATTACAGATGACACAACGGGACAGTACACCAAATTAATCATCTCCTTCTGGGGAGTTAAATGTGACCATATATTTTTCTGTTCATGTGAGGGAGGGGGTGCAGGGCAGCCATGAGCCCCGCGAAATGACCTCTGGAGCCTCCTCATACGTAGAAAGACTTCCAAGCCCCGGGAACCTTCTCTGCGCCACTCGCTATGCATCCAAGTCTACGCAAATCTCTCTCCGGGTGGTTTCGCGGTGGGCCATTCTGCGGATCACAGGAGGCGGCGGAGGTCATTTTGTAGAGCTCATTACGGCTCTGCACCCCCTCCCTCATCATGATTTGCAGGACTTTGACTGTTTTCTGGTTATTTTCTCATTTTACTGCGCAGTCTGATTACACAAAGAAGAAGAACTCTCAAGAATACTAATTTATACTTCACAGGGAAAACAACTAACTAGACCAGACTAATCAAACATACATTCTGGTAGAAGAAATAATATTCTTGTGCACTCTAGTATGCCGAGTCCATTAGCGCCTTATCCATTCAGGGATCAGTCATGTGTTTGATCTCTATTTACTACAATTGCCATGACAATTTTGGGCCCGATCGGTTCAGCCGTTTTGACGTTTATTGGTACAAAACAAAGAAACAGACAGACAAGCAAAATGATGACCGGTTTATAAATTCGCGTAAACTTTGATAAAATCTAATTAAATGATAGCAGTGTTTTGTCACGTCAAGGCATAATGAGCTTATATCATGATTTAATTTAAGAAAACTGTATTTTCTTGTATTGGACATTAACCTGAGCATAATTTATTGAGAACTCAAGATTCCTTAAAATGTTTCTGTGTTCTTTATGACATTTTAAAAATCCATATATATTTGCAACCTAGGATGGTGTTAACCTTTGATATTTCAAACTTTGATTATTTGATCTAACATAATTAAATGAAAGGTCTACGACATAGGGTTGGGATTGGATATGAGAACAAGAAAACCATAGATTGGAGCAAAAAGTCAAATCCTTTGAAATATGTTCCATTTTGGTGGTATTCTGTTTTGAAAATACTTTCTTGTTAGTTTCTCTTAAACTCCATATGTTGTTTGTACAATTGTGTGCTTAATTATAGGAAAAACCTGCCTTTTAGAGAACATAATAAACCTGGTAATGGGGAAACTTTTTAGATAAACTTTCAGTCCAGAGAGCTATTATACTAATTGTGTTTTCTATAGAATAAAGGATGGAAAAAGGATAGATAAATGGATATATATTCCATACTAAAGTACACAAATAAATATGATCATCCTTTAGAAAATGAGGAACTTTTCAAATCAATCGAAAAGGGACTGGTGGCCGTATTTTACGTAAGTTTCAACGGTATCTCATAAAAGCTTTCTCTGATCAGGAGTGATTGGAAATATCCCTGTTTTCTCTTGTGATTTCTTGTGTAAGAAAATTGGAGGAAATTATCAGAATTAAACACTTATCAAGCTGGAAAAACTACTATATTTTTCTCATTTTTGAAATAAAAAGTTTTAAAGGGTATTGTTGTGAATCGGTTTACCCTCCTAGAATGTAGGGCTCTGGGCTACCAGAAATAAGACCGATACTATAAGGGGGTGTTGATTTTGTTAATTTATTTGCAAGCAACACCACCAAGACCAACAAACAATATTAAAACTCTTCTTTTTTAACTTTTCTTAAAAAGGAATTTTTTTTCTGCTAAAGATTCAACGTATTTGGAAACGACAAGGAGCCGATAAAAAAGTAAAAAAAAAGTTAAAGAGTTTTTGTAATACTTGTAACTTACTTGTAACCCTGTAATTTCGGAGGCTTTTGATGAAATACTGGGTTCAGGAGAATCTAAATAAAATATTTTAAGATTGTATTTTTTTCGTTGGGGATTTTTATCATTCCAAAAAAAAAATCATTACAGAAATGGAACTAGCGGAATTAACAGCGAGTTGAATCCAGGTTGGTTTCTGGCTTTTACTACAAACTCAAATTTTCGAATCCATTTATATCGGTGCCACTTAATTGCGCGAACCTTTGATATTTTAAACTTAGTTTATTTGATCTAACAGAATTCATAGTTTGAAATATCTAAGGTCTACGATATTTGGTTGCAAAGATATAGATAAATCAGAGTTTGTGACAAAGGTCCAATTCCAATTTCCGATTTCCGTCACGTAAACAGGAAACTTTCCCATCTTTGCTTCAAATTTAATTTCTTGAAGTCTGTGTCATGAAAAGAATCAAATGAATGAGTTCAAACTGATTGAGTATTCAGGAAGCATACTATTGAAGAGGTCCATCAAGGACTTGATTTAAAATCAATTCACGTTTCTTCAGAGCTCTGGATGAAAACAAGAAATTTGTACTTAAAATTCCAGGTCAAAAGTTTCATATTATATAAAAACAAGATTTCCTAAACTCCAAGTAATCTCTTCTCAAAAGCAAACAAATCATGTTAATTATTTTTTGAACTTTCACAAACTTTGACAAGCCTCCAAGTTGAAGCCAATTTTACAAGTTTTATCAGGAGGCGGACACGTCATGTCTGTGTGTCTGTGCCAAAAGAGTGTGCGTCTGTAATAAGGAACCCGTCTGCAAAGCAGTGCGACTGGCTTTCTCATGCCAGACCAGCGCCATTTCCTTTCCCTTTATTCTTATTCCCTGGTTTTTATACCTGGAACTGTTACAGCTACAGAAGGTATAATGGACACATGTTTCCGGTCAGTGCAGTCCATGCGGCGGTCTGTGTAGTCCATTCTAGACGGTGAGATCTTTTGGAAGTCCATGATGGAGAGACGGTTGGAAATAGACGGAAGAGGGGCAACTACGGGATAATCCTTTAGAGTTACAGCAGTCAGCATGTCGTCTTCCATAGTCACTATAGAATAATGTAATTAATTAAATATCTAAGGGACTGTAAGCGTAATCTTAAGTGACCCTACATGCCCAATTTACAAATTTACAAAGTTTGAATGAGATATCCATGTTTTTGTTTATTTAAATCAATTATTTTCATTTGTGGTTTCTTTGAAAAAGTGACTTGCGTATTTCTTAATTTTAAGAAACAATGGACAAATTATGAAATTTTACACTTTTTGTGTCGTAAGAACAACGCATCCTCAGTTTTGGTCATTAAAGTTTTAACGAAACTGTTGTAATTCGGGCATATTTTTGAGAGCCTAAATGGAACAGGTTGCATAGTTTTTGGAAGAAACACGCATTTTAGAACATTTGCACTTACGAGTAATTACACATTTTTAGTTTATCAAAATATTTATAAATATCTAAAAAGGAAAGTCCAATTTTTTTTAAAAGAAGTTTTAATTCATACACTTTTTTGTCGATTCTAAAAATAAAGCCTCCCTTTCAATGTAGAACATCACATAGAAACAGATACAGGGTGTCCCACATCATATTAGACCGTCAACAGGTCTAAATTGCGATTTTCGGGACTAATAAGAAAATTTAATTAGAATAAATCAGTTTGAAAAATAACATAAGGCTTATATAATAATTTTCTTCGGAAAATCATAAGTTTTTCGAGTATTAAGGGTTTATTTTGTCGTTAAAGATTAGAGATAATCTAATATGATATGGGACGCTCTGTACGTAACATTACTGGTAATACTTTATTATTACTTTAGTTTGATGTGACTTATTGGTTTATGCACTACATGTATTTACAATTGTACAGGATTTTTAGGGCCCAAGCAGACAAATTATTAAATATATACAGGGTGTCCCAATAAACATGGGAATTGAGAGACGACTTGACTAATGACAGAAAGTGCATCAATAAAGATTAAAAGTCTAATGAGCTTTCCAAAATCAAGTCTACCTTCTTTGTACATTTAAAATTGACGGAGATATTAAACATTTGAACAGTCTTAATAAACTGGAATCTGGACAAATTTCCCAATATCTCTGTCAAAATCTTGAAGGTAAAAATGGTAGACCACATTTTGGAAATCCCGAGACTAGTACGTTTCGGTCTTAAATGTTTTAACTGTGATATTACAAAATTATGTTTACGAAATACTCCCGCCTGGAACAAAGTACTCGTCAGTTAATTACCATGTTTATTGGGACACCCTGTATGATAACAAAGTACTAGGCTATGTATTGCTTATTCTCCGCTCCTGACTCTAAAAGGAATTATTTAAAAGGCGAGAAACAATATATGCAAACAAATCTGTAGATTGGACTTTTAAAACTTTAAAGAAAGATTGAATTTTACCAAAACAGTTTATTTCCCATGAGACCTGCCAACTATTGCATTGATGGGAATAACATTTTGTTTAGGGGGGGGGGGAGTGGCATTAGGAATTAGCATGGTTTTAGGACATCAAAAACATTAAGGATGCATTTTTGCGTTTTAAAAATTAAAATGAAAAATGTTTTTAAAATATTCAGATAGATAATATTAATAATCAATAATATATCTACTAAAAATATGTATGTTAAACTATTATTCGATGAATAGTAAAATGGAAATTTGGTTGAAATTGTCAGGTTTGTTTAATCAAAATTAGATTTTTTGTTATTAGTGAGAACCAGAAAACTTTGGTACAGAAAGACAACATTACAGTGTATTTGATGTCGTTACACAGCAAAAAAATTTAATTAGTAACTTATTAAATCACTTATTCAGTTAAATAAGTCTGCTTGAGTATACAATGTCGTCTTCCTATGCCACAGTTTTTGGTTATCATGCTTCATGCTGCATATGAATGTTATAAAATAAAAGATTAATTGTTTTATTTAATTTTTTTATTATTTGAGACTGAATTGTTAGTGAAGTTCATTTTATTATGTCCCACTACCAAAGTTTAAATTGAATTTTTTGTTGTTGAACGAAAGTGCGCAATAATCGATTGCATTTATTGTGTGCCGTAAGGTTTAAATTTAATGTTATCAAAACATTGGAACACTTAAACGCAAGAAAGTTTGACGGAATTGCGCGCAATTCCGTTACGTTTATTACGTGCACTTATTACGGAATTGCGCACGATTAAATTCACTTGCTGGCAAGTAAAATCCACTTGCGTTGGAAACCCTAATTCCATATAATGAATCTGATTAAAGGGCTTTTATTCTTGTATACGTTTTTATGCTTTATGTTTCATAAAATGTATTCATCTGGTTTCCTTCCTCAATTTGATACGGAAATGGAAGAGATAAAAAAGTAAATGTTTAAATTTTATATTTTAAAATTCTTTAAAACGGACTGATATAAACCAAGTTTTCAAAACTGTTTCGCATGTTTAGATCTATTTTGGAAAGGAACTGTACAGTCTACACTCGCCTCAAACTCAAATTGTATAATTTCCGACATTCTTTATTTGATCCAACAAAATACAAAAAAGTCAAATACGTCATGGTTGCAAACATTAAAAATTTGTGTTTGTAGGTTTGTAGGCAAGTGCTGAAATCCGTAGAAAGATGCCATATGGAAAAACAATTTCGAATTATGTTACCACCCCGAGGTACCAGTGGGTTTCCAAAAACATTTTTAACCAATTTGGTCAAGCCGTTCGGCCAGCTATAGATAGCTTCAAAATTTATATATAGATACAGGGTGTCCCACGAAATATGACAGTATGCAGGACGACTTGAATGTCGTCTTGATTTTTGATATAATTTGCTGCGTTTATTTCTCAACCTAATTTTAGAAGTAAATTTCTAGATCTAGAAATGTAGGTTGAGGAGGTTAGAAGGTTGTTTGGGTCGAGAATATTTCCAACTAAAAAAAATGCCAACGATTTATATTTCCTTAACATTTAGAGAAAAAAAATATCCATAATAAAAAAAATTAAAACTCACTATTTTAAGGCAATTTATGGGGAAATAGACTGTGAAAACGTACCGGCCCGGCATAATCTCTCTGAAAGAAACTGGCATTCGTTTAAAAAGTGATTTTCACCACATTCTCTTAGGTTGTTTTGAGACTGAGAGTTAGTTCAGCCAAGTTAGGAAAAAAACGCTCCGGAGAAAAAAAAAATATGGTGAAAATAATGATCTTACATTTGTCAATTTCTTCTTCATCCTCACTGAAGTTTGTATAGTTCCCATTACACTCATTCAAAACAAGATCATCCCTGTCCATCAATCAATCATGATCAACCAATTAAACAAGCAATCAATTGATCAATTTTAATCATTTAATCAATTAATCAAGTAATAAATTCATTTTATTAATCAATCCAAGGTTATAATGCAAGGAAAGTTATTTCAGAGGTGTAGGCATCTTTTGTACTGCAGTGTATTGTCAATTTGTCTCTGGGCGGTAATATAAACACAAGACGGATGTCACAGCCTGACATGGGATCCATCTTTCACATAAAAAATCAATGAAATATTCTGGTCATAGGAAACTATTATGTGAACTATCAAACTTTAAAATTCGATGCTTTTAACCACCTCGGATACTAAACGAACACTGATGCATCTATTCTTGTTTACAAATTCCGCCCAGAGAGACTGGTTTCAATATGTACGCAGAGTATACACAACTGCAATTAACTTTCCTTGCATTACAACCTTGAATTAATCATTCTAATAAAAGCATTAATCAATCAATCAAGTAATTAATTAATCGATCAATCAATGAATCAATTAGTCAAAGATTATGTTAAATTTTTCTGAATTAATTGACAAAACTATGAAAATTTTAGGATCAGAACATATTCCCCAGTTGTAAAACTTGATTTTGATTTGTGTTCGAAAAACATGAAAAATGTTAAATAGATAGAAATCTTTCTGAATTTTAAGCCTTTTTCAAAGTTAAAAGAGAAACTATTTATAAAATAAGCTTTTGTTTCAAAACAATGAAATAAGTATAATTATGGTTTATGTATGCCCATTTATCACTTGTATTTTACCCTTTGTATACCATTAAACGATATATATTCAATACAAAGCCAGATCAATGGTAAAATTGGGTATTGTTTCATAACACTGTACAGTGTAAAGTTTAAACTTTTTTATTTTCAGTACTTTTTAGTCTCTGACCGACCATTCATGGGGTTATCAAAAGATACAGATAATTTCTTGATCAAAAGTTCTGAGCTCCCATTTTTTCTTTGAAAAATACTAAAAGTTTGCTTGTTGTTGTGTTGCTGAGACTTTTAGAAGGAAAAAGTCCTGAAGAGAAAAGTTTAAATTGTTTGGACAGAATCTTATTTTATTTCAAACTTGGGATTTACTCAGACAATAACCTTAAAATTGGGATTTACTCAGACAATAACCTTAAAATTGGTATTTACTCAGACACTAACCTTAAAATTGGTATTTACTCAGACAATAACCTTAAAATTGGGATTTACTCAGACAATAACCTTAAAATTGGGATTTACTCAGACAATAACCTTAAAATTGGTATTTACACAGACACTAACCTTAAAATTGGGATTTACTGAAACAATAACCTTAAAATTGGGATTTACTCAGACAATAACCTTAAAATTGGGATTTACTCAGGTAATAGCCTTAGAATTGGTATTTACTCAGACAATTACCTTAAAATTGGGATTTACTCAGACAATAACCTTAAAATTGGTATATACTCAGCCAATAACCTTAAAATTGACAATTTTAAACCTGGAAATATCGAGTGAATACTTTTCCTTAAGCGCATACTAAATTTTCAAAATTTTGGAATTTAAAAAATGCCTTTCCAGACCTTTCCAACCTTAAAAATAGACTAAAATATATTACTCAAATAGTCCAAAAAATTGCTTGATAAAAAACAGGAATATCTAATATAAAAGTATTTCTGGAAGCATTTATTGTACAGAATTCTGATTTATGCTAGGTTTATGATAATTTTGTTGTTTATCTCATAAAATGTAAATATGAAGAAACATTTTTTTTATTTCTCTTAATTATATATCTTAGATTTTATAATGAAAGAAAAATGATAAACTCTGTATAAGAATGGTAGTTCAAGTTTGAGATAAAGATTATATCAAATGAAGTTTTCCAACAGTGTTTATCTTTTCTATCTCAAAACTAACAGAACTCAATGCGGATTCTTTAAACTTAGTTAGAACTCTGCAATATGAAGGGTACGAGGGATTCAAAATAATTTAAAGATTTAAAAAGATGTGAAATGACCCTAATATTATGTTTATCATATAGAACAAAATGTAAAGATTTTAACAGCATAGAGGACCTTTTTGCACTGAATTTATGGAATTGAAAATGAATTCAATTACTGTCGTCTTTGTATAATAATAATGATATTGATTGATTGATTGCCTAAGTTCTGTGAGAATAAGACGCATCTGTCTTGGTTGAAGATGGAGTAAACTCGCCTTGTAAGATATCTAAACAACAGCAGGGATATATTGTAATGTAATGTTCTGTACTGTACAATACTATATTGTACTGTATTGTACTGTACTGTACAATACTATATTGTNGTACTGTACTGTACTGTACTGTACTGTACTGTACTGTACTGTACTGTACTGTACTGTACTGTACTGTACTGTACTGTACTGTACTGTACTGTACTGTACTGTACTGTACTGTACTGTACTGTACTGTACTGTACTGTACTGTACTGTACTGTACTGTACTGTACTGTACTGTACTGTACTGTACTGTACTGTACTGTACTGTACTGTACTGTACTGTACCTGGCCTAGTATAGGAGGGAGAGATATATCAAGAGAATGAATATTGAACTTTGTTCCCCAGATATTTGAAGATATTTCAACCATCTTAGCATCTTCAGGTAGATTGTTTACATAATCCACCTCCTCGTTACCAATATACCCAAAATACTAAAAATAAAAAAATCTAAAAAGCATTATTCTCTCTAATATAGAATTTTGAACATTCCATTCAGAAAACTTGCCCTTTTTCAAATTAAGACAATATTTGTATCTGTATCTGTATCTGTATCTGTATCTGTATCTGTATCTGTATCTGTATCTGTATCTGTATCTGTATCTGTATCTGTATCTGTATCTGTATTTGTATCTGTATCTCTAACTGTATCTGTATTTGTATCTGTATCTGTATCTGAATCTGTGTATCCCTGTAAGTAAATGACTCTGTATCTGTGTCTGTATCTGAGCCCTCATTAGTTAGCCCCGCCAGGAGCCGAGTGCCTCCAATAGTTTCTGAAAATATTTCAATTTTAATCAAGGCCGGCAGTAACTTAAACTAATGAATTAAATTCTAGGTTTTGATCTTCCACTTAGAACTTTGAAGCTAGATTTAGGTTATATAGACTTGAGTTTTAGTTACAGAAATATTAAAAACTGGTACAATTATCTTTTTTGAAATTTTTTAACACGCAACTGAACTTAACATGATCAGTTTCAAGAAAGAAAAAGAAGGGAGAACTCCTTAGTTTAGCTCAGACACAGGTTTAAAAGGTTGTATATCAGATATGCCAAATAGGTTGTCAAGTACTTGACAACCTATTTGAGATATGCCACTCTATAAATAGAAGGTTACAGCCCCTTTACACTTTAACCACACACCATATAGTGCATAACTGAAAACTATAACGAAATTGAGACTTTGCCACACTCTCAGATTTTCTAATCCCTACATCTTTGTAACCTGATGGTACAGTCCTTTGAAATGCATAGTTTGAAAAATAAACATTATTCTGACTCCATCTTTAAGCAATAATATATATGCTCATTCATTTTGTTACAAAAACTGGGGTATAATATTTAGTTTTAAGTGGTGGGCTATCACTTTATAGTTCAAAGCAAAAGGTTCAAAGATGGTTCTAAAAGTAAGTCTTGAAAATAAACTTTATCCAAATTTTATGATGATGAATGATTAAAACAAACTTCATCTTCAGCTTGGTGATCGAACTGAAAGAAGGAGTTTAACCCCTCGTGGGTATAAAAGCACTGCACAACAATACCGGTGTTTTACTGAACCAGATGTAAGGACTGGACTGCTAAGGATTATATTATATATATTATATTTTATATATGAATATGAATTTTCTGTCTGAAAAAAATTCAAGAACTAAATCAGAATTAAGTAAACTTTTACACTTTTTACAACTTTCAAGTATTAGGGAAAAGTTGGTAAATTTATTCGTTTTGAAGTTTAACATCATAATGAATATCACAAGATTAATTTTGCAAAAAAAGTTTTGCTGGGAAAAGTTTTAAAAGTTTGTTGTTAAGAAATTGTGTCAATGATGCAAGAGCAGGATAATAAAAAAGTTGGAAGCATGTTAGAATTTGAAATCTAAACTTAGAATGTTTACTGCACCAAAACCGCAAAATTGTTTTCTAAGAAAACTTGATTTAAATATTCTGCCGAGCTAAAATCATTTTTAATAAACAATTGTTTTACTACAATGGGACCCATAATATTTTGAAGTAGGACGAAGACGTTAAAGGATTGATGCGGTTATAAAGCAAAAATGTTGACCAGTAACTTGAAAATCAACTTTTTAAGTTTAATGGGTCTGTTTACACTGCACAATTGATGTTTTTTTAATGTTCAATCAACTATTTAAAATCATTACTTGAGTCTAACCATCCCATTGTAAATATTGTGTAACTTACCTTTCATGGGATCAAAGATTACAAACTCAGGTCTAAGTTTACTCGTCTTCCTTCCCTTTAGTATTGGTAGAAATCCACCTGCGCACAGACACTTATTCAAATACTACGTGGCAAATGTGCAGTGAAAGAAATATTTGTAGAAACAAAATTCATCCAAAAAATTTTACTGAAAGTTTAAGGTTTCTCTATAAAAGTGACATTTGTGGTTCTATTATAGAAAACATAGATGGAAGTTGTCAGGATTTCAAGCGGGACAAACGAAAAATCTTCCAAGTTATTGATCAGAAAAGGGTAACATAGTGAATTAAACATGAGCCATGGAGGGTCAATTGAATTTATATACGACCACAGATTTCTTAAACCTTACAATTTCCTGCAGAGTTTGTAAACTTTTGTTTAATAAATACATTCCGAAAAATGTGCGGCCGCAGAATTTCTTCTGTAATTTTAATGCTTATATATATATCAGAAAAGTTTCCTAGGTGCTCGAGGTATATGGTGTAGTTTGGCCCAGTAAATTCATCTCCGTGTCTAAACATTTCATCAATCAATCATTTAGCAAATTCATCTCTGTGTAAAAACATTCAATAAATCAATTATTTAGTGAATACATCTCCGTTCTCCGTTTATAAATATTAAATCTTTGAGACTCAAAATAGAGTGTAAATATAATATTTTAGGTTAAAATTATATCAAAATATCATTAAATTTTTTGCAATATTTTTGTTTTGGAGATTGAAAAAAATAATGAAGCAACGGATTTTTTTCAATGTTTCAATTCTATTTAATCAAATTAAAGAACTTCATAAGGATTGAAATTTTAAAAGTTTTTTTTCTTCCATTATAGATTTTGTGGAAAATGCGGAGTTTATAAGCTTTAAAGTATTAAACTTTGATTTTATCTTTTATCATCAATCTTCAAAACCTTTTTAGATTTTGTTCTCAAGACAACTTTTATCAATCAAAATTTTACAAAAAAGTGTTGTTACGCATAAATCATTTAATTAAAATGTATAATAAACCACACAGAGTTTAGTTTTTCTAACTTGCAACTTGCAGGACATTTGTTTGGAATTGAATAGATTTTTTTTATGATCGGAGTCGAATATTGCAACTTTCTGAATTTGTATGGACGCTAAGTTCTTCGGTATGAGTCGTGTTCAACTATTTTCTCCTTATAGACGAAACAGATAGAAGCAATTGATAAGTTGATAAGTTGATTTTTGGACGTGAGCCTATACAACCTTTCATTTTTCGCTAACACTCCCTTTAAGTGAAATGGGTCTGTGTACACTCATCAATTTACCTGATCATTGTACAGTAGTGTTGTTTACCTGATCATTTTACAGTAGTGTTGTTTACCGGATCATTGTACAATAGTGTTGTTTACCTGATCATTGTACAGTAAATGTTTACCTGATCATTGTACAGCAGTTGTTTACCTGATCACTTTACATTAGTTGTTTACCTGATCATTGTACAGAAGTGCCGTTTACCTGATCATTGTACAGTAGTGTTGTTTACCTGATCATTGTACATTAGTGTTGTTTACCTGATCATTGTACAGTAGCATTGTTTACCTGATCATTGTACAGTAGTGTTGTTTACCTGATCATTGTACAGTAGCATTGTTTACCTGATAAGTGTACAGTAGTTGTTTACCTGATCATTGTACAGTAGTTGTTTACCTGATCAATGTACCATAGTTGTTTACCTGATCATTGTACAGTAGTTGTTTATTTACCTGATCATTGTACAGTAGTGTTGTTTACCTGATCATTGTACAGAATAGTTGTTTACCTGATCATTGTACAGTAGTTGTTTACCTGATCATTGTACAGTAGTTATTTACCTGATCATTGTACAGTAGTGTTGTTTACCTGATCATTGTACAGAAGTGCCGTTTACCTGATCATTGTACAGCAGTTGTTTACCTGATCATTGTACAGTAGTTGTTTACCTGATCATTGTACAGAAGTGCCGTTTACCTGATCATAGTACAGTAGTTGTTTACCTGATCATAGTACAGTAGTGCCGCAATCCAGCAGGAGGAGATCTGCTCACAAACTGACGGAGCTTTGTACGGTCTGGGACATGGCACTGAAACCAAACCAAATATATTCAAGAAAATAGTTTTGTTCAATGCACCGTTTAGTCATATCTGAAACCAGAACAAATGCACCATTATTTTATTCTATTTCAGAGTTTAATTATTTATGATACAAAAAACTGCAGAACTTTCATGTGGGATCAAGCGTTGGTCTCAATGTTATGCAGACACAGACCTACGGATTGATTTAAATCGTTTTAGATATCCCCTGGTGGAATTGCCCTGCAGAGATAACTTTTATTGAGGGAACAAATATATTTATCCTGTAATTTAAAAATGCCCACATTGGATATCGAGATTAATAGTTTAAGAGTATGAGGTGGATTTTGGTAGAAATCCAGAGATGTTTGAGTGGAGATTAGATTATCCGATCTTAGAAGGAGTTTAATTAGTACAATTAATGCGTGGAGAAAATCTAGTGATGTATGGATTATATTTCATTATGTAAGAAATTAACTGAGGCAGGGTTAAAAATAAAGATGGAAACCCAACAACCTTCAATACAACCACAAAACCTAAAACCAGATTTATATTCTTATAAATAAATAAGTTGCAAAAAAGCACACAAAATGTGTGCCCAAAAATCGTTAAAAATTGTAGTTAATTCTAACATTTTAATTGGTATTGCTATTCTGCTTAATATGGAGATCAACGCTTGATCTCGAGATTCATAAAAGAATCTTTTTAAATTTATTGATAAATGTATTTATTGCAGAATGCAGATAATCATTTTTCCTACTGACTGTCCTGTTTTGCTACGTTCAATCATGGATGTAATGCAAGGAAAGTTATTTCAGAGGTGCACGCATCTCTTATACTGCAGTGTACTGTCTCTGGGCGGTAAGGTAAACACAAGACGGATATTACAGCCTGACATGGGATCCATCTTTCACATCAATGAAATATTCTGGTCATAGGAAACTATTATGTGAATTATCAAAATTATCAAATTTAATGCTTTTAACCTCCTAGGATACTAAACGAACAAAGTTGCATCTATTCTTGTTTACAAATTCCGCCCAAAGAGAACTGGTTTCAATATGTACGCAGAGTATACACGACAAATTAACTTTCCTTGCGTTCAATTAGCTGCATACCCAGGAAAACAAAATATCTAACTTCTGTTCGACTTTTGTATGAGAGCATTAATATTTTGGTTTACACTATGTTTTGAATCACAGATCCCAATGAAAAAAATCTATTTATTTTCCTTGGCAAAAATAAATTCTAAAATATTTGTATAAAATCTTCTACATAGAGCATTCATGGTTTATGCTTGCTCTGTTTTTATATTCTTAGAGAACTTTCTTCATATTTCATGCAAACCTTTCCATTCTTTAGTATTATATATACACTTTATTTATTCTAAGATTTTTCTACAAAACTTTGCTTAAACTTATACCATCATGTTAAGTGTATACAGTGGAACAATATCACATTGAATTTTGATTTAAACTTAACAAAAGTGATTTCTGGAGCATTTAAAGCCATTTAGCTTACAAGTGTACAGTTAAGGGTACCATTGTAAATCGGGAACCAAAGGATGGTACTGTAAGTTGTGACGTAATATAATCGACTGTTCAGAAACTGGTTTATTGTAAACAAACAACAGTCAGTCAACAGTGATTTTATGAACCCAACCTTCCTAACATCCTCAAAAACTGTTGGCCTGAAGCCCAAATTTTAAGACAGGGTATCGTAATGAAACCCAGTATCGGAAACCCAGATTCTTGAATGGGGTTAGACAGTTTTGTAGACACCGATATTTTTGTTAAGAAATATTATTTTATTTGGTTTTCTTATATTTTCTTTTTGGTTTTCTAGTTTCCTAAATCAAAATCTACACAAACATTTAGACCCCAAAAAGGAAACTTGGTTGTTTCGTTTAACGATACTCTCTTAATTTCCGATTCTGTGTTAACGATACTGTATAGAAAAAAGTAAGTTTCCAGCACCTAATATGTCTACACAAAGCCCCTCACATTGGAAAATTCCGATTTGGAAAAAGAAGATTTATGTAATTTTGATTTATATAAGATTTCCTTAATTTACCTTTATTGTTTGTGTAAACAGGCTAGAGATTAGGTTCTTAGCTCTGCAGGGTAGAGGGAGACTATCAACCTTAAATATACAGACTAGAGATTAGGTTCTTAGCTCTGCAGGGTAGAGGGAGACTATCAACCTTTAATATACAGACTTGAGATTAGGTTCTTAGCTCTACAGGGTAGAGGGAGGCTATCAACCTTAAATATACTGACTAGAGATTAGGTTCTTAGCTCTGCAGGGTAGAGGGAGGCTAATATACAGACTAGAGATTAGGTTCTTAGCTCTGCAGGGTAGAGGGAGACTATCAACCTTTAATATACAGACTTGAGATTAGGTTCTTAGCTCTACAGGGTAGAGGGAGGCTATCAACCTTAAATATACTGACTAGAGATTAGGTTCTTAGCTCTGCAGGGTAGAGGGAGGCTATCAACCTTAAATATACTGACTAGATATTAGGTTCTTAGCTCTGCAGGGTAGAGGGAGGCTATCAACCTTAAATATACAGACTAGAGATTAGGTTCTTAGCTCTGCAGGGTAGAAGGAGACTATCAACCTTAAATATACAGACTAGAGATTAGGTTCTTAGCTCTGCAGGGTAGAGGTAGACTATCAACCTTTAATATACAGACTAGAGATTAGGTTCTTAGCTCTGCAGGGTAGAGGGAGACTATCAACCTTTAATATAATCTATAAATATAAAGTAGTAAGCTCTGTATGTGTGTTTGGGTGTTTGTTTGTGTCTGTCCATAAGTCAGCTACATCTTGACAGATTTGCCTCAAATTTTGATTGGGGAACTCGGTGGAACTACGGCCTGGAATATTCTTCGCTTAGTTAAGTAAGTTGACGTTTATAGAGAAAGTTTAGTTCCCAAGCTAGTTAAATATAAAGTAGTAATATCTGTTTGTTTGTCTGGTCATAACTTTGGAACCCCTTGATCGATCTGCATGGCCTAAAATTTTGATTGGGAAACTCGGTAGAACCATGTGAATATTCTAAGATTTGGTAAAAATGTTATGTGTCTATTTGTATCCAATAAACGTCTGCAAAATTGTTAATCCGACCCTCACATGACCCCAGGGAAAAAAATGGCCTAGACAAATATTTTTACATTTATCATTATCAAAAATCTACTAATATGTAATAGAAAAATTTGCAGAGTACGATGAAAAATGCCAACTTTTATCGCTTAGTATATGCTAATAAGATAAAGATGGGCGGCACCATTAACTAAGATTATTAAATTTTAAAAAAAGTAATATTTTTGATTATACATTATTTTCATGGTTAAGATATTGTATGATATACCTGTTTTGTAGTTTTTAGTGTGCTATGTATTTGAAGCCTGGAGAGCAGTTGTAAACTTCCTATTTTACGGTTTATCCAACCAATATGAACCTGGACAGTTAAACAAAATTAAATCTACATTTTAATGCAAGCAAAATTAATTATTTTTGGAAATCGGTTTAAACTGTGTTTACTGTCTGTTGTTGCATAATTTGTGTCAAAGTTTTAATCTTCAAAACGTGTTTATCTCTAATTTTTACTCAAACAAATATCCTTGTATTATCAATAAAAGTTTTTTCTCTACGTGTATCAAAATGATACTGAAATTTATTCAAAATTAAAGTTAGATTTGACTCAATACACAAATTTTGGCTATTATTATGATTTTGTTCTTAACACCATTATTTTGACTTTATTCTGAAAAAGTTTATGGTTCTACAAAATTAAAAAAAAATTATTAAAATTTTATTAAAGTTTTCTAAAAATCACTTAAACGAATTTAACAAAATGTCTTGAGATTACATAAAATTTTATGATCTCTCCCATCAAATAAAAATTTCTTAGAATTTCATCCAAAAATTAAGAAATTCGAAGGAAAAAATCAAACTCTTGATATGTAATTAAAGTTTGTACCTGTGCTCCTGTTGCAACAAATATTCTTTTATCATTGTGCCCCCAGGTTAGAGCAGACACAGGACTCTAAATATAATAAATGTTTAATCAATTAAAGAGACTGCGGACGTAATTTACAAGTAACCTTCCATCCAAATAGATTCTAGTATAATAGATGGCAACGTAGAATTAGTACACTCTCAGTACAGCTGTACTCTGACGTCACAAGTGTCAATTCAGTTTTTGTGTCCGACAAAATTATTAATGATAGTGATAATTTTAGAATAAAGTGCTACTTTTACAGCAATTATTTGTGTTCTTTATTTTCTGTTTTCAAACTTTTTCTTTAATCTTAGAAAACATGTCAACTAATGTGACATGTCATATTTGACACTTGTGACGTTGTGCATATTTGGTCCATTTCTCTGTTGACACCTAATTGTACTTGATAATTTATTTGCTTCCATCTATCAAATGCCATGCTCAATTTGCAAAAGTATGTCAGACGAAAAATTTGTTAACATTTACATGATACGTAAACTTTTAACTCCTTTTAGACTAAAGGTACTGAACAAATTCATAACGAGGACTGTTATGTTTATTGAGACACCCTGCACTTCATTAAACATACGATATTTTTTAAATTGTATTTAATTAATGTTTATTTCTAAAATTAGCTTTCAGAGTGAATGCATAAAAATCTTTGAGCTGCAGTTACAGATAAATAATACAACAATTTTAACACCTTTATTGTAAAAATGTAGTAAACATGTTTGACCCAAAATACAACATTTTCTATTAACTTAATATATGAATATTGATAACTAAAGATGCAACCATTTGCTTCAAAATTATGATACTTTTTCATTTTTTTATGAGGCCCGGCAAGATCTAATTTTGTAACAAATAAAATCTTTGAAAAATATACAAATTTGGTTTTAAAAATATATCTATTTATTTAGTTAAAAAAAATATATTTATTTAGTCAAAAAAAAATATTATTCTTTTTCAAAATGCTTTTACTTTTTGGTTAGTTTTAGTTTTGGTTGGTTATATTTTTGGTGGTTGCATTTTACGTAAATATATTTTTAAACGTTGTTTATATGGGTATTATTACTTTACAGGATTACAGGCCCCTCCATAAGATAATAAGAAAAATAAATTAGAAGGAATCTTTCTTAATTTTCTAAAAAACTATAATTACCTTATAACAAGGAATTATTACAGAAGAAATCAGACTGCCGTTTTCTCTAAAAACATATTTAAATAAGATTTACAACACAAAACTTTTCACTTCTGAACATCTAAAACTTTTTAATTTTTAATTATTTTAAATGAAACTTGTTTTTTATTTATGTTAATACTGAATAAAAGTGAAAAGGTTAGTGGTAAACTATTCCTAGTATTCAAAGAATTTGTAACAAATTCTTAGAACGGGTAAAAACAAGCTGTATTCATTTTTTTAAACAGAAGGAAATTTATTTAAATATTTCAATTATTATTTATAAACCCTGTGATATTTATTTGGCCGGATATACACAATAAATTGTTTAATTTATTCAAAATGTGTGAGTTTAATTGTTTCAGTGCTAAGTAAATTTAAAATTGGACTAGAGACGTAATTTTAGATAAAACCCTCATTTGAGAGGGGCATGTATGAATCACAAAGGTACCCTTTAAGCATGTGTCTTATACTCAATGATGAATTAGATATCCTTGTTATTATCGCTAAAAATGGATTATTTTTTAGTTGTGGTTTATCAGTTAAGTTACTTGCGATCATATGCTTTAAAGACGAAATAAATTGTAAAAAATAAGCTATAAAAACAAAGATATCCTTCTATTTCTTATTCAGATAGAGTTAGAAATTATACCTACAGTCCCTTTAAGATAAGTTGAATACTTAATTTTACAGAATTTTAAATCTATTAATAATGGCTATTTTTTATTATTTAATCGTAGAAAACTTTAGAACTGGAGCAATTGCACACAATTCCGCAAAATTCCATGCAATACGCGAACACTTGTGCGCAATTCCGCACAACGGAATTCCAATTGGAAACCCTAATTTCCATATCGTTTTGCCCTTTACCTATAGAATTTGATACGGTTTACATGGCTGTTTTCAGACAAGTTTAAAGGTGTCCGTCCTGCCACTGCTAGAAATTCTCCAGAATTACTCCACTCTGCGTACATGGTCTATAATACAAAGCCGATCAATCGAGTCCATATGTTATTTTCATTGTCACGAGTTAAATAGTAAAAAGAACGTACATGTATAAAGTTGTAAACTCTGTTTGTCTGTCTGTTTGTTTGTCAGATCATAACTCAGGAGCCCCTTGACTGATTTGCTTCACATTTTAATGGGGGAACTCGGAAGAGCCGCGAAAACGTTCTTAACTTGGTATTGAGAATTGAGAATTGAGATTCTAAGTTGAGTGGGTCGAGTTCTACAGGGAAAATTAAGTTTCTCGGTAAAATCGACCAAGTCCGGGTAAACGGCGGGGAGTAACTGTGAGTACCCAGGGCAAAGTTAAAGGAGAAAATATTCATTTATGCTACAGCCAATGCAAAATGTTTAAATGACACAAAGTTTTCGGGCAAAATCTTATTATGAGACTCAATTCTAAAGATGAAACCAGAGAACAGTAGACTGATTGTTGTCTTTTTATATCCTAACCTACAAAATGTCGCTAAAGATTTTGAAACTTTTTGACTGGTTTTATATTTATTTTCAAATTAGAAAAGCCTAATTAAAAGAAAGAAGGAAGGCGTAGGGTTTTTATTCCACTGTTTTCTGGTTACTGCACTAATATAAGTAAAATATTACCGATTTCTGCATAATGTTACCTGAAAGCCAGTATGAATATGGATGGGACTAACATCATCATGGCCGCGTACAAGATCTATATCTCCGTTAGTATAGCTGACAGCTAGAACACTGACTTTCTAGAAAAATATCCGTTGTAATTAGATTATGATATTTTTTTACATAGTTAAAACTTAAAAAGTTAAGTAATTTTTTTGTTAAAGTATTTTCTTAGTATTACAGTTGCATGGTTTCCGTAATTCAAACCTAAAACTAATTTTAAACTGTTTGCAAAACGAAAAGCAAAGTAAGAAAGTAGAGTGTTTTTTTAACATGTGAGTTTTCTGCTGGTGTACCTGTAACCGGTTTTCAGTTAGCTGATGCGATGAGTCATCTCTCTCCTCCATATTGAATTTCTCACAGTTCCAGGTGAGATTTAGGATGGATAGGTCGGTAGACAGCTCTACCCTTGTCACAGGGTTTCCATGCAGATCCATTACCATAATGTCCCCTTGCACGGTTCCAATGTAAACCTGAATCAAGAATTCAGAGATATAATCTTAAATAAATAAATAATAAACAGGGTTCAAGCGCCCCAACGTTAGGGCTGGGCAAATTCTGACTTATTTTCTGGCCGTTCGTTAACGGTCGGTTAAAACCGTTAAAAAAGACGAGTAAGTTTTCGTTAAAGGTATTTTCCGTTTTTTTAATGCTTCCGTTTCTTAACTATAATTATTATTAACGGCGTTAACGGCAGGCATTGTTAACAGTGTTAACAGTTAATTTAAAACACATCCGTTTTGTGTTTTTTCATCGGTTTATTTATTTTTCAAAAACGGCTTTTTCCTCCCGTTAGCAATTTAAAAATTAACGAATTTTGCCGTCGGCTAACAAACTGTTCTGTTAATTTAAAAAAAAAATCTTCGTTTAGTCACTTCAGTGTGTCAATATATATAAGGGGGCTGAGAACTGTGGCTTTGTGGAATATAGGTTCAAGGTCTAGGGTATATGTATAGGGCCAAGCACTGTGGCTAGGTCAACAAAGGAAGCTTTCTAAATATCAACCAGTTTTTTACGCTGCGAACCAAAAATCGAACAGTATTTTAACAACTACTCATGTTGAACTTGAGCTAGAAACAAGCGCGCTGTATTTTAAGAATGGATATGTCTAGGGCTACAAATTAGTATTAGTTACATGGTGAGTTAAAACCTAAGTCCAAGTCGTTGCGACGCTTTAAAGTCGAGGCTGTCTAAACATTTTATGACTAACTTTCATAGTTGTCTAGATAATGGTGTTTACCAAATAACGGATCAAGCAAAAAGTATTGCAAGGATCGAAAAAGAGCTTGTAAAAGTTAACAATGCTACCCTAAAGTTCTAAAATGAATAATAAAAAATCTCCAATTATTGTTCGGTCCAGAAATCCGAACTGGAGAATATATATTTTATGGAAACCAAACCAATAAAACTGGATTTAAAGCTCAATACCTGACACTCGGTTCCTCAGGCATTAAATATAAACCGACACTATCAATACAATAACAGGAGGAGGTGGGGATCTTTCAATGGTTTCACAATCTTAAATATTTCTACAAACATGCTTTTATCTTTTTTTGAAAATAGAATTGCAAGGAATTCTAGAAAAGGAAGTTGGGTAATATTTCATAAACTATAGCACAGAGTAAGTAAAAAAACCCGAGATTATCGATGTTTTGGACAAAATTTTTGTTTGCTTCGGAATTAAGTCATATCAAAATTTAAATGTGAAGAAATAAGATTTTCAAAATATTTTTGGAACATTAAAAAAGCATTCTTTGAGACAGTCAAATTTCTTTAAATATTGTTGCAAACATGTGAATAATTGAAAAAGAAATCACAAAGTAGAAATCTAAAGCTAGGCATCCTTATCATGAATTTTCAACTTTCAAAAGATTAGCAATTCTTTTTGACCTAGAAAAAGGTTTTTAAGATGATATTAAGAATTCAATATTAAGTGTGCACAGTCCATTTAGATCCAACCTACTTATAAAAAGTCTCATAAATGTTACCGCTCTAACTCACTTTTGCTTTTCTTTAGTCCTTTATATGTACATTTAGTACTACAAAGCACCTGTCGTTAACTTTGGTTTTTAAGAAGTAATTGGCAAAATTCTCGTGGATTTTTGCTCGAAAGCTTGAGACCTTTTAAATCACAGTGAGTCCTTCAAAATCCAAATTTGAATTTAAACTTTTTCGCGGATTTTTTTCATTTCTAGTTAAATTTTTGATGAAATTCTGGAAAGCAATAGAATACACATTTTTCCATATATTTTTCCAAAAATCTCGACATTTTTATTCTCACATTTATCTTTTTATGCCTCAAATCCAAAGAAATAAAAAAATTTTAATTTTGTCCTAAACATCGATAATCCCGTTTTTTACTCACCCTGTATATATGTATAGTTTGTTTAAAGAAGTGGACACTCAATCTGTATATACATAGCTCGAGTTTGAATCTTTTGAATTGATAAAAAACTCAACTAACTCTTTCTTTGGAGGACATATTAATCGATCTATGATTTTTAAGATACGAAATTATAGCCAGGTTCTGTAAAGCAGATTATTGCATTCTTTTTTTCCCACCACTAGATAACTTACAAACCCCAATTACAATTTTTCCCTTCGTAATTCATTTGTTGAAAATAAGCTTGACACTCGAAATCTGAAAGAGCCATGTTTATTATGTTATGATATGTTATGTTATGATATGTTATGTTATGTTATGTTATGTTATGTTATGTTATGTTATGTTATGTTATGTTATGTTATGTTATGTTATGTTATGTTATGTTATGTTATGCTATGTTATGTTATGTGATGTTATGTTGTTATGAAATGGACTTATGCGTGTAATGACGGTAGTATATAATGCACAATAACTTGCTATTATAAGTGCTTAATCCGCTAGAAACAGCTGACTCATATTTTTGCAATCTGCAATTGATATTTTCTGGGGATCATTTCCGAACAAAGAGCTAATACTCTTCAATGGTGATTATCGGGTTTAATGCTTGATCCACTCTTTTTATTAGTCTCTAGATTAAATAATGCTTGTTCTCCTTTTGTTATTAATCTCCAGATTAATTAACCGATCGGGATTAAATTAAGGATATCCCATTCTAAAGTTTTCAGCTACGATCAGCTGAGAATAAACACATAGATATTTAAATAATACTTGATTAAACAAAGCTTTCAAGGGTACCGTTGTAAATCGGGTGCTGCGGTTGCATATTTGAGTTACTATAGATTTAGACAACCATAGCAATATATCAAGGAAATACAAGAATTGAGTTAGCTCAGATAATATCAGCTTGGATCTATTTACAACATTCTCAGAAAACCAGAAAATAATATTTATATTTCAAAAACAAATGTTACAAAAAATACCTTTGTTATTTTTCCAAGATGCTTGGGTTAAAACTGAGAGCAGTGGGTCCAATATATTGTTGGTAATTTTTAACGGAATGTTTCTGATATCTCTCAATTTTTATACTGCCAAAAAGTTTCCATGTAATTTTGAACAAAATGTTCATAATTTANGCGGGGTGTAAAAAGCTACACCTCCCTCTACGTCCTTTTAAAGGAATTGAGGCTTGACCACACACTAAAATTTTCAAATTCGTTTATATTTTCAACCGGATGGTGTAAACGTGGTTTGATATTTCAATCCTAGATTTTTTTTCAAACAGACTTCATAGTTAGAAATATAAAAGGAATTAAGTCATTGCCACAAACTCAAATTTTTTAATCCATATTTTTTTCAGTCCAATTTCTTAGGCATGAGATATTTCAAACTATTAATTCTGTTTGATCAAATAATAGTTTGAAATATCAAAGGTCTACACCATTAAATGACAAAGATATAAGGATTCGAAAATTTGAGTTTGTGGCTAAGACTCAATTCCTTTGTTGAAAATATATAGAAATTAGAAAATAAGATTTTGTGCAGAAAAGACTAAATTCTATTTTACCTGGTTATCTTCAGGGGTCCAAATACCGCAGGTAGCTGTAGCATTCTGTGGTAAAGTAGTTGACCAGTAGCGCTGACCAGCCACAGATCCAACCAGAACAAATCCATCCTAACAAATATTTTATTAAAGGGACTGTATGCAACGCTTCAAGTGACCCACATATACCTTGACAGCCTGAATTTGTTGTAAAAAATGTGCTATACAATGGGTATTCCAGATTGTTCGGTACGAGTGAATGTAAATATTGTACATGTTACACTAAACCGGTAAATACTTGTACCGGCTTGGATCATGCAACGAAGGGAGCCATGTACACCCTTAATTTATAAAGTGGCGCTCCCGATTCACAATGGTACTCTTTAGCCCTTTATCCAGCAGAGTTCAGCTGACGGAGTTGTTTTACATTTATTTTTTAAATTGTGAGTTCTTTTTATTGTGACTATTGCTCAGAAAAAGGTGTATTTTGGGGATCGGACATGCCACCAGATGAAAGGAGGGTCCTTTAAAATAACGGCTTGAGTCCCTTTAAGTTTAGGATTAATTCAGGAGATTTGGTTTAAACATTCAATAGCGTCGCAAAAATCTGAGAAGTCTTTTTTACAAATTTGTATTCTGTAAAAGTTTTAACTTTTCCACGTTGCCAAAACTTTACTCTGGCTAATATATGAGACCCACATTTCTCATTTTAAACTTTACCCCGTAAATAGACAGTCTAGATAACATTTCCAATGAGCCTCCATTCTAAAAGTGGCATTTTCTGTTCAGAATTTACTGACTAAGAATCATAGAGAATAGGATATATATTAGAGGGGAATTTAGAGAATCTCTCGGTATGAATTTTTTCAGTCCCTTTCAGCCTGAAAGGGATTTCAAAGTGTACAAATCATGTAAATGTTCACAAATGATATGCAGTAGAGTACATTAATACAGAATTTCTTCCCTAGACAATTCATTTCAATTTCGAATTTTTTAAACTGTTAAATAAACTTTATAATGAATTAGGTGAACAAAAAACATCATTTGATTTATAATTATAGCGGAAAATCATCGTTTGTAAAGTAGAAGGCATAGAGTCTATGTGAAATGATCATTGGTCAATTATGAAACCAGCCTATTTCATAATTTGGTTTTCTTTTAGAATTAATTTTAGATTTTCTATAAAATTATATTCCAGGGCCCAAAAGGTTATATAGCATAAATATGTGAAGTACATCTGCAGTATGGAAACAGTACAACAAAATGGCCGTTTTACACTTTTTTCTAGTAAATTTCCCTCTAATATATATTCTATTCTCTTGGTAAGAATGAATGAGATATCCATGATCTCATTTTGAAAATTGGTTATTTCTTATCGTGGTTTCTTTATACAAGTGTCTTACGGTTTTCTCATTAAAACAATGAAAGAAATTGTAAGGATTTGGCAAAAAACATATCTTCCACATTATTGTTGAAGCTGTTTAAATGTTAATTTTAATCTATATATATAAACTTTGGTTGTCTGTCCGTTGGTATCCAACTATGTTATTTTTTAACAGTGCATACAAAGAGAAAATGTTTAGAATTGAAATAGAAGATGGGCGCACCTTGCGCCTTGAAAGCCTTTTATTGTCATATTTTGGTAAACCCTGTATAGTTTGCGGGGGAGTTAATGAATAAGCAAGGTTTAGCTTTGCCAAAATCGCAGACTCAACATTTATATGAAACTCCAGACATCAGAATATGAAACTCCAAACATTAGATTATGCAACTCCAGACATTAGAATATGAAACTCCAGGCATCAAAATATGAAACTCTAGACATTTGAATTTGAAACTCTTGACACTATAATATTAAGCTCTGTAGTGTATTTTGATAATTTAAAAAGAATTATAATGAAAAAACTGTTTTATGTTTAACAAAAGTACAATATTTGAATCAAAAGTTTGCAAAAATAGATTTCCAATATTTTTCTGACATTGACAGATATTTTCTACTTTTATATTTCTCACTGAAGAAGGAACAACTTTATCAAGTATGGAAAAATTATATTCAGTGATAAAATCATTTTTTGAAAAAATTGAAAATGTTTGAGAAAACAGTTTTGTTAAAGCTTTGTATATTGTGTCATATACTGTATACTTTGATCAGTGTATGTATAGTGTTTCATAATATATATAATATATAGTAATGTCTGTGCTGTTGTACTGTATATTGTGTATTGTGTATAATATTGAAAATTGTACATTGCATTGTATATTATGGATAGTAATTTTGTATTGTATTTTATTCTATTGTATTGTATTGTATTGCATTGTATTGTGTTGTATTGTTTTGTAATGTGTTGTGTTTTGTATTGTATTGCATTGTGTATTGTTTTGCATTTTTGCATTGCATTGCATTGAATTGTATTGTATTTTATTGTTTTGTATTGATTGTATTGTTTATTGTATTGTATTATAATGTATTGTATTGTATTGTATTGTATTGTATTGTATTGTATTGTATTGTATTGTATTGTATTGTATTGTATTGTATTGCATTGTATTGTATTGTATTGTTTGTATTGTATTATAATGTATTGTATTGTATTGTATTGTATTGTATTGTATTGTATTGTATTGTATTGTATTGTATTGTATTGTATTGTATTGCATTGTATTGTATTGTATTGTATTGTTTTGTATTGTATTGTATTGTATTGTTTATTGTATTGTATTGTATTGTATTGTATTGTATTGTATTGTATTGTATTATATATTGTATTGTATATTACATTATATTTAATAGATTGTACTGTATTTTATTGCATTTTGTATTGTGTTTTATTGTGTATTGTATTGTATTGCGTTTTGTGTTGTCTTGTATTGTATTTTTGTATTTTGTAATTTATTGTGTATTGTATATTGAAAATTATATATTGTATTGTATTATATAGTGTATTGTATTGTATTGTATTGTGTTTTTATTGTATTGTATGTATTTTATTGTGTATTGGATTATGTATTTTATTTTATTGTATATTGTTTTGTTTATTGTATTGTATTGGATATTTTATGATATATGGTATCGTGTATTTATTGTATCGTATTGTATTGTTTCTTGTACTGTATTATTTATTGTTTTCTATATTGTACTGTATCATGTATTGCATTGTATATTGTTCAGTGTCTTGTATTGTATTGTAATGTGTTTTGTACTGAATTATGTATTGTTTTCTATATTGTACTGTATTATGTATTGTATTGTATATTGTACAGTGCGTTGTATTGTATTGTATTGTCCATTGTATAATATATTATATGTGAACGTATGTATTACTAATGTGCCAACTTTTCCCCAAATGAATATACAGTGTCAGCATACAACAAAGAAAGCAGAATAGAATTTTTTTTTAAAAATCTTGTTTTCCAAAATTTTTTTGTATTATTTCATACTTAGTGACAATAATTAACTTAATGGAAACTTTAAAAAACTGTACTTCATGTGCATATTGTAACGAAATAAATGCAAACAAATGATAAAAATATCAAACCATGGCTATACGTGGTACGTACTATTTATATAAAGTTTGACTCCAATGAGTCTAAACTTTAGAACCCTTTTTCACAGATTAAATGTAGATTTTCCGTATTTTCAATTTTGCACTATTTTGTAATTAAGTTCAGTTTATAAGGTATTTTAAGCTATTTTTGACAGACTTTGAATGAGAGATGAAAATATACTAAAAATATTTTGAAACATAGTTAGTTGTACGTGACTCACCTGGTAACAGATTAGCGCCATTCTACCGTCATGTGACCAGGCAAAGGATTTGACCGGCGTGTTTCGGTCATTTATCAGCTCTATAGACCAACGACCCTCATACTGTAACACCACAAACATTCCCTATTTACCAAAATACGTATTTTTCCTAATCGTTCCTAAACGTTTTTAAACACGAAAAATGTACGTTATTTTGATAAAATTTTCGAAGAAAACGTTGACAGATTTGTCAACTTGTTTACATCCAAGATTTCATATGAGAAACTGAACATTTGCGCCTTCAACCTCTAACCTTTTTCATCCCCATATCTGTGCAACCTGAATGTGTAGGCCTTAAATATTTCTAACTTTGGCCTTTCGATTTAGCAGAATTCAATGACAGGAATATTAATTTAATTTAACGAATAATATGACAGAAGAAAGTTATTTATTAAGAATTAATTAGGAAAAGGAGGAGAAAACAAAAAGTCCAAAATCCTTTTATAATGAAATGAATGATGTATTCGACTAAAGACAAGATGTGAAGTGATCTGATCAAAGATGAATAAGATATCTTTATTTTTCTCATTTTTAAATTCAAGCTCCTCTTCACGTTATGCTGCCAACAATAGAGTTTATTGTCAAAACTTAATACATGAAAAGGTAGAAAAATTAAGATATCTTTCTCCTTGTTACTCAGGTAGAAGTTGAAGGTGAACTGCTGTGAATTGAATATGCCACTCTTTAAACAGATGGTTACTTAACATTACGTCTCTAAATTCCATGGATATATATAATAGAATATACAGAGTGTCCCACGAAATACGACAGTAGGAAGAGAACTTGAAGGTCGTCTTTATTTTTGATATAATTTGCTGCATTTTTTTGCTAGCCTAATATTAGAAGTAAAATTCTTTAGATAATAATCACAAAATACCCCTAGTCCTGGCATTTCCAAAATGTGGTTTGCCTTTTTAGCACTATATTGCCCGGGATAACAAGAATTTCAATCTTATTTCGACAATTTTGGTTTTATTTAACAAAATTGAAATCTGAATTAAATTCTTAATATCTATGGTAAAATTTAAAGCACAAAAAAGGCAGATTACATTTTAGAAAAGCCAGGGCTAGGATGATTATATGATATTTGTTTCAAGAATCATACAGGTTAAAGGTGGTTGAAAACTGAATGTCAAAAATAAATTCAAATATCAAAGACAACTTTTAAGTCGTCTTGCTATTGTCATGTTTCGTGGACACCCTGAATCCTAGTCAAGGTTTAATGTAATTTTCTGGCTGTAGTGTCATGCAGTTCGTTAGACCCTGGACTTACATTTTGTCATTGATTTTTAGTTGTTATCAAAAGAATTATAAATACATTGCAAGTCTTTAAAATTTTGTAAAATTTAGCCTCTTTCTTTGTATGATAGAAACAGTCGGAGATACTAAAGATTTAAACAATCTTGGTTATAATTAATGCTTGGAATTTTAGACTTATTTTCAAATATCTCAGTCAATTCTCAAGGTAAAAAAAAGTGGCAGACCGCATTTCGGAAATTTCAAAATAAGACCCATTTTTTGCTACCCAACTTTTGGGAAGCAATGTTATGTTTCCAAGATTTTAGCGACAGTAACTCATTTCTGTTTAATCCAGGGCCCACGATCTACCAAAGCTTTTCTCTGATTTGGACCCTGCCCTTATGACTGTTTAATTAAAACAAAAAGTAGCCAAATACCTCGTCAGATAACTACTGTTCAATTCAAACTTTTTTAGAAGAACAAATCATTTTTATAAAATAAACAACAGACAGAATGAACATTTCTTAGAGTGAAACTTGAAGTACACTATGCAGAGATTTAAATAAAATTCCCAAAAAATCTAGGGCCCCCTCAGCTTTAACAGCTGTGAAGCACACCCACAAAATTACATGTACGTTGGCCAAAAATAGTATAGATCGATAGATAGAGGCACATCTACAAGCGATCGTTAGATAGATAGAGGCATATCTATAACCGACCGTTAGATAGATAGAGGCATATCTTTAACCGACCGTTAGATAGATGAGGCATATCTATAACCGACTGTTAGATAGATAGAGGCATATCTATAACCGACTGTTAGATAGATAGAGGCATATCTATAACCGACCGTTAGATAGATAGAGGCATATCTATAACCGACCGTTAGATAGATAGAGGCATATCTATAACCGACCGTTAGATAGATAGAAGCATATCTATAACCGACCGTTAGATAGATAGAGGCATATCTATAACCGACCGTTAGATAGATAGAGGCATATCTTTAACCGACCGTTAGATAGATAGAGGCATATCTATAACCGACTGTTAGATAGATAGAGGCATATCTATAACCGACTGTTAGATAGATAGAGGCATATCTATAACCGTACGTTCTAGATTCCCTTTAGACATAATTTTTGCAAAAAAATACAAAATTTAAAGTTTAAAGTTGTGAGTGTTCCTTTATCCAGACGAAAATGATCCCGGTTGAGTCGCATGAGGCGAGCTTCTGATACGGCTCATTCCAGCTCACTAGCGTCACCTAGATAAAGATGAATAAAACTAAAGAAACGATTTTTTGCATCTCCATTGATGATTTTTTTAAGAATAATACATATGTGTATATGTACATATTTGTAATGAGAAAGATAATTACATATTTTGGACAATTAATAAATTTACAGAGAAATGAATTTAGAGACACCATTGGACAAAATTGATAAATATGCGTTAGTTTGCTAGGCTTTTTTACTTATAAACTGCCCCGCGAAAATCTGAAAGATTATGGTCAAAACAAAAAATTTAAAGGGATTAGATCTGTTCATATAATTTGTTAGAGGGAACATTTTGTGCAATCAATTAAAGATATATTTTATAGAGAGTACAATTTTCTAAAGTGATCAACATCTCAAGTTGTTTTGGAGCCTCTGAATAGTAAAGAACATCAGTATTATCTCAAAATTGTGTCATTCTTATCATTTTAAAGATATTGATGTTTTACCATTTTAAGTGTGAGAATCTATGTATTGCATGGCGTAAATGGAACCTAATCCGTCACTTAGGACTGATTGCAATGACATCTAGTAAACACAAAGTGAGTTTGTTTTCTCTTCAAACAAACTGAAGAAGAAAGGGTTTACTGTTTGTTCTACTCAAGACTGTATTCTCTTCGGAGTACGCGGTCAAAGAATTCGCCTTTAAATAACTTCCATTGAAATTGAGTTTAAATTCTTTAAACACTAAGATCGAGACAACTCTGAAACCGAAATTTTTCGACAGCCTCGACTTTAAAGTGTCGCAACACTTTGGACTTTGGTTTTACCTCACAAACTTACTTATACTTTTTTGTAGTCCTAGACAAATACATTTCAAATCTCAAACGCGTTTTTTATAGCTTAAAAAGAGTGATTGGCAGAATACTGCTTGGTTTTTCCGTGAAAGCGTGCACATCGTAGTTTGCAGTTGAAGGGGCGTATGCAAGAATGTTTAAATGGGGGGGGGGAGGGGAGGCATAATATTTATTAATTTTCCCCGAACCCCCCCCCCCCTCTAAGACCGATGTTTTCCTACGGTGATAACCAGAAAATTCTGAAATATGAAGACGAGTTTTAAACTCAAGTTAGGACTAGTTCAATGAACATTAGACATAGCGATTGAACAGTGTAAATAGACCCTTTTTACTTAAATTGTGCTTTGCCAAGTTAATAGCAAAAATGTTTGCTTTGTAATAACATCAAAACGCTTAAGTATTGCTATAATGTCGTCTTTCTATTCCATTTTTTCTGGTTATCACCGTACATTTCCAGGAGGAGGGGGGGGGGTACACCCATAACCCCCATTTTTATTCACTACACTTGTTCGTAAGATAAAGAAATAGAGGAGCTACAAGGTCACAATGTTGCACAAGAAATGCCTCCCTCTGTCTAATTTTACAGTGAAATATCTGTATGTGAATTTATTGTGTTTACACAAATGTTGTTATTTGATATATTTATCTGGGACCAGGGGTGGATACAGGGGGGGGGCGGGGGGACATTCGCCCCCTGAGATTTCGAGGCACTCAGAAGAAAATAAAAATGTGCTTTGCATCTTGATGTTTTTGATTCTATTTTTGGAATTTTTTGTTCCTATTTTCAGAATAGCTTCTCGATAGCATGCTTAAGGGAAAGAAACCCTAGTGCAAAACAGGAAAAATATCTGTCTTAATAAACTATAATGTGTGAAAAGTTAAAAATCTACTTTTTTAGTCTTTAAACATTAATTTTGACTCTTTTTGAGTCTTTTAAGTAAAAAAAAATTTCTCCTGCGGGGCGATTTTTTGTTCCTAATTATGAATTTTGTTTTTCTTAAAAAATCTTGCCCCCCCCCTCACTTAAATCCTGTATCCGCCCCTGTATGGGACATTATAAGTTAATTATTAGTTGATTGATTGAGACTGTTCCAATTTCCTGGCATTTTTACAGTTAGAGAAACTTACAGCACAAAAAGGTCAATCAGAAAGAGTTAAGAAACATTTCTAAAATTAAAGTTAAAATATTTTCTTGAATTAATTTTCATAACAAATTGTCATCATCAATTTTTATTCCTATTTTGTTATATTTTGCAATATTTAAATTAATAAAACAGTCGAACAAACTTTTTATTCAAACAAAAAAGTTTTTCTTGAAATATCTAAAACTCAAGTGGTAGCAAAATTTGAATATAAAAAGAAAAAGGGAGTGCGGGGTTTTTAGGTTTAAACTCTCCCAGATATTTTCAATTGTTTGCTAATATATCTTACTTATACCTAGCTTCACTGTTTTGGTCTTTCTTTTGATTTTGACGCGATGATTTTAAGACAAGGGATTTTTAGAAGAAATTGTTTCTTACGAGAAATCTAAAAAGGATTAGGTAAATGCACTTATATTGATGATCTAAAGAGAACCGATGTGAAAGGTAGAACCACCTAAAATTTACAACGATAATCATTCAAATATGTGTACGTACCTCGGATCTATGACCTCTAAGATTATAGTTTGTGCGAGCTGGGATTTCAGTAGGTTGACCTCCAGCGGAGAATGATGTCGTGTAGGTCACTCCGACAACCCCTCTGATTAAAAACAATTGTAAAAGTGATTTTCATTTCAAGACGTTGTTGGTTAACAAAAAATTTGCTTTTGTTTCAAAATTTTTACAGTCTCCAGTCCATACCCTCATCTTTAAACCATTCGATTCATTATTAATAATTATAAAAAGGAATAAAGTCCTTGCCACAAGCTTTTATTTTCTAATCCCTGTATATTTTCTACCCAATGTCGTACATCGTAGATATTTCATACTTTGAATCTGTTATACCAAATAATTTAAGTAGATCAAAGGTTTACCCCCTCAAATTGCAAAGATATAGGGATTAGAAAATTTAAGTTTGTGTCAAAGACTCAATTCCTTGGACGCGCGGTTTAAACCTCCGTGAAATTAACTTTGAAACCTATTTTCGATATTAAAATACAATGACTCCAAGAGGAACATCTTTTAGCGATAAGATGTGCATGATGTGCATGATGTGCTTGCTGTGCATTATGTGCATGATGTGCATGACCCTAAACTTAAAAAATAGCCATTGTTATTTTTTTACAACCCCTTTAAAAGAAACTATTTGATTTTACGTATACAACAGATAGAGATTGTTAAAGTTAAAGAAACTCCACAACGCCATAATTATGCAAAATTATTGCAAAATATTTGCATTGAGCCGGCGATTTAAAAATTCAAGAAAATTTGACTCAAGTCTAAGCTGTCGATGGGCCTTTTTTACGGTTTGAGCTTTCGGATTCAAGCTGCATCTTATTTTCCACGGAGTTGGTTTCTAAAAACCGGTTTAATATTATATTTGGCGGATTTTCATGGAAGGATTGGAATTGGAGCATTCCAGGTTTTTATGAGAACAAAACTCAACATTGAGCCTTATTCTCCACTGAAACCAACCAAGGTCGGTTTTATTTTCAATGGGCCTAACTCCTTAAGTCGAGCCTAAGATCTGATAAATGTCAATCATGTGACACAAGCTGTCGTCAGAGTTGAGTCTAAGATTGATCTTAAAGTTGGGTTTATGGAATTACGACCCGAGCCGAAGCTATTAAATCGCTGGCTCTGTAGAGACTGCAGGCTGGAGAATAATTATTAAAATTGTTTCGTTCCTAACATTAGCTGTAGCCAGCCAACCCTCCTGGTAGTAATTATTTCTAGACAATTTCCAACCATCCTCCTAAAGTATTATTTTTTTTTATTATTATTATTATCATTATTATTATTATTATTATTATCATTATTATTATTATTATTATTATTATTATTATTATTATTATTATTATTTTCATGTTAAAAAATTGTCACTGAAATATTTAATTGTTAAATCTTTTTGACAAAATGAAAACAAAAAAGATAATATTTTTTTTTATAAAATCCTTTATAAAAACATTCTAATGGTTCCTCTTTCATTTTCCAAAATGTTTTTTTTTTGTTTCAATTGTTTATTAAAACTACAGAAATTTAAGACAAAATAATTTAAATTTAAATCTAAAATAGACAGAAATTAAAAATACCTCTGGTATTTCTTCTGGAACCTTCCCCATCCATGATAGAGAAGATATACAGCAGTCTCCTCCACTATTATTACTGCGCTCCCAATGCAGATGCATCCTTGGAACAAAATAATTATTAAATACTTTTATAATTTGTTAAAGCAGACACGCGAAATATTAAAGGGACTGTAAAGGGAAAATAATAGGGGGTTTAGGCTGAAACTTAGACACTTTCTGAGTTGATCGCGACCTTTATGAATTCTATTTGATGTTCCTGTCTCAAGAAATTGATATAAAACTGATATAAACACATATTCAGCAAAACACAACGAATCTGAAAATTACAATAACCCAAAGAAGCCTAGACAGCTTAGGTACGCTCATATTGTAATTTGAATATATTACTTTTTCATTTTTAATAGATAATTGATAATATAATTAATACGTCTGTATCATATGAACAGAATTTCCACCAATGGCAGTTCAGTATCACAGTACTGGTACAGTCCGGTACAGTACTGGTACAGTCCGGTACAGTACTGGTACAGTCCGATACAGTACTGTTACAGTCCGGTACAGTACTGGTACAGTCCGATACAGAACTGGTACAGTCCTATACAGTACTGATACAGTCCGGTACAGTACTGGTACAGTCCGGTACAGTACTGGTACAGTCCGGTACAGCACTGGTACAGTCCAGTACAGTACTGGTACAGTCCGGTACATTACTTTTACAATATGGTACAGTACTGGTACAGTCCGGTACAGTACTGGTATAGTCAGGCACATTACTGGTACAGTACTGGTATAGTCCGGCACAGTACTGGTGAAAAAAAAGGGTTTTCAGTGATGTATTTGATACAAATAGCTGGGTAGCCCGGTAATCCAGAACACAAAGAAGTTTGTTTAACATAAGTCGGAAGTTTGTTTAACATAAGTCGGATGTTATTGTCAAAAGTCCAGCAAGTGTTTACTTTAAAACACATTTTCACGCATTGAATGTGAATTTTTCGTATTTGCAAATATATACTTTTTTGGTTTAGCTTTTTCTTAAATATTTAAGTTGGGGTTTCTTGCGCTATTTTTGAAGAATTTTGAATGAGAGATCGAATATGACTTAAAATAATCCGATAGAGAGAGGATGCATTTAGATTTAGATAAAAGAACTGAGCTTTTGTCAACTCTAGTTTTCTGATAATTTTATCTTTGCAACCTGATGGTGTAAACCGTTGATGTTTATATTAATTAGACTATTTGGTCCATATATACGACATCAGGATGCAAAGATGAAGAGATTATACCAATTCGAATATATTTGTTGCTCAGTTTCATTTTTTGTAAATTTGATTTCGACTAGAACCAAGATTTCCCTTGTAATACCAGTACTATTTGGTGTAGATTGCAGCAATTTTAGGCGCCGTTTACAGTGTGTGTGGGGGGGGGGCAATGGGGAAATTATGAATTAAAATTATATTTACATAAATATGTTTTGGTTTTCTTATCTTCATTAGTAATCCTTAACATATAGTTCCGTTAAAAAAGGTAGTTTTGGATTTATTTAAATAAAACATTTCGTTATGGGCAGAGATAATCTTTATTTAAGTTTTAACAAGGATATTTGTAGCGCGACAAATATATGCGTTAAACAAACGAATTTAAGAAAATGCCCATCCCTTGTCCATCCATTGTCAGTTTTGAATAGTATGATCTCGTCGATTTCCAGAAAATGTGGCGCTTGATTTTAACAGTTAGGGCCGCAACCTAAATTACCTTGTAATAAGCACCAAGGACTATGGACGAATCGAATTTTTTAATTTTCATGAATTTCCGGAAATTTTAGCTACTGAACCAGACATAAAAAATTATTAATCTTATTCTATTGACAACTCCAAAACTAGAACACTTCAACACTTTAACATTTCAACACTTCAACACTTCAGCACTTCAAAACTTCAAAACTGGACAACTTCAAAACTTCAAAACGGGAAAACTTCAAAATTTCAAAACTTCAAAACTCCTAAACTCCTTATAACTCCATAAATAAATAAAAAAAAAACATTTAAAATCTTATTTTTTATTATTACAGTCAAGAAATATCTGCTATTACAAATAGCAAAGGATGCATGAATCTTTGATATCGGTTGAATGTCCTTGGTTTGTTGCAGTTTGGTGTCATGGTATGTTTATGTATTGCTATATCAATTTTGAAGAGAAATAAAATGTTCGCATTAATATATGTTTCGTTACAACCCGAATACAGGATTAGTACATAAATATTTAAAAATATATCTGCGCTGCTATAAACTGGTTTTAGGGCTCGGCCCTATTAGACGAGATGGCGTAAATGACTTTACATAATCTATTATTAGAAAAATATTAGACCTGCAAGAAAATATAAAATATGCACACACAAATTTTCTAAGGGAAATTGGGTTTTTTCAAAGTATAGGCTTTCTTACTTTATAACCATGATTCTAAGTTATTGAAAAAAATTGTCCAGATTTTGCCCGAAAGATGTTTAAATCTACGTCATTCTTAGAAGTAAAAAGAAGAAAACCCACAAATAGAATTAGCTTATAAAACAAACAATCTTTTTTGGTACACTTTTTGTCATTTATCAACTATTGGAAATCTGAGACGATTTTAAAAGTTTCTCGATACACCCTGTATATCCAATATATGTAATAACCAATATAAAGTAAATGAACCAACCTTGTCCTAGTCAGCTTACAGCTCTAACCTAATGAATATTTATTAGATTAGGGGGAGGGGGGATACTCCAGGAGAACAGGGGGAAACTTATCTTCCCCTGTTGCTCGATTCCCCCATTTCTTAGGGGTGAGTCATCATCTTAGAGCGGGAGGGATTCTCTTGAATTGGCAGATGTTGGAATCAGTTCATGTTTCTCTTGGATATTAAGTTCGCCTGCTTTTCTGATTTTCCCCCTATTTTTCTGTTCTCCTTGCCATAGATATTATTTATCTAAAGTGAGAAAATTTACATAGATGAGATAAATAAAAACATTAAAGGCATAGAAAGAAACTCTCTGCTAAAGAAATTATTTTTCTCATTTAATTATGTTATATCGTAGAGAACACATAAGTTAATAAATGGACTGAAAATATTTTTGCTCTGAATAACCATTTTATTGGCGGATTTTTTAGTATCGCCTGTTCACAAAACATTGGAAGACACTGGGGTACTTTGAGTACACTGTGCAACTGTGTACGGTGTACTATATACTGTGTACTGTGTACCTTGTACGATGGAAAAGGTTTTGTTACTGTGATGGTAGAATCTCGAATAAGATGGAGAGAAAGATAGATAAAGGGGAGGCCGAGGATTTACTTAGAAATATATTGATAGATAGTTGTATTGAGGGAGGGAGGATGGTGGAAAGGGCCCGGAGGCTGAATACTTTGGTCGATAGAGGACAATCCAAACCAAACCAACTTGTTTCTATCTCTCTAAATATCAGCAATTTTATTGTACACTTGGATTCATGGCGCTTCTATCAGCAGGGGCGCAACTTAGGGGGCTGGGGAGTATCCCTCCAGACTCATTCAAGAAAAATGTATACATGGTATAAAAGATCGTAAAATGCTGCAGATTATTAAGTCTTTGATTTGTAATATATCATTTATATTTCATTTTAATATGTAAATGTAAAACAAAACAAAACTCCCCCCTCCCAACCTTCAAGCTACAATTGTAAAGAAACAAAATCCGGATAAAATAGTTTACAAAACTTTCAGACGAAACAGGGGTTTCCCCAAAGGATGAAACTGTAAAGACGACCAGGAACTTTTATGACGTTTAAATACAAGGTTGAAGTATTCTGTCGTGTGCATAGTTTCTGTTTAAGGCCTTTTTATGATTTGTCAAAGAAAGAAACAAAGGAATTGAGTCTTTGCAACAAACTCTAATTTTCTAATCGCTATATCTTAACAACCCAACGTCGTAGACCTGAGATATTTCAAACTATGGATTTAGTTTGATCAAATGATCTAAGTTTGAAATATCAAAGGTTTACACCTTCAAGTTGCAAAAATATTGGCATTAGAAAATTTGAGTTTGTGGCAAAGACACAATTCCGTTACATATGCAGGGAATTCAATTTTAATTGCGCACACAGCCGTATCTGAAGTCTCATTTTTTGTGGCTTACCCTGCATTTCAAATTTCCAAATGGTCCACGGTCCAATTTTTGTGATATTATGAGAAAACAAAATCTATTTATTCCCAAATAACAAGAAATTCAAAACATTTTTGTCTTTCAATATTAGATCTTTCATAAAAGCAGTTATCATTGAGAGCATGTAAGAATTCAATCTACGTAAGTGAAATATATTGTATAATAAGATGATCAGTTTATATTTAATTGATGAAATTGTGATTTAGAGTCATAGTTTACTGGGACAAGGTCAGAACTGCTAAATCAGCGTGGTCAGACCTAAATATTGATTCAATTCCTCTTCCATATCCTGTGTTCTTCATTCCGTACATGGATACCTAAACCATTTAGAAGTTCCCTCATAGGACATCGAGATCATGCATATCAATAAAGGTATTGAAACTTGTTGTCGAGATTATTCAAGGTTTTCGCCAAATTTCCATTTTTAAAAAGATCTGAAATATTAAAGGTTGATATCATCAGGTTGCCAAGATCAAGGGAATAGAAAATTTAAGTTTGCGTCAAGAACTTATATAACGTTGATTTAATTTCAATTAAAAAATAACAAGACTTTCTTTGACTCTAATTTATGTGTTCCGAATACTAGTAAAGATATCTGCTTGTAAACAACATCAAATGCACATCAAAATTGCCTTAATATCGTCTTCATATTATACAGTTTTCTGGTTATGACTGTAGTTAAATGAAAAACTTAAAACAATAACAAAGGCAATATAGAACTAGTTATTTATATCAAAAGTGAACAAAACCTGGGAAAAAAGGGAAAAAAGGTAAATAGGGAAAGACTTGATAAAAAATATTGCATTGTGTATATCATAAATGAAAATTATTTTAGAATTTTTTTAAACACATTTAAATGTTATAGTTTTATTACGCCGCGCTTATTCTCATCCAGATACTTATTTTCTCCGTGATTAGATCTTGCTGAATGTAACCTTCGTTGCAGAAACAGATTTGCAAATATCAGGTTTAGTATCATGATATGCATGTATGTTAAGAGTGAAAGTATACTGTTTAAAGAGATTGCTCCTATATTTGAGCGTGTACACTAATCGATTATACCATCTTGCCTGTTCAATCAAAATACAAAACATACATTATCAGTGCCATGCCTTGGTTTTACATGAAAACGAAAACATTTTCGTGCTTCAAGACAGATTTCAATAAATTTATCTTTAAATTCTTTTATTTTTATGCGACATCATTCAATGTACGCATATGAATAATATGTATAATGTATATGAACAACAAAAAAACATAGATTGTTACAAAATTCATAATTTGTAAGACGGTGTGCAACATCAGGTTGCAATTTTATAGGGATTATAAAATTAGAGTGTGAGGAGTGTAATCAGCTCCTTTAGATTCAAGATTTTTTGGTTTAAAAAAGTGTTAGTAACGATTCTTTATACTTTATGAAAAACATTTAAAAACCTAAAAAATATTATACGTTATATAGTTCACCTAATTATTTGTTAAATGGTATAAACGTGAATAGTATTTAATTTCCCTTTAAGATCTCTTCAAGAAAGTAAAAGTACTTACCAGTTTTAATATTTGATACAGACAACTTGCAGAACAAAACTTAAATCAAGATAAGAATTGAGTCATTGCCACAAACTCTGATTTTCTAATCACTATATCTTTGGAACCAAATGTTACATACCTTAGATATTTCAAACTATGAATTCTGTTAGATCAAATAATCTGAGTTTGAAATATCAAAGGTTTACAACATCGAGTTCTAAAGATATTGAGGTTTAAATATTTGATTTTGTTCCAAAGACTCAATTCCTTTATCAAACAATGGGAACAATTTAAGATCGCATCATTTTAAATTTTTATATCTTATATATTAAAAGTTGTAATCTCTGTTTGTTTGTCCGATCATAACCCAGGAACCCCTTTACCGATGTGCCTCAAATTTTGATTGGGGAGCATGGGAAAACCACGGGAGTGTTTTTTGCTTGGTTTTAAGATTTAATTTGACTTTTAAAGTTAAAATTTAGTTTCCTGGTCAAATCTATTAAGTGCGGGTAAACGGCGGAATTAACTATTAGTCCCCTGGGCATCGCTGGGTTCCTAAGCTAGTATTGAATAAAATAAAAGTACTTTATATAATTTTAATGAAATATATTTTTGGGTTGAAAATAAGAAGGTTAGAGAGTAGAGGGGGGGGGGGATATAGGGTCGACAAACTCTCTATGCGTGTATATTGTAGAAGTAATACTTACACTAGGTGTGCCTAGGATGCCTAGGGTGCACGCACCTTTTACAATCTCCCCGGCTCTTCTATAGCCATTCTTAGGCGTTCAACTCTCCAATATTCTACCCGCCATTTTTTTAGCATAAAATCCAACAGATCTCGATCTTTAGATTTAATATGTCAGAAACTTGGCAAGATTTGATACAATTTTGGGGAGAAAACACCCCTGGTTTTTAGAAAATACTTTGGGGCGGTTGCTGCCCAAAAAAGTCTTCAAGTGGGTCAGGCGAAATCTTAGGTCAGTGCACTCTCTTTCCCAGTTTTAGATACCACAGTTCCTCAGTCCATCAGCGATCTTTATCTAAGGTACAGCTTTCTCATCTAGGGGCTCAGATATCAAACTGACTTATTCCGAATATTTCTGCCTATGCTTGGACATTTAATTTTTACGTGTTATCTTATCTTTCAACCAACCAACCATTTTAATACTACAGAATTGGATTTGTTTAACTAAAATATTGGAATAAGAAACTTAAAATCTATAGTTGACCGTATTAAACCTTAATTAAACCTTTCAGAGTTATATCATCAAAATATAACTCTGTGACGGCTGTACGGAAATTATACTGTCTGTTTAATGCCTTATATTCATGATTCCCTTATAAACTTATGAGTCCTGTCTTTCTTCACCATTTAAATGAATACGCATTTAATTTAACCTTAGGATTTTAAGCGTTTCAAGTCGTCTTTATAATCTCATCCTTTCTGGGTCACCCTGTATATAAATTGTCTATATTTTTCAAAGCAACCTGCAATTATGCCTTCTCATAAATGTAAATAAGGCTCATAATCATGTTTTTTTGTCAGAGGAAAAATAATTTTAAACTGTCCAATCTAAGGTATTGGGTTTTTGCCACTAAATCAAACTTTCTAATCCCAATATCTTTTCAACCTGTAAACTTTTGATATTTCAAATTTAGATTAATTGATATAGCAGAAATTATAGCTTGAAATATCAAAGGTATACGATATCGGGTTGCAAAAATATAGGGACAGGAAGATCAGAGTTTGTGACAAAAGCTTTGATTCTATTTCAGCCTTCACTAAAGGTTAAACGCAGATGATAATGCAAAATAAACCAATTTTTTTAGTTAATTTGATTACAAATGTATCTGAAAATGTTATTTTTGCAGAAGTCTTGGAAATAGGTTGCAATAAGTTTGATTTTTATCAACTTTTCTGTCTTAGAATGCGTTTTATTTTATTGCTGTGTTTTGTGGGGCTTGCCCTCGCTAGGCCACAGGTAACGTTTTCTTAAACTTTCTATAACAGGCTCATTTTTCTCAATCGGTTCTAACATTTAAACTTTTTATTAGCTTTTAGAGATATGTTTAGCAATTTTCTATGCATTTAAGGTTTAAAGATCCAAAAGGTCTCTAATGTTCAATTAATTACAAAATTTTATTATTTATACTTTTTTTGATGAAGCAAAATCTTTACTCTAATCCAATATATGTAAACGATTATTTCAGCTTTTGCGAAGGCTTTTTATAGTCTAAAAACTAACCACCCATTTCTTATCAAAACACAGTCTTAACTACTTTTTCGATCAATATATATGTTAATTCTAAATATAGTGTAATTACTCCTAGAAGAACAATAATATTTTGTGTGTAATATCAAAATATCAAAATTCTAACGAATATATCAATTTGTGAGTTATTTCTTACATTCTGTTCAAAATTTAGAACAAAATTTTCGATATTAGATACTTTCTAACGGTTTAAGTAGGAGGACGATGTTGCAGCTTCTACTGAAGCTTCTGACCCCACAACTACTGAAGCTGCTGTAGCTGAAGCAGCTGTCAAGGATGCTGAATCAGACGCAGATTCTACCACCACAACTGCTCCTGAGAGAGTGGGATCTGAATCCGGGTCTGAACAAATAAATCTTGCTGACACTTCCGAGTTCAATGATCTCTTAGATGTTGTTGAATCTGGACTTGACACCGATGCACAGGTATTTTTACTTCCCCGTTTCTTAGGTCAGAATTGATAAGTAGAAAGGTGTAGTGAAACTAGTTAAACTTCATCAGAAAACGCAAAGTGAATCGGAATGCAGGTTATTAGAATAAATGGTTTAAAAAATATAGATGAATTTAGTTTTAAGTTCCTCAGTCCACTGCTTTTATAAAACCTTTATTATTTAGGTCGCATTCCTTAAAACCAGTTTCTTAGATGTTTGAGTAAATAAAACGAGGTCATTTAACGACATATGAACAAAATTTGAAAGTACAGGGTGTCCCAATAAAAATTTATATACGGTCAAGTGTACTGTGTAATATTGAATAGGTGCAAAGTGTTTAAATTGAATATACCATATAGTGTATTTTATGTACTTAATTATTTTTTGTGGTATTTTTATAACTGCTGGGAAGCATCATAGATTAATTAAAATAAAAGATAGGACATTAGATGTCGCCTTTTCAAGATTTGGATGAAACTCGTTCACGATAACCTTGAGGCAGAATCCCAGAGGAGTTTCGCGCAGTCGGCGTAGAATTACAACACAGAGAAAGCCTGTTCTACGCCGACTGCGCAAAAATCCTCTGGGCTGCTGCCTCTGGGTTATTGTGAACGTTTTTCATCCAAATCTTGAAAAGACAACATTTAGTGTCCTATCTGTTATTTTAATTAATCTATGGCAAGCATCGTTAATGAAATACTCATTCGTCAGTAAATTGAAATGTTTTTTGGCACACACTGTATATCTGAATTCCTTGATAAAATTAAATCCTTAAACATGTATTTGAAGCAAACTGATTTAGAAGCTTTGCGCTTTTTAACATTTTAAAGTTTTTTATATTTTAGGGCAGAGCTTTGTTTGTAACTGTATCTATGATTTCAACCTCAACCATCCCCGCCGTCCCCCTAGAGGTCATTCTGTGTTACTGATCTGTGTAAGCTCTATCATGAGAAAGGACTCTTAGTAATTTTTCATAAAATTTGTTTCTTTTTTCACAGATTCAATCTTGAATATGATTATATTGATGCTATAGCGGAGGTGTAAAAATATTTGTTTTGTCATCCTAATCAGTTTTTCAAAGGCGGGACGCAAAAAGAGAAGCCCAAACAACCGTAGAAGCATCCCTCAGCTTTTGGAGAAGGAATCTGTAGAAATGGAGCAAACTGAGGTCCTTCCTTACAACGGATTCGCTGATGCCATCGTAACCAGAGAAGACGGGCTCCCCGCTACCATCTTCGATATCCTTCCCACCAAGACCTCAGCAGCAGCTCCTGCTTTCGATCCTGAATCATTCAATGTTGATGCTGTTATCGACCAAAATGAGAGCGTTGTCAGTTCTGGTAAGGTTGAGTGGAGAGATGTTTACGCTCGAGGATTTACTCCTTGCGGAAGGTACAACATACTAGAGATTACAAACACAATCGGATTGATTTTTTCTATTAAAATTTTTTGTTCTAGGACCGATGGAAGACGACCCAGGATTCTTGAAATTGTGACTGGAAACACTACAGTCACATCCTTCGCCACAGTGCTTACTACATCAATAGTACCTACCACTGTCACATTCAGTGTCACCCTCACAGTAAGCTTTTTTCTCATTAAAATAAGATTTTTTAATCTTAAAACTTTTATAATATTTTTTTATTTTTGTCAGTGTACAACGGCTGGATTTACTTTTGGAGTGCCCGCCTGTTAATAGATCTACAGTACAGTACTAGACATGTACACCTGCAGTACACTACTAGATATGTACACAGTAAAGAAGAATCTCAAAATATTCAAGTATCAACATATATTGTATCAATGGTTATATGTTTAATAAATATAGATTTCGGGAGAAAAGTAAATTTAGGAAAGTTAATTTCGTTAATGATATTTTCTGTTTGTTAAAGCTACCGTTCGTTAACAATTTCAATATTATTAACATTGTTAACGTCAGATATATTTTTTTAATCATTAATAGTGCCACCCGTTAATGATTATATTATGCAAAAATTGCTGGAAAGATTTGAAGACAAGATTCTAAAACATCAAAATCAGAAGACGACCTTTAAAACATCAAAATATAAAAAGATGTCTTTTATTTTCTAAAAGTTGAATGTCATTTTTAGCAGAAAACGAACAAAAGTCGCGCTGTTTCGTTAACGGAGCTTTGCCCAGCTCTAATTAAAAATAGAAGGAATTAGATTTAAATTCTTTCCTACATTAAATTATATTTTTAAACCTTCAAATAATTTCAAAGAACGTATTAAAGCCATGTAACAGCCATCTTCATCACAATTTTGCAAAGAACCGACTTTAAATGGACTGCAAGTGTAATGTTAAGTGACCCTCCATGATAGCAATATCCAATTTATCCTTGAAACCTTAATCTCATCAAAAATCTGGAAGATAATGTCGTCTTTCTGACTCGAAAAGTTTTGATTTATGTTTGTGATATTCTCCATTTTTCTCCAACAGCAAGATATGCGTAAGCCGCTTTCGCAAGGAACCTGCACAAATGAAAATAATCATTTTTATAAACTGCATTTCTAACAATACTTGATCAGAAAAAGCATTTAAAGTTACCTAGCTTTGTGAATCAGGTCAATGGACATGTTTGCAGGAAGGATCACTTGTAATTACGTTTACAGTCCCGTTAAAGTTTCACCAGAATAGCTCTCAACAATTAATGGCGTCGAAAAGAAAGGCTTCCAAAATATTAAAACTAAACATCTAAAACATTACAACTGAATCAGAGGCGTAGTCAGGGGGGCTATGGGAGCTAACCCCCCCCCCCTCTCTTAGAACAGTGAAATTTATGAACTTCAGGGGGTTGTCAGGCCCCAACGGATGTTTAGGCGAATCTATGTAAAGAAGTCACAGGAAAAATGTTTCTGGATAAAAAATCGAGAATTAAAACTTTGATAAAAGTCCCAATTTTCTGAAGTCCTAGGACAAAATTTCACTGGAAATAAAGTCCTGAGTTTTGTATTTCTAGGACTTTTTTATTAAAATAATATGGGGGCTGCCAATAAAGTTTTAGGAAATAAGATCACAGGAATTATAGTTCTAAAAAATCCTTTGTCTTGGGAAAATGAGGTCAAGTCTTAGACATTTTTATAAAACGGACTTTTCTTCTATGGATCTGCATATTGAACATAGTCAGGGGTGTTTTTAATATCAAGCCCCTTGTTTCCATGGTTGTAAACATCTTTTGTTTCCATTCCACTGTAAAAGGACTTTTTTCCGGAGACCTTTTTTTTATAAAAATAAAGTCTCGAAATGGTAGGACTTTATTTTCAGAAACTTTTCATTTCAAGAACTTTTTTCCACAAGACTTTTTTAGTGCCAAAATTTAGGACTTTATTTCCGAAAACTTTTTTCAAAGAACTTTTTTGACGGTTACCGCCGAGGCCCCCCCTGAAAAACAAAATTGAGCCCCTTCCCCTGACTACGCCCCTGAACTGAATGGTTGATAACTAACTCCTGATTTTAATATGAAATATATTTATTGAAGAAATTATTTGACTTGTATAATTATCATAATTAACAAAACTTACGGAAAATACATATAATATTATTACATGTGTACGAGTACAATGAAATGTTTGATATATCTATATAACAAAACTTTGACACTAATATCTAACAGATAAGCTTATGTTGTACACAATAGCCTGGATAACATTTGTAGGAGAAATGTAATGAATGTGCAGTTTTCGTGAGCATTTCATCTATTTCATTTTTTATCCGAGCTAGTTAAACATTGTTAAAGGGATTGTAAGCGTAGCTTCAAGTGACCCTCCATGCGAAGATGTCAATGCCCGATCCAAAACGATTACTTTAAAGCTTTGTCCAATCAAGTATGAGTTAGATATCAATGTTTATGATTTTGAAAACAGATTTTTTCACATTTTGGCTTCTCAACAAAAGAGACTCGTGCATTTAAACTGCATGATAACATTTAGGAATTATTAGAAATGCGCACTTTTAAACCTAGAACCACAACACTTGAAATTACGATACAATACCTTTAACCCAAACATTCTCTTCATTATCTACTTATCTACTTATGGTCGTTAGATATTACGAATAAAATGTTAATGATTTTTCTTACAGTGTTCACATCATTTTCTACCAAGAACAATTTGAACAAATAATTAATATATGACCCAAGCCAAAATATCAAAATTTGGCACGTAGCGAATTGATAAAAAAGCACCTGAAATTCAAATGTAAAAAATAAACGTCCCTTTCGCGCCGAGGGAGAAATATTTGTTAATTTCCATTTTTGGCTTTTTATTGATAACCCAATACTTGGAATTCCTGGAACCTGTTGGTGATTAAAAATTATTTTTTGCTTTCAAAAATTCTGAAATTGTGCTATTAGCAGGAGAAAAAATACTATTTTGAATTATAATCATCTAATTCAGGGTTGTTTTATTGCATTTCTGCTTCTTAATTTCAAGAATCTCTCGGCTTCCTAATGTAAAGCCAATAATGGACTCTAGGTGCTGGAGTCTATACAGATGTATACTGTTGGGTGAGCAGAATAAAAGATATCAACATTATATTGAGCTAGAGAATATAAAACAAAACAATTATACATACAATAATACAATTTCTCTTCGACATGAGTGTGTCCTTTTGAGCGAACACACTGAAGTCTGTAGGCTTTCTAGCTTACTTCTAATTTTTAATAATTCATATAATCAGAACTTTTGAGAACTTGAGAAATACTGCATGAAAAGTCCTATCATGTACATTTGTGTATAGCTGTAAAATTAGACAAGTCTTATCAACAAAGCCATTTTTATGATTAAACATTTATAAAAATGATGTAGGCAGATTTATACAGAGTGTCCCAACTTGGAGTAATGTAAAGACGACTTGAACATTTTGCTTTTTGATGAATTACAAACGTGAAAAGAAAAACGGTTGTTAAAATCGTCCAAACTTTCTTTTTTTTACGTAGGATATAACTATAAGCGGAGATGGAGGAATATTTTTAAAAATCATGAAAGATAAGAAAAAACTTGTTGTATGTTAGGACACCCTGTATTGTTGAACATTAGATTGATTGATGGATAAATAAGTTGAGTTTAAGGGATGTATTTAACCTTGTAAGCTGAAATAAACTCATAAGGATCTAGATTACAGATAAAGGGACTGTACATGTGTTTTCTCTAAATATAAACAATATGATTTTTACAACTATAGATTATTTTTTGTCCTTATGCAGGATTTTTCATAAAACTCATTCTTTCTCGGGGTTTTTAAAGGTCTTTCCAGCTAGTGACAGCAAAACCTGCTAATCTTGCGATTTTCTAGTTTTTTCTTCAAACTATTAAACCATAAACCTAATTTGAAAATTTAATAAATGTCGTCGTATTTTGAGCAATGAGCATGAGCGTGTACAGACTCTTTATCTGGGCAAAGGTTGATTATTTATCCCTTAAACACCAACAATTTATCCTCCTGCAGTCATACGGAGTCCATGCTTGTGGAGTTGGCAAATCGTTCCCCTGAACAAAAACAAACGTTAATTTTACAATATTTGCAAAGTTTTTAAACGTTCATTTTTATATTTGTTCACCCATATTTTCCCTAACCTAAAAAACCGCATAACAAAATTTTTAATGAAATGCCTTTTCATTTGTAAACAAAAAATACGCTGCACTTAAAAATCTAAATTGACCGCTACATGGTTTCTTTCTCTTAACAAAAGGAGAACACCAACTATCCAACTTTTGTTAACCATTCAATACAATATGTGCAGTCGGTTAACAAAAGCAAGATGTAACTAAAACGGCCATCAGTAAAACTTGCTATCTATAGTTTCAGAAGACAACACATTTCAAGCGCTAATTAACAATCAAACAATTCTACATCTTAAATTAGCTAAGCAAGTTATTCTGAGTACTGAGCTGAAAACAATTATTCTAAATTATTAAACAGACATGGAAACCATGAACATGCATCGGGGCTGGTCTGTGACTGCCTAAAGACTATCTTAGAATGGTTGGGACTGCCCGGGACGGTCTAGGACTGCTTAGGACTGCTAAAGACTATATAGGACTGCCAAATTCTGTCCAGGACTGATTGACTGCGTGGGACTCCCAGGGACTGCCTAGGACTACATAATTTAAGCAGGGGTTCATATAATTCCATTTCTTGCAGTAAACATTCTGCAGTATGGAATTTTTTTCTAAAATTTGACATCATACTTCCAATTGTTCACAAAAACAACATCGTTAATTTCTGGCCCTAACATCAATCAATCAAGATGGAATTATAAGGCCCCTAAATTTAAGGCCTTAAAATTTTAAACCAATAAGCTGCATGCTATTGAATAAATAAACGCAGTTAAGTATTCTGACTAGTTAGACAATAAAAAGCCAAAATTATGTCGTCCTGTTTATTTTGTTTTTTTTTATTAAGTTTATAAATCACATGCTTGAAATAAAATAAGCAGTGACATGTTTTCTAACCTATTTCCAATACTTTAATAAACGTATTTTTGTTTTAATAATTTTTCCCATTCAAAAACTTTTTTTCCCCCAAAAAATTCGCATTTTTTTTTCCGTGAAATTTTCGCATTTCTTATTTCGCAAAAAAATCGCATTTTTTCGCGAAACAGATTAAAGCAAAATTTCCCGAAAAAAACAAAAATTTTGCATTTTTCGCCAGCAAACGAAAAGCTTAAAATGCGAAATTTTAGCGAAATGATTTACTATTCGCTGGAAACCCTATACATAAGCGTACAAAACAAAAATGCCAGCTTCATAAATTTTCCAAGATAGAAAAGAAATTACAAGAGCAATTGAATAATATATCGCTCAGCCTGGCAGACAGTTGAAAATTAATATATACATTTTTACATGTACCCAGTACAAACGTACAAAAGATGTGCGAAGGGAGGAAGGCCACCCACAACTGTTCACAACAACGATCCCCCAGAGGGCTTCCAATCCACATCGATCCACTTTCTTCCGAAGGGCTTAACTTTCAAACAGTTTTGGGCCGGAACCCTCAAACTAAGCGTCTTGCCACAAATATATTTTGTGACGTCCTTCATTTGCGGGTCGAAGGCAAAAAGAGTGCGGGTTGCCTTCCTCCCCTCCATGAACCACAACATTGCTAAATCCAAGATGAATGTAGCGGATGAAGTATACTTGAATTAAAGCAAAACAGGGGTTTCCAAGATCTGCTGCAACTTTTGTATCTTACCTTCAGGTTGGCAACGTGATTTTTGAAAGAAAAAAATATTTCAACAAAATATAGCTTTGGATGGAAAAAAATCTGAAAAGACCTCTTCTAAAATTAAAAAATATTTAGAGCCACCATTTTGTACAATTCAAAATCAGGGTAATGATAACAAAACTTGAACTTTTCACTTACTTCTATGCGTTTTTGCGCTGAGTTTAAACAATGATGCAGCAGACCGATACAACCAAGCAATAAATATTAATTTAACTTTAACTCTACTTTTAATCTATTTAACTCGCCTATTTCTCTATATTGGCTCATTTATCACAGAGAAAATTGATCTGAAGCATAATTTTTATTAAAAAACAGAATTTTAATTTGAAAAATGAATATTACGCGACTGCGCGTGCTTACCAATAGATTCGCAAGTGTGGAAATGTGCATGTGGGGGAAGCATGGGATGCTCACGATGAATATATTTCTTCTTCCTATGATAAAAATATAACTGTCCACTAGCCTCTAATTCCAATCGTCAAACCGCTTTATGTATGATACAAAGTGGTTATTGCTAACCAAGCTATTGCAAGCTCTCACGCTAAAATCGAAAAAAAAACTTTTAAAAATACATTTAACATGGTCTTATGGCGTAGTGTGAATTGAAAAATGTTGCAAGATTTTAGAACTTTCCTGAAACAATTTTTGGTTAAACATTTTTAAAGAGGTTTCAGCGATAAAAGACGTTCTTAGGTACTCAATTAACATTTTTATTTATCGGGACTCAATTTTTGGTTACTAGAGTTGTTTACGAGTACAGTTGAACAATCTAGATGTTGTTCATATGTGCACAATTCCAAATTTAGATTAAATTTTAAAAGGATGTCAACATTTTTGAAAAAAGAAAAAATTCATTTTTATGTAATTTTTCTTCATAATGTTTTTAATTTCACCTGTATCTTCTACAGTATACAATGAGTCCAATAGCAACAAATGACGCTATCCCCATACCCAGGGCTATCAACATAAACTCGTTCACTTCAGTTTCTTTTAAACCTGAAAATTATTTGATTACTGCCACAAAATCTAATTTTCCCAACGTGAAGGTTACACCATCATAAAAATAAACAGATAAAAAATATGATAAAATTAGAGTTTGAAGCAAGTGATATTTATTAGAGATATTTAATCTAAAGTCGTATTCTAAGAATTGTAAATGAGAGTTTAAAAATGGCCGAACACCACAACATTAGATCAAACAGATTTGTAGTCTTTACTCTTTATTAATAAGATTTTTCCGAAGAATAATGTTTTCACTCCGAAGGATGACAACAAAATGTCTCAATTGTTTTCTCCATATTTTTAAAGATAATTTGAAGAGTAATTTAGGTATTATTAAGCCAATGAATTTAAAGCAGAATTTGGGCTAGAATAGTAATCCTTTATTTTGTTATTATATTTACTAATTTCCTCAAATATCTAATATTTTTGCGTGAAAAAAAAGTATATTAAAATTGTAAGTTGTCAAAAAGGGATTCACTCTCACAATAAGTTAGGAAATTAAATATATTCTTAAATCCATTTTAGTTTTGAAGAAAAAGTAATGAATAATGAACAAAAAACTACAAAAAAATAATATTGTAATATTCATTTTTATTAAAAAAATAAGATAAAAATGCTCTTACAATCCTCCTCATCCGAGTTGTCTTCTGCCCCACAGTTCTTAACATGGTTGCACTGCAGACTCCTAGACAATTTGGACAACTGTAAAAACAAACAAAATAATATTTCATTGCTTCCAAGAAATATCGTTTTAAATAACTTATTTTATTTAGTTTAAACCGATCCGCTATGGATTTTGTGATTTGTGATTAGTATCTTTAAAAATTCCAAAAATCAGCTAAAACAATATGTTTAATGTTAAACGGGGTCTGTCCTAGAAAACGACTTTTGGACCCCCCCGCCCCCCCCCCCCCCCCCCCCTCCTATCAATTTTGTACATAACCACTTTTTCAATTAAATTAGTATTTATTTAGGGTTAGGTTAGGTTAAGACACTTTCTGGGGAGAGCGCTGCGGCTAGGATAGGCTAGGAGGCCGAGCGATGCGGCCACATGTCTTACGTTTAAGATCCATTTACAAAATTGATAGGAGGGGTGCCCAGGGGGGGGGGCGGGGGGTCCAAAAATCGCTCTCTGTGAAATTACCCTTAAACGCTTGATCTTGCACGTCCAACTAAAGTAATTTGAAAATAAGATTAAAATGTTTTGAATACAAATATTATGTTTAGAATTTCTACTATGTAGCCGGATTACTTTGTTCTTCTCATACTTATGCGTATAATCAAAACTAAAGGAGCTACGAAGTGACAAAGTCACACCAGTAGTGTCTCATAAATTTGAGCCTCTACTTGTGTCTAGTTTACATTGCTTGACATCCAATGAGAATCAATGTTGCTGAGTTGACGTTTTCTAAGCTTTAAATGCGGTCTTCCATGCCAAAAAAAGACTGCAGTGCAGATCAATGATTGCAGAAACGATTTAAAAATCTGCACTACCCAGTTTTCTGGGACACCCTCTACCTTGCGATGCAGTATCCAGATGTACGACACAGGAATTCGTTAGGCCCAGTACAACTGATGGATTCCTGAAAACATTTTTAAATATCAATTTGTGTTTCCTATGAAAAAATCTTGAACTGCTGTTTTATCTTTATATCTTTATCGTACGTAAAATAAATATTTCATTTTCAATTAAAAAAATTCGAGGATTTTGAGTAACGAGAAGCGTTTAATCTCCCCGCGAAAAGAGAGTTTTAAACGTTTTAAAACGATTAAGATTAATTCCTTTTATCTAAAAGTTCCCAGCTCTAAAGTCTGAACTTTCTATAAAGAATAGTCTTTTAACGTCACTAGTTCTTCAAATAGCAAACTTAAAATTCGAATTTTCAAGAAGAAAATGATGGATTTCTCATGAATCCTTGATCAGACAAAACTTTGAATGCTACACGTCACTTTAAATGTATTTTATAAACTTTTACAATGCAATTAATGTTTACCTTAACTTCTGTATAAATAGCCTTGAACCCCATTGCTCCCACTGCTTTCCGAGCCAGATAAAACCTGAAGAAAAAAACAAAATATATAACTTTTTGATTTTTTATACAAAAAATTTGTCAAGATATATTGCAACATTTGTCAAGATTTAGTGTTATATTTGTATCTATTTGTCAAGATTTAGTGTAATATTTGTATCTATTTGTCAAGATTTGCTGTAATATTTGTATCTATCTGTCAAGATTTGGTGTTATATTTGTATCTATTTGTCAAGATTAAGTGTAAGATTTGTATAAATTTGTCAAGATTGAGTGTAATATTTGTAAAAATTTGTCAAGATTTAGTTTAATATTTGTATCTATTTGTCAAGATTCAATGTAATATTTGTATCTATTTGTCAAGATTGAGTCTAATATTTGTATCTATTTGTCAAGATTCACTGTAATATTTGTATCTATTTGGCAAGATTCAGTGTAATATTTGTATCTATTTGTCAAGATTCAATGTAATATTTGTATAAAAATATGTATGTACAAAGCAGTATAAGACTTTCATGATTCAGATTAATGTTAATTTTCTTGGTAGTATATCTCAGTTAAAATGATTATAAGAATTATTGTTTTAACATCTTCCCCCCCCCTTTCAATAGTCTGTTGATCTCTATAAAATAGTAAAAACTAAAATATTTGTTAAAAATCTGAAATCATTCTTACTGAAATATCAAAGAATTATATTAGAATCCTAATAAATATTTACTTACGAAAGTCTCATGACATGACCATCAGATATAATCTCCTTGTATTGGTCCAAAGTGTCACCACACAACTCTACACCAAACAAACAAAAAGTTAAGAGAGTAAAGAATGAAAGAAATTGGCTTCACAAAAATATGAGCTGTGTTCAACATTTATAGTTTAGTTGTCACAAACTCTGATTTTTCTAATTCCAATGTCTTTGCAGATTGCAACGCAATGTCGTAGACTTTATATGTTTCAAACTATATATTCTGGTGATCAAATAATCTAAGGTTTACATGATCGGTTTACACTAAAAGAATTCGAAAAATTTTAGTTTTTGGCAACGACTCAATTCTTTTGTTTTTAATTACTTTTTGCATATAGGTGAGCCCCGTCCGAACGTTTTTACATTATTCATTAATGTAATAATATTTTTAAAATGAAAAAAATATAATAAAAAATCCTATCAACAATCTCTTTGCATTTAATTTATGTTATCAATTTGTTAATTAACCGTGAATGAATTTATATTTTTTCATCAAATATTTATTCAATTTCAAACCCTCATACTATTCTACACATTGTATTTTTAGTTGAATCTATGAATGGTAAAGACTGACCCGGCCATGATTTTTTCTTCAATTTTTCGTTTTTTTATTTTTTTGTTTCCTATTGGAGTTCGAGCAACATCCTTCCACGGCCAAACTCTCAGTGCTGCAGCCGGACATCCACGCTCTAACGTACATTAATTTAAAAATAGAAATTAGAATTAATGAATAAAAAGGACTGTCATTTCAAGTGATCTTCTATCTGAAGAGAGGGATATGTCCTATGCACGACGATACTGTTAAAACTCAAATAGATTATAGTACAATAGCTAGCTGACAAGACAACAGAGAAATGGACAAACTATACACGACGTCACAAGTGTCAAATATAACAAGGAAAACGACATTTTTGCCCACTAGTTGACATATTTTCCAAGATCAAATATTCAACTGTAAAAAAAGAAAATAAAAACACAAAATTGTACTCATTTCCCTGTAAGATAAGCCAGAGTTAAGACAGTTACAGAGATCGATTATCAGCTAAAATATGCGATATTTTCCACAGCATGTATTCAGGGTCGATATTTAAGGATCCTTTGGATACAAAACACAAAATCTTCAAAAAATCGACTGAATTCATAAATGCTATGTACATGTTTAAAATTGGAGTATTTCTTTAAAAGTTGTAATACAACCACTTAATGGGTATTATATTCAACAAGAGGCCGTAAGATGGCACTCTGAAAACCTATCGTAAAAACGTAGCATGTCTTGCCGGGTCAACTTAGGCCTACGTAGCCCATCCTGTGAAAGGAGATAAGCAGTCTGTGTAGTCTGTGGCTAAAACCTTTTTCTAATCAGTAATATGGAAGATATAGAGTCGTTTCAAGTGTGTTTAGTTTTGACAATATCCTCCATTGTCTTTGTAACAAAAACCACAAGTTACTTTTACAGAGAACCCACAGTTGAAAAAAATCTTTTGTAAGGTGAAAAAGAATCTATTTGGGTATCTTATTCATTCTTATCATATGAAGCATTCAAGAGTAGTGTGAGGAGGAGGGAGGGGGTGCAAGGCCGCCATGAGCCCCGCAAAATGGTCTGCAAGCCTCCGCGCGTTTACGCAAATAAGTATTTTAAATGACCTGGCCCTACCCCTAAACGTTAGAATAGATATTATAGAAGACATTATATCATTTTTCAAAGAAAATATTTAATCTTTAAATAGTTATGCAGTGTTATCTTGAATATCCAAGAAACATTGCATAACTATTAAAATAATAAATAGTCAGGTAATTATAAATACTCATCTGCGAATCCAGAGGCTTGGAAACCATTTAGCGGGGCTCATGGCACCTATTAGGAGTCAGATATGTAACTCTCAAAAGAAGGGTCACTTGAAATGACGTATACGGTCTACAGTCCCTTTAAATTAGTATATTTTACCTCCTGGGTTCCCTTCAACCTCAAAGTTGCTGAAATATAGAAGGATCCTGTATCCAGGTTTAGCGTATACAAACCAATGGCACACTTTGTTCCCAGAGTCTAAATATTAACGTTGCTTAATTTTAAAAATTAAAATTAGTTCTTCGTTCCTTGAAATTGTTTTCTAGTTCTCTATAAATATTTCCCTTGTCTTGTGGTTTGTCACGTGACACAAGGTTTTCAGTTTTCGCGTTAAAAAAAAGAAAACTTTCAAAATTTTCTGAAGGAATTGAGTCTCCATGAATTCTGTTAGATCAAATAATCCAAGTTTGAAAAATCAAAGGTTTACACCATCAGGTTGCAAAGATATAAGGATGAAAAAATTTGAATTGTGGCAAAGACTCAATTCCTTTGCCAATTTTAAAACCAGAGCGTTTAGCAAGAAATCAATTAAACAAAAGCTGTTAGAATTTGACTACCAAGCAATTTCAAGTGACGTTTTAAATAAGTTTCAATATGTTTTACACAGTAAATAATTGTATTATGTCTAAAACTTGAAAAATCACTAGGTTCTAATGTTTAAAATATAAATACATGCAGTTTATGTGGAAGTAAATTCATAATATGTAAAATAAATTTACTTCACTCCTCATTTTTGACAATTCTTAACCCTATTAAGGCTAGGGGGGTGAATCTATGTATAGCCTGGGGGGGCGTTTGGCGCCCCCCCCTAGAAAAAGGCCTTAGAGAATAGGTAGAGGGTTGAAATGCATGTTCATAACCCAATTTGTCGTAGCCAGCTCAAAGAAATAAAAATTATACCGATAACTTTAAAAGTTTGGGCGCTAGGGAGGATGGAAAAATGCCTAAAAAGGGTAAAAAAATGAAAAAAAATATTTTTTTTTGTTTCAAATAAATATCAAAGTGTGACGCATGTTTCTTTATGCATTTTTCAAGGGCTTTTCAAAAATATAGTGTTTAGATCTGTAGCTTTAGTCACAAAAAAGTTTTGGGCTATTTTAGATTTTTTTTTCACAGACAGGACTTTTTTTCCGCCCTGTACCCTACCCTTACCCTATAGATTTTAAAAAATATATTTTTCAACAAAAAATCCATTAAATTATTATTCATTAAAAGTCACAAAATTTCACGGTGATAGTGTCAAAAAAGAGAGTGCAAAGACAAAAAAAATACAAATGCCCCCCCCCCGCCAGCCTGTTTAGGGTTAAAGAAAAAAAAACAAGAATTTGTTTTTAAAAACTTCTTTGTTTTTGTAAAGAACAAAAAGCTAATGACAAATGATACATCATTGGAAAGCTCTTAGCTCTACTTTTCGAATCTGAAAAAAAATTTGCAATTTACAAAATGCAATCAAGAAAAACTAAAAATGTGCAAATTTCTTTTGACGGATTGTACGCAAATAATTTGCAAAACTTGTGCAATCCGTTTTCTTATGCATAGAATTCCGAAAAGTTAAAAAAATATCAAAATCTGACAACTGAAAGTGGGTCAAAACAAAGAATTAGTTTGTTACAGGAAAAATTGGTCACTCAAGTAGTGTGCCTATAAGGACTCAGGCAGTTAGTATAAAAGCTCGGTTTAAACCTAAGGGGAGGGCTCATGGGTATTTAGGAACAATTTCAACAGTCTCAGACCAATACTTTTTGAGTTCTGAAAAAAACTACAGATGGGGTCAAGCTGACCCCCCCCCCCCCCAAGCAGGAATAGGGTTAAAGGAGGGGTCAAAGTTTTACAAACGAGGATTGAAAATCAATTTCGATTCAAGCTGATTGTATCCAATTGCGAGATTTACCAACTTTTAAATGTAAAAGTCAGAATCCGTTAAAAAGCAATTATTGTTATTTTCCAACAATTAACAAAAATCGACTTTCTTTAACTATTCTAGTGATAATTTTTAAATTACAAGAATGTATCCAAATTATTTAAAATACTACCAACTACACAGTGACATCCAAAAAAAGGAAAATAATCGTTGTCTCAATCTTTCTTTTTATATTTCTCTGAAAACTACCAAGTACGTAAAAAACGACAGTTATTTCACTATTTAGTGGTAATCACTGTACAAGAGTTTGTAACCCCCATGAAACAATTTAAAACATTTTATCGTTATGCATTTAAGAAATAAAAAATATTATCAATATTCTAGTTATTTAGCAAAAAATCTAATTTAAAAATAAACAAAAACTTGAAAAATGTATAATCATGCACCCTCAGAACTAACAACATTATGATACAATTTAAAGGAACTATAGACGTAATTTCATGTGACCTTTCATTTTAGAGTCTCCGATTGATGGTGGCGCCCTTTAATTCTAAAATCTGTGTCTGATCAAGGATGACTGATAAATCTTTATTTTTCTCCCGGACAAATGAACGACTTAGAGAATGAACAGTTTACGATCTTTAATCGAGTTTTATCTATATAAAAATTGAGAAATTACGTGTATAGTCCCTTTCTGCAAAATACATTACTGCCTGCACAATCTCTGATGTTTACCTCGATCTGATAAAAAGTGTTTTCGTCATTTAAAAAACTAGGAAAATAATAAACAGAACAGGATAGTTTTCAAGGTTCTGGAGTTTCCCAAGAAGAATGTTCATGGCTTGATCAATTCTTTATAAAAAGGTACATTTAAAAAAAATCTTTAGTTTACTTTTTTCATCGTTTTATCTTATTACCATTTAATGAATTAAGCTACGTTCCAGAGAAAGAATTGAAAACTAAAACAATTATTTATCATTTTAATTTATTCTTAATGGTTCTACAAAACCATTTCAAACTAATTGCTTTTATTGAGAAAACATGTTTTATATTGTACCTTTTGATATTTTCAATTAATCATTTTCATGATGTAATTCAAATAATTATCCTTTACCCCTCAAACCATCAACATTCATTTGGTTTTTGTTGTAGTGAGTGTGTGCAAAATTTGAACCAGGGAATAGGATGAACTTCAACTATTTTACGTTTAGTATAGAGCATTTCAACTCTAATCTAAGTAAGATAAAAATCACATTTTCCTTTCGGCGAAACTGTTGAGTGAAAACTTCGGAAAGCCATTAAAATTCATAGAAGGAAATGGAAAAGAGTGTAACGATCAATCCAAACTTAAAATATGTTTCATCCTATTCCTCGTGCACAAATAATTGAACAGAGTGTTTAAAGGAATTATTAACCTATTTAGGAATGAACAAAAATCTCAATTTTTGAAGAAAAAAATAACAAAACTTAGCCAAATTTCCAAAAATAATACGTTTTCAGGACAAAAAAGGACATCGTTGACCAGTAAAACTGGCTTACAAGTTACATTTGAGTTCCTGATTCAAATATTAAAAAAAAAAAATCCAAAAAAGTGAACAATTCCTTTAATGAGAATAAAGGAAATGAGTCTTTGCCACAAACTATGATTTTCTAATTCGTATATATCTTTGCAACCCTCTGTCGTAAACCTTAGATATTTCAAACTATGAATTCGGATATATCAAGTAATCTAAGTTTGAAAAAATCACATGCTCACAACATTAGGTTGCAAAGATATAGGGATTGGAAAGTTTAAGTTTGTGACAAAGACTCATTTCCTTTAAGGAAAATATTGTCGAAAACACTACCTTTGCTTGAGGTTGTATACTTCTCCGGGAAGTTTGGTGATTTTATAATACCATTCTCAGCATCAGTTATATTCCCGCCGCAGTCACCGAAGGGGCTTTGCGCTTGTATGTACATATACCTACAGGTGCGGTTAAGTACATAAATGGTGAAAAAAACAATTGTACAATGTGCACAGCATAAAAAGTGATTTTACATATTACAACGAACTAATAAATTAAAATATTTTGAAAATTGTCAAATATTTTTTCTGCGGAGCAAGGAACTTTAATCTTTTATAAAATTGATCGCTCGAGGCAATACTTTCAGACCAAAAGATATGGGAGAAATGTAGTTAATCCTCAGTGACAACTTTTTAAGTATTTGAGTTTTTGTCGAAAAATCAAATATTCTAATCTCTTTTTCTGTTAAACCTAATTAAGGGTGATAACCTTTGATATCTTAAACTTGGATTATTTTATCCAAAAGAGTTTTTTGAAATATCAAATGCCTACGACATATCAGGTTGCAAAGATATAGGGATTAGAAAATAATAATTGTGGCAAAAACGTATTAGTTCCTTAGTTTATATTGTCTAGTTTAGTTGGTTTCGTATGTTTAAGATTTAATCGCCCGAAATAATAACTCTTTATTATTTGAAAACTTTCAGGTCCACGGGGACAACTTTTAATTTTGAAAAATAAATGCTTGGTCCATCTATCTTAGTGCCCTCTGTGCAGTGTGCAGGGTAGGACTATAAACAAATTGATTTAATTCGTAGTGTATTCAACAAGGTACGGACAACCAAGGAGATATTGAATAGAAGGAGGGGGCGATAGGGTTTCCGTACACTTTGCTGTGACGTTTTTGGACTGCTGAAGAACTAGATTTTGCGTAACAACAATAATAAAGATTGTAAACAATAACACAAATGATAAACAGACATCTGGCGCATCTCTGGCGTTAGATGAAGATTCACTGTATACTGACTCATGTTTGTTTACATTAGATCGGCTGCCTTTGTTATTGTTGTTACGCAAAAACTAGTTCTTCAGCAGTCCAAAAACGTCACAGAAAAGTGTACGGAAACACTATATTATTGTCAACTAAAAGAAGATAAGTTGTGCTAACGTGGTTTCTCTACAAAAGTGACCTGCCCATTTCTACTTCAGGAAAACATATAGAAATTGACCCCTTTAACCCTAGTAAAACGTCATTATCTTCCACATTATTGAATCGGGCATAGTCATTTTTGAATGAACGTTTACTTGAAATTACGCTTACAGTCCTCTTAAGAAGTGTTATTAGGTTACCTGCCCTTGAACCCCGAGTATACAGCATCATGATCAGTGTGAAGGAATAGTTCTAATCCAACAGTACCCCGGGGGGATACCACAGGACCAGGAGAACTTGTAGAACAATATCTAAACACAAACTAAAATAAGAAAAATGAAGAAATTTTTTTAATAATATCTATCCACATTTATAGAATCGGTTTCAGCACAATGGTTTACTTTTAAAAATCGACTTATGTTTGGAAAACTAATTTTAGTCAGTAAATTAAAAATGCATATTAAAAAATACAACTTTAAGATGTCCCTGATCGCAGTAATAGTTGATTATTTCTGTTTTGATATAATTTACAATAAGTTATGATAGCATAAGGAAAAAAAATTGTTTTTCCCAGTTATTTAAAAATGTTTAATAAGGTTTTCAAATAACATAAATTACATTATTGAACTGACTCGACATTCGACAATTATCCTAAAATCAAATTTAATAAAAAATGTAAAAAAAACCATTACGGCTAATTCGACGTCTTTTATAAAGTTAGAATAATTCTGCAATCTCATTGGTTAAAACAAATCTAGTCAGATTTCCTGACCTCCTATTGGTTTAAATCGAACCACATTTAACCATTTGAGTTTCCCATAAACATGCTGACCTGCCCAATAGCTGGCGTTCAGCTTTGTTAATCAGAGTAAAGATCTCCACATAATCCTCCAAACATTGATCCCGCCTGAAATAGTTTCATTATTATTTTTCACATGCATACCATTAAATGGAGTGTTTGCGAAAAATGAAAGGGGGTCTTGGCTAACGTCGATACATCATGGTAGCGTCCATACAAATTCAGAAATATTCGACTTGGATCATAAAAAAAAAAATTTAATTCCAAACCTATAATCATCGATTATTTTTCGACGCATTTATATATAGTTGAAATTTCATAATATATTTTATTTGTTTAATTTCACGGGCAACGCCGGGCACTTCAGTTTGGATCAACTTAAAATAATTACCCATAAGCTTTCCAGTTTCCAAGGGAAGCATTTGCAACACTTATATTTTCTAATTTATCTGCTCGAACTCGGAAATGATCGAACACAAGCATGACCTAAACAGTAAACATATAAACAAAAAGTTTCATCGAGAGATAAATCTCATTGAGAATATACATTCATTTCTTGATATGCTATATATAAACAGTAAACATATAAACAACAAGTTTGAGAGATAAATCTCATTGAGAATATACATTTATTTCTTGATATGCTATATATAAGTGGTTCGTCGTAAGAACTATAATCCATTATCTCTGTTTAAATTATAAATATATATAATTTTTTTAAAGTATAAAATATATAAGTTTTTGATAGAAGTAACTGAGTTTTTGCTAGAAACTTAAATTTCAAATCCCTATATCTTTATGACCTGGTCATGTCAATAAACTTAGATTATTTTTCCTAACAGAATTCATAATTTGAAATAACAGAGGTCTGAAGGCATTGGGTTGCAAAGATATAGTGTTATACAATTTGAGTTTGTGGCAAAAACTCAGTTCCTCGATAGTAAACTTTTTTTACTTCATAGCATAATTCCTTTTTTCACATCGTTGTATGATTTATGCGATATTTATCGTATTTTTGATTCAATTATTTCGTTTTTTTTAGGACTCGTGTTTTCGTTTAATCAAGGAGAATTGAATAGAAGGAGGGGGAGATTGGGTTTCCGTACACTTTGCTGTGACGTTTTTGGACTGCTGAAGAACTAGTTTTTGCGTAACAAAAATAACAAGGGCAGCCGATCTAATGTAAACAAACATGAGTTAGTATACAGTGAATCTTCATCTAACGCAACAAATATATAGACCAGAGCCCGAAATTTGAAAGAGTATCGTTGGACAAAACTACCGGGTTTCCTTTTTGAGGTCTTAACATTTGTGTAGATTTTATTTATTTAAGAGATTCAACAAAAATTGAGAATATAAACAAACTGAATAAAATAATATTTTATAACAAAAATATTGATATTCACAAAACTGCCTCATTCCATTTGTGAAACCCGGGGTTTAAAACTGGTTTTCAGAACGATACCCTGTCTTAAGTTTTGGGCTCAGGAACGCCCAACTCAGATATACGCAAACTGTGTACTGTACACTGTGGGAGGAATGTAAACAAATCCAGTGCCCCCACAGCAGTTGAAGAGAAAGGATTAAACACTGATAAGCAGAGTGTTGTTACAGTCAAAAACAAAAGAAACTAGTTAATATATTAAGTTAGTGCGGATACAAATTATTTATTTAAATATGATTTTTGGGTTTCAGATCAATATGGAAAATTTATTCATGCTCAGTGAGATTTGTTCAGTTATAAAGGAGAAGCAAGGTAAAAAGATTCCCACTTATCCTTGTTTCCGAGGTTTAACTTTCTTTTAAAATTTAAAACCTTTCCTATCAATGTTTACATCCTTCCTCCCAAGGTTTAAATCCTTCCTCCAAAGGTTTACATCCTTCCTCCTAAGGTTTAACCCCTTCCTGCTGATGTTTGTATCCTTCCTCCCAAGTTTTCATCCTTCCTCCCAAGGTTTAAACCCTTCCTGGCGATGTTTGTATCCTTCCTCCCAAGTTTTACATCCTTCCTTCCAAGGCTTACATTATTCTTCCCAACGTTTGAATCTTTCATTTTAAGATTTTAATCCTTCCTCCCAACATTTGAATCTTCCTTCTAACGTTAGTATCCTTCCTCCCAATGTTTAAATGATAAATTTTTTCTAAAAATGCCTATTTTCATTTATCTGTTTTCAGGAACCTATGAGTGCAGACAATTCAGCACAAATAAAGTCCTCTAAACAGGCACTTATATATGTATGTGGATTTATTGCCAAAAAACTAAGCACAAAAGTTTCCGACCTTGTCAGAGGCAGTGAGGATAAAACAAACTAGGATTGGATAGACTTAAAATCAAGAGAATCCCTGGTTTATCCATCCAAAGATCTTTTGGATTATAGAGGTCGAGATCCAATCGAAAAAAAACAATTTTAGCTATTGCTGCAATAAGCAATCGATGGCCTCGGGAAGTTATTAAACTTTTTGTAAATGTTAAATTTTTCAGTAGACTATCGCCCCCTCCTCCTTCTATTCAATTCTCCTTGCGTCTAATAAAGTTTATCAGAAGAATATTTCCTGTTTTCTTAGCTTACTAATGTTGGTTACCATACCTGCTGATTTGGTGTGGATTCGAACATGTAAGTGCAGTTGATATCATTGGGATAATTTTGTGGATGTCTGCAAAAACAAGTTTGTAGTTGAAGAGAATATGTTTCTAATTTATCTATGAATTACACATTTATATATTTCTAAAAACTGGAAGAAATTGGAAACCTTAAAGAGACTGTAATCGTAATTATAAGTGAGCCTCCATGTAATTAGGGCACTGCCCGATTTACAACGGTACCTTAAAACCTTTAAACACACAAATATCTCTACTCTGTAATTGCCCTCTGTGCATGGAGGGTCACTTGAAATTACTTTAAGTTTAACACTAGCTAAAGTAAATATAAATTTAGATAGACCTTATTCAACTGAAAACCTTCAGTTGATAATTGATTAATTGAAATGTTTAAAAATAATGTTTTTTAAGAATGATTCTAGTTTTATAGATTTGGTTTTGCAACCAGGAAAGTTTACCTAGGAGAATTGAATCTCCCCTCTAGCTTGTTATTACTGTCGTACTTAAACATACAACTTCCATCAGGCGCTGGAGTTCCAGGTACCTGGTACTCTAAACAGAATATTAGTGTACGCTAAACAGAACATTAATTTACTCTAAACAGTACATTAATGTACTCTAAATTGTACAGTAATGTACTCTAAACCAGATTAATGTACTCTAAACAGAACTTTAATGTATTCTAAACAGAACCTTAATGTACTCTAAACAGAACTTTAATGTACTCTAAACAGAACATTAATTTACTCTAAACAGAACATTAATGTACTCTAAACAGAACATTAATGTACTCTAAACAGAATAAACAGAACATCAATGTACTCTAAACAGAACATTAATGTACTCTAAACAGAACTTTAATGTTCTCTAAACAGAACATTAATGTACTCTAAACAGAACATCAATCTCTAAACAGAACATTAATGTACTCTAAACAGAACATTAACTTACTCTAAACAGAACATTAATGTACTTTAAACAGTACATAATGTACTCTAAACAGAAAATCAATATACTCCAAACCGTAGATTAATGTACTCTTAACAGTAGGTTAATGTACTCTAAACAGTACATCTCTGCATATGTACTCTGAACATCATTCAAAAAGTACATGTGCTTAGAAATGAAATTGTACTAGCTATTTAAATAGTAAATGTAGATATCAACTGAAAAAGAGAAATTTTAACCCTGGAAAAAGATCAAAGAAGTTCCTCAGGTTAAATTTTGTTACTTCATCCCATCTTTATAATGCAACACAACTAATATCATTCAATTAGGGACAAGACAGATTTCGGTGGTTTTGACCAAATGAAAAAATTGTAAAATGTTAAAAAGGTCAAATTTAAGTGAAAAGGGAAATTTTAAAGAGATAAATAAAAGAAAAGAAATAAGTTTGAATTCAACAACCACAGATATGGCCTGAAGTAAAAATATATGAAAATCCTCAGATCCACATTTATACTTCATGTCAACAAAATATGATCATTAAATGTCTCTGATACCTGTTTCAAAATAGTAGTTTGCTTTGAAGCCTGATCCTGGCTTAGATCCTGCCTTGAACAAGATGACAAGCCTAGGTCCTGTACTGTTAATCACTGTCGGAGTTGTTTTACCTAAATATATTTGCAAATGAAAATGATGCTGAAAGTTGTGAAGTAAGACTGTTCACGAGTAAGATGGGTATTCAGACGAGTACATGCTTACAAAGATATAATTGTTGCTTTATAATTGAATATTGAATAAATCTTTAATATATGCAAAAAAGAACACTTATATTTTATGAATTTGACGAAATTTTTTTACTTTGAGGGAAAATTTATTCGAAATGAAAGATTTGGATACATTTTCTTGATCATTGCTCTTAAAGCTGTTTTTATTGTCTATTTATACTATTTTTAAACCATGAACATCGTATTTATAAATTTACCAATAAATCCCATGCATTTTTCTCTATGGCTTAAACGTAAAGAATACAGATTGAAAAAAAAACTCTCAGAAAGAAACATCGATTATCTTTCTTTTAAAAGTTTAGACAGAATGGAGAAAACAGATAAATCGTTGAAAAAAGGTCAAATAAATTAACATAAAAAACCATTTTTGTTTCATGATCGTAAAAAAATTGTTTTGTTTTAAAGCTCGCTAGATTTGAATGCATTTCTTTCAATGGAATTGAGTCTTTGCCACAAACTCAAATGGTCTAATCCTTATATGTTTGCAAACTGTTGGTGTAAACTTTTGGAATTTCAAACTTTCATTATTTGGTCTAACATAATTTACAGTTTGAAATATCTAATGTCTACGACATTGGGTTGTAAATATATAAGGATTGGAAAATCAGAGTTTGTGGCAAAAACTCAATTCTTTTGTGAAGATTTGAAACCTTAGTAAAGTATTACATTTACATTACGTACAATATCGTAAAATTCAATAAAGGAATTAGGTTCTTGCCGAAAAGCCCTATATCTTTGCAACCCAAAGTCGTAAACCCTTGGTATTTCTGACTATAAATGATCAAATAGTCTAAGTTTGAAATATCAACGATTTACACCACCAGGTTGCAAAGATCTGTATTTATTTAAAAGATTAAGTTTGTCACGCACCCCTGACCCTTTAGTGAAAGTAAATTCAACCTAAAGTCTGACCGCGTCAACTTGTTGCACCGGTTAGTCCTATTGAGTGTCTGCGTTATTCACCAATGTTTGGGCGATACAGTACAAACTGGGACCAGAAAGAATGACCCAGCTCGGAAATTCAAATGTACAACGGCTGTCCGTGTTGTGGATATTAAATCAAGTCAGAAACTAAAGCTTAGCTACACAGTCTGGCCCGATTATTAACCTTGAACAAAGGAGTTTATACCATTAGATCTTTATTTGGTAAAGTGAAATATCTTGATTTCTGATTTGTCGATGTTAAAAATATATTGATTTAAGTAATTGAATCTTTGCTACAAACTCTGATTCTCTATATCTGTGCAACCCAATTTCGTAGACCTTTGATATTTGAAGCTATGAATTCTGTTGAATCAAATAATATTAATGGTTTACACCATCAGATTTCAAAGATATAGGAATTTTAAAATTTAATTTTGTGGCAAGGACTTAATTCCTTAATTCATAAATGTTTATAATAAAAAATAAGTTTAACTTTTGAAGAATAAGCTTAGCCAGTTCTGTCCGTGCAAAAGTTGCGAACTCTGAATTTTTAGATTATCATGGTTGAATACTTACCACAGAACTCGTAATCATGTTTATCATAATTATGTTCCTCTTCCTGTCCTTGGATATACACTTTCACATAACCATCCCGGCATCTTTATCAAATAATAATTTATTCAATAATCATTAATTAAATAGTACAAAAGTTTCTAAGTAGAGTTTCCGATTTTCCGAGGCTTCTAGGAATAATAACACATTTATAATCTTTGGAAATTAAGGGCGGAACCTCCCCGAATTAAGAATAAATGCACCCCAAAGATTTTACACAGAGCTATGTGTGGCATGCTGAAAAAAGTTTGAAGTTTATCAGGAATTGATTTCAAAGGAATTGATTTAATTCTGCAAAATTAAGTTGCCTAAATATCAAATAACAAAGTTTTACGTCATTTGATTTAAAAGATATGGGGATTTAAAAATTATAGATTTGTGGCGAGTAATCAGTCTTTTCTTACTTCAACACCATACATATTCAGACATATCATATATAGTAAAAATGATATAATAATAATATATTAATATTGATTTTCATCTTTAAAGATAGTTTTTTTCATGTCAAGTGATCAAGTTGGATGAAACGAATCTTGTAGATTAGAATTTGGCAAAATTGATCAAAGCAGAAAAAATTGAGGATTCAATTTGAAAGAAACTTTTATTTTCAATTTGAATTCACATTTGTTTATGTGAGAAAGATATCATCTTAAAGCATAATTCACAAAATTTACTATGCAGCGTATGATTAAAATAAATTGAGAAAAAGAAAAAGGTAAACTTTGGAGAAAACATCTAATGTTAAAAAAATCAAAAAACAGAAGACCCAAACAAGTCTTTATTCAGTGCAGGACCCATAAAACTGTAGGACTCAAGTTTTAATTTTAAAATAGTCCTTTGAACATAAAACAATACAGCATAGATGTATCAATAAGTTTATTTTCAAGCTGTTATGCTTTAAAACTTTTTGCTTTTAGAAAAACATCAAATACACATAAAACTGTTAAAATGTCGTCTTCCTATTCAACAGTTGTTGGGGTTCTTATTGTGGCTAAAAGGACATTGATTTTAATTGGTTTTTTGTTGTAAAAAATTAAAAACAAAATGTTACCTTTCAGTATAATTTTTTCTAACTCCTATTAATGGAATATCAAACTTTTCAAAGTTTAGAACTACTCGCTCTAAGTTTTGACTGTCCTGAAACAAAAAAAGTTTTCAGCTGCAAATGTGATGACTCTAGAATTAGTCTCAAAATGTTAAGACAGGTCCAATTAAGAACCATGTTGAATCTAGAATATTGCAAGTACTGCTGTGTTGTGCATTTTGAAAATACAAAATACGTTTTAACGTTCAAACCGTTCTTTATACGGTGGTAACAAAAAAGTGGAAAAAATACAATAACGTAACGTGTAACGTTTTTTACAGTGCTAACCAGAAAAAAAGAGAAAAAATGCAAATTACGTTTTAACGTTCAAATTGTTCTGCTTATGGCGGTGTCCAAAAAAGTGGAATGAAAGTCGTATTCGTTCGATCTATCTAACACTCCAACCTTGAGGAGTTTTAGTATCTGTAAAAATGGACTAAACCTGATGAATGGCTGATTATATTATTCCCTTCGCATAGATCTACTGTTTTTCGCTCCTAAAGGGGACTGTTCACGTAATTCCCAAAAACCTTCAATTTAAAAACTTTAACCTTTAAACTTTAACGCTAACCTTTAAACCTTAGTCTAGGCAAATATAGATACATGCATGATTTCTTAATCTTAAAATTGATTATTTTTGATTGTTACTCTATTCAAAACTGATTTGCAGATTTATACATCAGAGACAAAGAAGGAAATGGTCAGACTAATTCCCTTTTTTATAGAAAAAGGCTTTGCTTCAAAATAACGTTAAAGTTACAGTCTCTTTAAACATATAGTTTTACCTGTATACAGTCCCTTTAAACATATAGTTTACCTGCATACAGTCCCTTTAAACATATAGTTTACCTGTATACAGTCCCTTTAAACATATAGTTTACCTGCATACAGTCCCTTTAAACATATAGTTTACCTGTATACAGTCCCTTTAAACATATAGTTTACCTGCATACAGTCCCTTTAAACATATAGTTTACCTATATACAGTCCCTTTAAACATATAGTTTACCTGCATACAGTCCCTTTAAACATTTAGTTTTACCTGCATACAGTCCCTTTAAACATTTAGTTTACCTGTATACAGTCCCTTTAAACATATAGTTTACCTGCATGCCGTATATGAAGTATCTGCAGACTATATAGGGCTGGTAGGGAAATGGGTAGTTTGGGCTGAAAACCTAGAAAATAATTATTTTTCGAATTTTTATCAATTTGATCCAATAAAACATTTTACTTTTTTAGTCTATGGTGGAATTCGCTAAATCGCAGATTGTTTGTGGTCTGAAATTCTTTGTTTGAACAGTTTATAATTTGAAAAATACAAAAATTCTAAAAATTCAATTGGTTGAAAAAATATGTAATTTTTATAATTTTTTAAAAATGTATTTTTTTTGTGAGATTCTTTTTCATTTTTCTTCAAACTTTTTATGGTGTCATTTTTTCTTAACAATTTCTGCAGATAAATAAAATATTTCCAACCTGTCCCTTGCTCTCCTTTTTACTGAGAATTTTCTGATCACATTCTGTTCCTCGAATGTGTTCTGCATCTATGTTCTGGATAAAATCTAAACAAAATGTTGTAACTTTTGTCTTGTGAATCTCAGGATTAAGCATTGATCTCCAGATTAAATCTAATTGAGGGATCAAGCATGTATCCTTCAGATTAACAATATCCTTCAGATTAACAATATCCTTCAGATTAACAATATCCTTCAGATTATCCTTCAGATTAACAATATCCACACAATATTTCCGATTTCATGATATTTTAAGAAAGTAATAAAGCAGGAAACTAAATGTAAACTATAAGGACCCATTAAAATATAATTACCAACCACTACAAAAAAGGAATTTTATACAAAAATGTTCATCTGCTTTGTTGTAAAAATGTTAAGTCATTTATTAATTGTATACCTAGTTTTACATAATTATCTGAGAACTCGTAAAGACCGAAAAACCCTCGGTTAAAGACAGGAGCAGTTCGTTTCAAGGTTGTAAATGTCAGGTAGAGCAGGTTCTAGCAATATGCAGTGTTCATAGTTGAGAAAATATCAAAAGAATTAAGCATTCGCCACAAACTTCAATTTTCTAATCCTTATATCTTTGCAACCTAATAGCTGAAACCTTTAATATTTTAAACTTAAACTTTTTGATCCAATAGAAAACATAATCAGAAATATCAAGGTATAAAATATCAGGTTGCAAAGATATAGAGATTAAACAATTCGAATTTTTGGCTAGTGACCGCGCGCCACTCTTGAATGCCGAAACCATTAGCGCCTGATCCAATCATGGTTCAGTCATGTGTTTGGTGTCTATTCTAAACCAATAGAAATTGCATCTATCTTTCTATCTATCTCATCATCCAGTTAGAGATAAATCCTTATATTGACGCTATACACTTAATGGAAACAGTTACTTTTACTGAAACTATAGTGGCGCGGTCCCTTTAAAATCTTATTATTTGTCATACAAGATTTGTTACAGTGAGACCCAAAAAACTGTTGAATAGATATACGACTGTTATACTAAAGTTTGGATTAAAATAGTATAATGAACACGGAATGCAGACTCTAAAACAATATTTGCTTTGTAACAACATAAAATAAACAATAATCCTTGAAAGTCTTCTTTCTTTACTACAGTTTAATGGGTCTCACTGTATAAAACAAATTTGAAATTTAAACAATTTTGAACACATTTTCTGAAAGCATTCCTTAGTTGAGTAGATAACCAAGTTCCGCATTTGTCCGCAATAAGTACCGATTTTCTCCGCCAAATTGTCCGGACCGTCATAAATTGTCATGCGGTCAAAAGGACAACTATAAAAATAAAATGAATTAATATTATTATGTAAAACTAACCAAAAAATTTTATTTTAAGTGTTTGAAACTTAGATTTTTAAGCATATTTTGTAACAATAAAATATTTTTTTTTCAGAAAGGTATTTAGATTTTAGAAACTTTCTGAGTTCTATTGTAGAAAAGAAAACTTCCGCAGCTCGGTTATAAAAAAAGATCAAAACATCAGAAGTTTAAAAAACTTACTGAGCTCCACCGTAGAAAAGATCAAAATCTCTGAACTCCAATCTGACTCTGGTTCCTGGTTCACCAATGAACTTGTATGTACACTTCAGATTCTTAGGGTAGGTTCCTGTAATCAGTTTCATTGAGAAAATCGTATAAAGTATTATAGAGTGGTTTAACTAGTTTTGACAACAAATTACCATGAATCAGTTCAAATAGAACCCTATGCTCACTTAATCCTGATTTTTCATTTTAAATATATATTTTTAAGGCTGAGCCGTACAGATTTGTCTAGCAGGATAATGTTTTGATCCACCCTATGAAATAGCCTGAGGCAGAATTTAAAGAATTTGAGCCGCGGCTTTAATCTGGGACGCCGCTCAAATATGGTTGGTTCCACTTAAAATTGTATTAAATGTTTTAAAATTCAAGCCGACGCTCAATTGAACTCGGTTTTTTGCGAATTTGAGACGCGGTTCAAATTTATTAAATTCGGACTTTTTTAGTTTGGTTTCAATAAATATTTTAGTTAAGTAAATAATAAAGTATAAAGTATAAACATACATTTATTAGTTTAGAGCTCCAATGAAATTCATGAATTTTTGACCAAATACACTTCTGATTTAACTCAAATTATGCCAGAAATGGCTAGACTTAAAGTCTTGAGCAACTGAAATATAACTGTGTCAAATTTATTCAAAAAATTCATATATATGCAGCAGAACTCTCACGTGTCTCTATCTTTATCACATGACCAGTATACTGCACTACCATTAGTGGGAGTTCTGACTTACAAATTTAATATTATCAATTATATCTATTAAAAATAAAAATAAAAATTATAAAGTAATAATTGGGGAAAACTTAAGTTACAATTAGGTTTCTCTGTGATATCGTCGTTTTCAGATTGGTTGCGTATTTGCTGAATATAATCTGTTTAAACCTACCATTTCAATACAAATTGTAAATATATGAATTTTTTATAAATTTGACACAGTTTTATATCAATTTCTCGAGACAGTTCGAGATGTTTAAACCTATCAGATTTAATTGCAATCTTTTTAGGGCTCTTTACCTGGATAGGTGGCAGAGTACAGTTCTCCGTTTTTGGCGGTATTTCCAAAAATCTCAAATGAGCAAATTTTACTTCTTCCCTCAGCTTTTGCATCTTTTGTGCCGATTTTGTTGAATTTATCTAGAGTAACAGACTTTAGGGTTATTTTAGATTATTGTGGTTTATAGTTTAATTTTAAAATTTAGGGCTAAAAAGAAAAGTTTAATTAGAAATATAAAGCTATTTGTGTGAGCTGCAATGCTGACATTACTCCCACAGAAAGGTAAAGAAGCCAGCAGAGTTTTCTTTTTATTTCTTATCCATATCCTTACCTAATCCTGATCCTGGTCCTGGCCTTGATCCTGATCCTGATCCTAATCTTGATCCTAATCCTGATCCTAATCCTAATCCTGATCCTGATCCTGATCTTGATCCTAATCCTGATCCTAATCCTGATCCTGATCTTGATCCTAATCCTGATCCTGATCCTGATCCTCGTCCTAATCCTGATCCTGATCCTGGTCCTAATCCTGATCCTGATCCTAATGCTGATCCTAATCCTAACCTTGATCCTAATCCTAATCCTGATCCTGAACTTAATCTTGATCCTGATCCTGATTGCTTATGAAATCAAGTGAATCTAAGTTTGAAAAATTAAAGGTTTGCACAATGAGGTTGCAAAGATAAAGGGATTAGAAAATGTGTACTTTTAGCAAAGATTTACTTTTCATTAAAATAGTGACTATTTAACTATTTACCATCAGGGAAGAATTCGTAGATTCCTGTAAACCTTCCTTCAGTAATATTCTTTCTAAAATATAAAGTTTTCATTAAAAAAGGAACTATAATTACTCTCATCAAACTCTAATTTTCTTTGCAAATGTTTGATATTTCTAACTATGAACTCTGCAAGATCACTGAGGCAATGTTTGAAACATCGAAGGTTGCAAATATATAGGAATTTGAAAATTAAAGTTTGATGTTAAATTACTTGTTAAAACTTTGTATAACTGTATATATGTAGTAGTAATCTCTGTTTGTTTGCTTGTATGTCCAATCAGAACTCATGAACCCCCGGACTGATTTGCATCAAATTTTGATTGGGGAACCACGGTAATGTTCTCAGCCTGATTTAGAAATTCGAAATTGGGTGAATTAAAATTTTAGATAAATCTCCAGGCAAAGATGGGTTTCCAATCTAGTATTTTCACAAAACTCAGAGAGACTGTTCAATATATTTCAAATTGTTCACTTACTAGAAAATATTTTTAAATAAATGAAACATTTCTTTAAGATCGGCATTTATAAATAAACTTGTTTTATTTGTTCAAAGAGGACTCAAAAATAAATGAAGACGACTTATGGAAAAATTTAATATTTTTTGTCTGCTAAATTTATTATTCCTACTAACCTGTCAGAGAGGAAAACCATTGCCAAAGAGTTGTACAAAGATATTCTCAGCCTTTAATTATTATCAACAAATCATTTATGATTCAACAAATATGCAATCAGAGATTTTTGACAGAGAAATGTGAAGATTTTTAGATTTTTAATTTAATTTCTGTTTTTTCTTCTTCATATTTTCTAGCCTTTTTATTTTTTATTTTTATTTTTTATTTTTATTTTTTATTTTTTAGATAACTTCAGCTGAACTACCTCTTTCACAGAGCACCAAAATATGCAAGCTCGCCAGGAAAAATCTATCAGAAATTTGATAATTTACACCTTTTTACTGGAATATAAATTCAAAACTGGGCTCTCTTTGTGCAAAAATCAAATTGAACCTCCTCTCTCAGGCACATATTCATAAACTTATAAATTCCTTGATAAAAGAGTTGTTAATATTCCTGGGAATGTTTTGTCCGCAGAATCTGCCCCCGAATGGAGTTTCTATCAAAGTCTTCTTATCAAGGTTCTCCATCTCACTGAAGATATCCACATGCTCATGGTAGCACCTTAATAGGACAAAATTTGGAGCGTTTTTTTGCGGATAAAATGCGGGATTGCACACTTTACCAATAAGTATATGAATCTATCATCAGATAAATATATTTTTTAAAATCTTGTTGCCACTTTAAAAATGGATGGTCTGCACTTTAAATTTTGTCAACATGTCTTTGATATATTATTTCAAGAAATAGTAAAAAAAAAAAATATTTACGAGACCATTTAGATAAAAATGTCATCCTCCAAAATCTTTGCTTCCTAAAAATATTTTTTTTAAATAAAATAAATTTACAGATTTATCAAAGACTTCTAGGCTTTAAAGATTTAAAAAAAAAACATTTTTTATAAAATATTTCATTTAAATTCTGCATCCGAATTGATGGAAGTGTCAACCCTACATCACTCAACCCGAGGGCTGGTAGCCCAGCAACAACGTTTCTTCGTCCGTGCCACATTCTCCTCATTATTTGTCGTCCAAACCGCCACCTCCGATTCTTCGTCCTTGCATTAGTATCCTTTTCAAGAGCGGATTTCTGCAAGGTTATAACATTCGACTATGTTAGGACATATTAAATATCAAAATATTGAATTTTCGTAATTCGAAAAAAATAGTTTTTTCAAGTTCTAACTTTAGTTTTTTTTATAATCATTTAAAAAATAACACTGCATTTTTCAAAGCTCTATGGGAAAAATCACAATTTTTTTCATTCAATTTATTTCGTGAAAGTCAGCAATCACCGCGCAGTATGCAAGGAAGATTTAATATTAGATTAGAAAAAGATGTACAGTATACTCCGAAACTTCAAGACGCACAAGTAATCTAAATCAAATATAGCAAGAAAAGGATTTTGAAGGTGGCTCGGATTAGAAAATTAGGAGATCGTGGCTCGGACGAAGAGTTGTCGTGGCTGGCCTTCCTGCCCTCCTCAGCCCCAGGGTTAAGCTCGAAGTATAAACTCTTTATTCAATTTTGAGATAACTGCAGCTTACTCTAAATCAACGATCCCTGCTGGATAAAAGGTGACTTATTTGAGTGAGTGACTTTTTTATTCCAGAAAACCAAGATTTTCTAGGATTTTCGTAAAATTTCCTGCGTACTTTTTTCTTCATTGAAAGATTATAATAGCTTAATCTTAATCAAATGCAGGGTTATCCAGAAAGGATGAGACTTCAGAGACTACTGTAAGAAATTCATACTGTCTATTTTCTTCTATTTATGATTCCCTGCAACAGTAAACTTGCATCTATCATTGTCAAATAAAAAAAAGCCATTAATTACATTACACAGGAAGGCGACTATCGAGAAACTTCATATCGTTTTTACAGTTTTATCATTTGTGGGGAAACACTGTAAAGCCAAGCTGTAACGATATGTTTTTACAGTTTTATCCTTTGTGGGAAACCCTGTAAAGCCCAGCTGTGACGATATGTTTTTACAGTTTTATCCTTTGTGGGAAACCCTGTGAAGCCAATCTGTGACGATATGTTTTTACAGTTTTATCATTTGTGGGGAAACACTGTGAAGCCAAGCTATGACGATTTGTTTTTATAGTAAATTTTACCCATTCTTATTAGTTTGAGGTTTGCACATAGAAGTTTTAATAAAAGAAACTGAGTTTTTGTCAAAAACTCTCATTTTTAAATCTCTAAATTGCGTTTCGGATTCGTATGTTTGTGGATTCTATACTTACTCAGGAGGAGTCCCAATCAGATTAAACTCTTCAAATTGTATCATTACTCTCTCCCCTGGAAGACCCCTGCAATGTATTAGTTTTAATAACACTGCATAAGAATAACTACAAGAAGAAAAAGAAATGGTTTTTTTGTCAAGAACTATTTACTAATACCAACAAACAAAAAAGTAGTCCTTTTTTTAGCTTAAGATTGATTGATAACTTTTAGCGGCTCAATTTTAATCAACAAAGATTTCGATTTTTAAGTTTTAGTATTAATAGAATTGATTTTATCAAAACGACGATTTCGATTTAAATTACATTTTTGTCAGACATGCTTTGAATTTATTAGATTTTTCAGCTATTTCGTAAAATTTAACTTTTAAAGAGCACAAAAGATATTAACAAAAAACCTTTTAATTTTTTTTCGTATACTAAACCATTTTTATATATTTACCTGAAATTATAGGTGCATTGACGGACATATCCTTCCGAGTTAAGGAAGACAGGAGCAGTAAATGTTCCATTCTTTGAGGATAAACTTGATGTTGAACTGAAGGTTTGGTCACATACTACAGAATAGAATAGAATAGAATAGAATAGAATAGAATAGAATAGAATAGAATAGAATAGAATAGTATAGAATAGAATAAAATAAAATAGAATAGAATAGAATAGAATAGAATAGAATAGAATAGAATAGAATAGAATAGAATAGAATAGAATAGAATAAAATAGAATAGAATAGAATACATAATAAAAGAAAGTATAGAAGAAGAAAAAAGAAAATATAGGTAAAATAGAAAATAGAAAAGAACAGGATATAGAGAAGAATTTAATTTAGAACTAAATAAAATATGAAGAATAGAATTAGATATAATGTGGCACATATAATGATTCATAGCAAAAGTAATGGAAGTTTGAATGGGGAAAAAATAACAAAGCATGAGTTAACGTTTGTAGATTACCATTTCCAATATCTTGATTTCTTGCCACAGAAAACAAAGTCGTCATTGATAGAACTATTTTCATTTTCATCTTTGCTAAACTCATTTTTCCATCTAAACAGTATCATTAGTTGATTAATTGATAAGTATACATACATCAATACATCATGTTTATAATTAATGATTGAGGTTATCATTAATAAAACATATTATTCTCCCTTATCTTTATATATACTTTGCTTGTCTGGTTTTCAGTTTACCTCCAACAAAATTCGATTTTCATTAATTGTATCCAAGAATTTTTTTTATGAAATCCGCAACATTTTTTTATTTTAAGTTTTACAATGTATACAATGAGTAAATGTTCACAATTGAAATAGAAGATGCGCGCGAAGCGCCCTAAAAGCTTAGTTTAAACATAAGCATTAAGAGACACGAAGGTTAATTGGGCGGTGTTAGGGCGGCTGGACTGACGAAAAATGTTCAATATCGGTTCTTAGATTTCACATTTTGTTTGAAAATAGAAAATAATTATTTTTGATACAGATTCCCTTACTAAGGATTAGTACTGAGGAAACCTCATCTTCTTTTTCAACTTTTAATTGTGGCTTTATCTGTGAGCATCTTTTCTTTGTACAGTATAAAAAAATTAAAAAATTTGCGGATTTCATAATATTTTTTCGCGCATTTTCAAAATTTGTTTTAATTAGATAATTCAAGATTACATATTTAAAGTCTGATTGACCATAAACCTTCCCTGGGGCCACGTGAGGTCCCACACAAAAGACGTTTTGACGTTTATTGGATACAAACAAACATACGCGCAGACAAGCCAAATTTATATAAAGATAGCCTGAGCTGGGAACTTTAGAGCCTGATACCTTTAATCCCGACTGCTTAATCCGAATATCCAATGTGGACACTTTTAGTTTCTTGCTTAATCCACTCTTTTTTGGATATAGTACAAAAAAATCAAATTTTTTTTTTAAATTAGTGAGTACCTCCTGTTTCTGTGCATTAATCTTAAATGGTGCCAAAAATTTCAAAATTTTCCGGATTCTGATACGCGACTCTGATTGGTTGAATTGTATACATTTTTTAGGATACAAGTACAAGATTACGTTATTCTCGATATTAAGAAAAAGAGAGGATCAAGCATTGATCTCGATATCCACCATTCTAAAGTTCCCAGCTCTGAAGGCTTTCTTCCTTTGACTTAGTTAGCTAATGATATATTAAATAGTTTGATAACGAAAGAGACATGAGTTAAGCAGCAGCGCAGGTAACCAGAAATTTAAGCAAAAAATGCTGAATAAATTACGCACAGTCGTCTCTAATTCTCATCCTTTATGGGTAACCCTGTATTTAAAGCCAAATAATCGCAATGTCACATGAAAGTACAGTGACATTCCTAATAAAAATTATTATCCTGTATGGGTAACCCTGTCTGTTAGAAACAGTCCGACTTGAAGAGAAAAACAAACAGTTCCTAATCTTACTAATCTGGAATTACATTAACTACAATCATAAA